CGAACGATAAAACTTATGAATGACTTACGAAAGTGTTCTGTTAATGGCCAATTCGTAACTTTACGAATTCGTAAGTCATTCGTAACTTTTTAAATATTTACGAATTTCATAAAGTTACGAATAACGAATTCGTAACTTTGCGAAAGTTCTGTTAATGACCCCCTGATAAAGATTTTAACACTTGGTTTTTGTTTCAAAACATATCAAATGACTACTAAATCGTAATTTTAGGGTAAGGGCTAAGAATACTTTATCTGTCTAATCTTTGACCGTCTGAGATAAATGTGTGTTGACGAGTCCTGTAGTTAATTAATCTTGGTTTTAAAACCGAAGCTTTCATTGCGGGCTGAATTTCATGATGAAATAACTTTTTCAGCCCTCTGAAAAGGTCAATTTAAATAGCTTTAAGTAGGAGCATAGGAAAGGTCAATGAACAGGATCTTTTGAATTTTTCAGAAAATGTGCCCAATATATTGCTCTAAATGATACAATCTTTAAAATTTTAGAAACTTGTCTGAAAAAATGGCGGTCATAAAAAGGAATAAATATCGCTTTTCAATTCATTTTTTTTCATTTTTTTCTTTTTCAACGAATGATATCAAATTTCCCAAGATTGTATCACTGAGAGCAATATATTAGGTACATTTTCTGAAAAATGCAAGAGATTCTGTTCAGTGACCTTTCCTAAGCTCCTACTTTTATCTATTTTTCAGTCACAAATTTCAGAGGGCTGAAAAATTAATTTCATCATGTCTAGGGTCAATCTGACCATGGTCATTGTGATCATGGTCATGTAAATGGTATGTGAAACTAGTTAAACTGACTGGAGGTCAAAGCAGAACTCTGATATCTTGGTTCAAAAAATGTTTGAAATCCAGCATGGTTTTGTCACTTCCTGTTTATTGTTTTGTCATTTCCTGTTAACTACCATGGCACCTAAAACCAGTGTAAGAAAAAAGATTAACTATACAAAAACGGTAGATCTGCCTGAAATCAGCTGAATCTCTCTGCCATCCACATGTGTCACAAAAATGGATGTCGGGAACATGATCATCGGTGCAAGCGTGTGATATACTAGTGTCAAGAAAGTTTCTGGTCCAACCACAGCTATCACACACCTCTACACTTTCGTTGTAGTTCTTACAAATGACATCTCCTATTACACCACACCGTGCGCAGGTACTCTCTGATCCCAAAAATGAATGACTGTGGGACGCAGTGCTGTCCCTTGACACATCATTTAAAGCCCTGCCAACTCGGGGCGTGGATGTTAATCTTGCATGCTTTTCAAAGGAACGAAAGTCCGGCGAAATTTCCTTGTTTCACTCCGTTGCATATTGGTATATACATGTAACTTGGAATCCCAAACACCCGGATGTATTATGTACAAATTGTTCGCGGTAACGGATCTCTGTGCGAGGTACAAGAAGTATGTTCGGAAACAATGAAATGGTGGTGCGCGACATAAGATTTCACGTTCGCGATATGAGATTCGTGGTTCAAGTGCAAGGAACGTAGTTCGCGGTATCAGAACTGATGTTCGCGTTGTTGGAAGTCTAGGAGGCCTGATATTGTAGACACAGCTCTCACGTAGGCTCACATTAACACTGTCTGTCACATATGTGTTAATGGCCCAAATATTATTGTGAAGTAGAATAAAAATAATTGATCTACTTTTCTCATGTAGAAAAAAATTAGCAAGAAAAAATCAAAGCTTTATCTTAAATGCCAGCCCTTGAAAACAAATCAGCAGATCATTTACTGTTAGATCAAGATGTTGACTTGAGATACAAATGAGCTAAAGGGAAGTGGTTTCAAGTTTAGAAAGTAACTCAGCAAATTCTACCATGGCCCATGTGAAATAACATTCAGTAACGCTGACTGAGATCAATCTTAGAGGCTTTAGAAATCATGATTTTTGTGTCGAATGTGAGCATTTTGAGGTTTTTCTCTGGTGTTGTGCATTAGACTGAATTGGCAGAATTTTAACTGAACTTAAAAATTGAAATTGCAGGATGTTAACGTCTATTTTTTTTACTAATATATTGTTTGAAGAATGCAACACCTGCCTGTATTTACCTTTGAATGGTGCTCACACTGAGCCTGTGTTTAGAACTTATGTGGATGGAGGGATGGGAAGCTAACGTCTGGTCAATAATCAGGGCATGCTTTCATAAGGAATAATTGTTTGAATTATTTTCTAGTTATTTAAATAAGATTTGATTTAATCAAAGACTATACAATAATCAAATTTATTTATTATTTGCTTGTACATGTATATTGCTACCCTGCACTTAGAGTAGTTATAAATTACCCTCTTCCTAATGTAGACTATATTTTGGTTTAGCAACCCTGCCCCCACAAACTGTGACAGCACAGATCACAAATCTCAACCAATCAGGGAGCTGGACGCTTAATATATGCTCATTAACTATGTGATGATGTAAGGGGAAATGACTAATATAGAAAGTCATTTGTATTTCTTCAATGAACTCTGGTTGGCTCGATGAGTTCAGAGATTTATTGCAAATTGAAAGAGTGAAGACGAAACTCTCTTTTAAGAAGCAAAGTCGAAAGAATGCAAAGGGTAGTATATTGCAGTGATTACATTTACACTTGTGACGATAACCGCAAAATTGTCTCATTTGAAAAGTTAATGTAACATACTAAACCTTGTAAAAACTGAACACTTTTTCATTAGCTAACAATTGTAAATTATTGTTATCACCGTTTTACTTAACATTAGAATAAATTAAAGGTAGGAGGAACACATTGAACGGAATTTATGAAGGGGGTGATGTCTTTCTGGAAATGTTCTTTGAATGCCTTACATTTGTCTCATGTCATCATATTATAATCACTGGTATCAGCTCACTGTATGAGACCACATACATTGTTTTAAGTGTATGATTTAGTCGACCATGAGGAGGAGGGTATTTAACACTTGTTGCATTAGTTCCTTTGTTTAGTTCTCTTATTTTGAAAAATATCAACATTTTTAAGTTTTATGATTTGTTAATATTTGAAGGCCATTTTCTTTGATGATATATAAAAACAATTAAGTACCATGATCGGAATGAATGATTTTTAAATAAAGCATAACATTAATTAGCTATATTAACACTATTATGTTCCCTAACATTAGGAAGCTATATGTGTCTAACAATCACCATGGCAACATAGAAATCTTACAAAAATATATTTCCGGGTCTGCTTATTATGTACTGGATTTATTTCTCTCAATTCTGGATGAAGCATCTGAATTTTCTCTTCACTTAATAGAATGTTGCATGTTTACTCCCCTTCTCATTTACTCCACTCATCTACTTTATTTCATGTTCAGAAATACCTGATGTAAACATTTTCAAGGGATGTTAAAGACACGAGAAGATACATGTACTTGAAACTTAACATATTATTGCCCTATTCATGTCTCCCAAGCATGTGGTGTTGATTAGTGTAAACTTTGAATAAAAATGGCTCATATTTTATTATATCCAAGTAAAAAATAATATACATGTAACATTGTAACTTGAAATTGGCAAGAAACAAATCAACTGGCCTGAAGTTGATGCTCTAAATTATATGGAATGTTTATTTTTGCTAAAGGTTGTATTTCAAATGATGGTCAGGGTATCACTAAAGCATGGCTGTTAGTAAGGAAGCAAGTATTCCTCGTGGCAAAGATAGATTTAAGACATTACCTGTAATGTGTACTTAAAGGTGCAACAAGTAGTGCAGAGGGCCATTCAACGATCATGGACCAGTGTCAAAATATATTTAAGTTTGGATATTTCATCTAGACTAACATCTATTTTAATTTTCTACAAAGAAACCCCCTAGATAATCATTATTTCAGCTTATATTCCTCTTGAAACATGGTGGATCTTAAAAATATAAAAGTGGACGTCCCCTTTTTGAAGCTTTGAACTGAATTTACACTTTTTAATGCCGAAATTGATAGTTTATCCATATATTTTAAGAAAATAGGTATGTCGAAGAAGATGTTAAGCCAACTGTTGCCTTGATAGCTCAGAAAAAGTTAAAATTTTCCTATTTTCTCTCTACAAGCCTTATTGCCCCTTTAAACTTTGGGTCAAGAGGAAAGCTAATTGTTGGCTATCTCAATATAACAATATAACTTCACATGCAGCTGTATCAGTTTTGGTGAAAAAGAAATGTGAAAAAAGGTTGGGCGATGAGACAGATATTCTTTGTTTCATGTCCAAATGTGCAAGTATACTAAAACAAAAACTTGTGGTCGAGGTGCATCAGTTTCCCTTCTATCCCCAAATACACCTCATTGAAATTTGGGACTTATGAAAATGTAGTTGTAGAAATATATAATGATTGAAGATATCCAAAGCTGAATCATTTTTCCCTCCCACATCATTAATTTTGGTACTCATTCTATAATGATGCATTTACCAACCATTTATAATAGTGACATTATTGAAAATATTTTAGAATAGTATTGCAATTTTGGCTTAGTCATTATTATAAAATTTCATGTTCTAAAATGATGAATACCCAACTCATTATGGTAAACTAATTGTCATCTCTTTAGTTTTGTTGCGAGTGAAACAGGAAGATATGATAAGCGTTATTATGTAACTCTCTCTCCATGGTATATTTGAAAGGTTTTGGGTGACCATGTTTATCTTACTGCACATGTATTTATTTAAATGCATTATTTGGATTAATTATATCATTTTATATGGATTATATCATTTTTGGTCATATGTATTTTTATAAATCTCCAGTTCTCATACTTTATTATTGGACCATTAAAGATTTTATGTTTATGTGATCATTTTTTGCATAGTGGTGAGATACTCTTAGAGTATTTGATTCTGCTTTTAAATGCTAGGTTAGATACACTTGCATTTGTATATTTATAATGGTTTTCAAAATACCAGTCCAGTTTGAATTCTTCTCACACTCCTGTTGTAATTTACCATCCAGAAACTCTGTGATTGATTCAAAAATTATTATTTCAGTTGAAAGACCAAAACCTGTGAGATTATCTCCGAGTGGTGGAATAAGACGTACAGGGTCACTAGACACAATAGCTGGGCCCTACCTGACGGGACAATGGCCACGAGACAGAAGGGAAGTAAATGTTTCACACAGTGTACCAGAACAGCCAGCTGACAAGTCAACACAGGTGAGCTTACAGTTGTGTGGTTTTCAGTACACTGTCACGTGTGTCTTGTCTTCTTAGGGAGCAGTTTCATGTTCATAGAATTTCGCAGTTTGTAGTTCCATATTCATAGGAGCAGTTTTATGTTCAAAGGAGCAGTTTTATGTTATTGGGGGAGATGCATCTTATGAGATGCTTCATGTTCCTAGGAGAAGACTCAGGAGTCGCTTCATGTTATATGAGCAGTTCCATGCTCCCTGGAGCTGCTTCATGTTATATGAGCAGTTCCATGCTCCCTGGATCCGCTTCATGTTATATGAGCAGTTCCATGCTCCCTGGAGCTGCTTCATGTTATATGAGCAGTTCCATGCTCCCTGGATCCGCTTCATGTTATATGAGCAGTTCCATGCTCCCTGGAGCTGCTTCATGTAATATGAGCAGTTCCTTGCTCCCTGGATCCGCTTCATGTAATATGAGCAGTTCCTTGCTCCCTGGATCCGCTTCATGTAATATGAGCAGTTCCATGCTCCCTGGAGCTGCTTCATGTTATATGAGCAGTTCCATGCTCCCTGGAGCTGCTTCATGTTATATGAGCAGTTCCATGCTCCCTGGATCCGCTTCATGTTATATGAGCAGTTCCATGCTCCCTGGAGCTGCTTCATGTTATATGAGCAGTTCCATGCTCCCTGGATCCGCTTCATGTTATATGAGCAGTTCCATGCTCCCTGGAGCTGCTTCATGTAATATGAGCAGTTCCTTGCTCCCTGGATCCGCTTCATGTAATATGAGCAGTTCCTTGCTCCCTGGATCCGCTTCATGTAATATGAGCAGTTCCTTGCTCCTTGGAGCTGCTTCATGTTCCTAGGTACGCTTGCAAGTTTCTTGTTTACAATACAAATGGTTTCAAATAATTTGAATATTTTGAGTGTATTGATTGAGAATTAGCTCAAACTTCATCAGATGAAATGCCTAATTGTTTTTTGAATTGTAAACTTGGTACCAAGACTCTTTGAGCTCCAAATCTAACCTGAGAACTATGTTAAGAAAATCTCTTAAAAGGTAAGGTTTCACCCAAAGGTACATTTATTTATTGTTTAACACGCCTATGAATAGATTTTCTGTAAATATTGTTCCAATTGTATATACGATTTCAATCTTGACTATTTACCCATGGGGCTAAAAAGATTTCATTTCATCTATTTACTACTGCTATCATGTTTATATACATGTATCCACTTTTTCAAGATGGTAACCTAATCATATTAGCTCACTTCTGTTACATGTTTGCATGCTATTGTTGACAAAAGCTGTATCTTGTAACTAGAATGTATTCCTGAGGCAAAATTGAATCATGTTATCGGCATGTTATCAAGTATGAAATACCTTTTCAGCAAAATCAATACAAACGCTTCATTTGAGACCTTGTTAGATTTTCCTCATCGGCAAGGTTATATATCTGCATATCTGATTCATTTCTACCTGATAAGGTGTCCTGGATTTACAATTACCATTTACTCTGGTCAGATGCCTTCCATCAGAGATTTTTACAAGTTTGTGGCCTTTCTTTTGAAGTTTTCTTTCTTTGTTATTATCACATCGAACAAATTTGCTAGTGATCTAGTGATAGTTTTGTAGTTCTCTTCTGTTCTGTAAGTCTCCAAGTCCCTCTATTCAAGGCAATAATTGTAATACATGTATAGACTGGTGGTTCGATTTTTATGTCACCACCAGAAAGTGATGACATTTTGTTATAGTTTTCAAATTTGGTGTTCAGCTGTCTGAGGTTGGTCTTCGGCATTTGGCATTTTAAACAAATGGCATGTGGTGACATTTTGCATGTTAATGCCCTGTCTTAGTTGATGGTTTCATGCTCTTGTAATGGTATTTTCATGGCAATCCTATTTTTGCATTTTAAATCAAAGGAATAGGAAAGTACTATATTGTAGCAAATTACTAAGTAAGCATATCTAAATGTATTTCAATTTTGCTCAACCATGGCCTATGTATGTAGGGTCAAGAAATTGTCAAATAAAGTACTAGTATGGCTTTATTATAGTCAAATTAAAAGAGAATGTCACAGATATCATATCATCTTTTTGATTGATGTTTTAAAAAATTTGAAAAAATCGTTATATTCAAATGAACTTTATAGAGTAGCTCAAAAATATTTTATCAATCCAGAGATTGGTGCTTTGAAAATGGCTGCCATTTTTTAGTCACCTTTATTCCTTGTTTATTCCTTGTTATCAACTTTAAAAGCACAACTTTTAGTGGCAGACTGAGGTCAGTCTTGTTAGTGTAAATTGAGCAACAAGTGTTATATTTTTGGGAAATGTTTAGGTGTAAGATAGTGCTTAGTTACAAGTTCTACCATTTACTCTGATTAAAACAGAAGGAGTTAGTAACCTGTTTGGAAACATTCATATTTTACGTAAAGCAAATGTGCCAAGTTAAACATGCTTTTAAGTTCAAATATCGCACCGATATCTTCAGTAATGGTGGGTGGGGGGAGGGTAAATAGAGGTAAATAGGATAATTTTCCATTATTTTTTGTATCATATTCCTGGTCTATTTTCTGTTCCTGCAGGTTTTATAATCATCTAAAAGCACCGATAATCATTTTTCCTTGACAAAAGCTCTTCATTATTGTATCAAATAGCAATCAATATCCTAATTATTTCTACCAGGTAAAACTACCTTGGGTGTCTATTATCTAATGCTTGGTGCTATTAACGTCGATAATGCGTATCGGATTATATGTTTATCTTGTCATGGTATCCACTTTATCTTGAACTTTCATTGTCCTGGCTGTCTTTATCCACCACTTTTCAAAAAATATAGTTTTCCTTGTTGTCATATTTGCTTCAGATTTTATTTGTGATGTCTTATTGGTATAGGACTCTGCCCAAGCAAGAAGAAATATTCAAAATGGCTACTGAATTCAAAATGGCCACCATTTTTCAGGAAAAATATGGTTCATGTCACATCATAGGTTACATCACACGGGTCATATCATTTAACATGTGTTGATTTTGCCAAAATGCTGCAATACTACTGTACTACTGCCTGATTATATATTTCATTGTTCCAAATGATAACTGATTTGATGAAGTATATTTTTATTTGTTCAAAGGGAATTGCTACTCTTGGGAGTTACTATTTTGTTAATTACAGACTGGGTGAAACTTAAAAAATGAGTTAATTATACACAGAGTTAATAAAGGGACATATTGAAATTGAATCAAATAAAGAAAATGAATTTCATTCTTCCTGACAATTTCATAAAATACTACTACTTGTATGATTATAGAATGCAGGAAATTTTATGTTTTTGGTTTAGTTTTCTCTGCATGTTCTCTCCCGTATTTAGCCCCTCTCAGGAGCCCTGTGGTTTATTATTAATGAAGCAATTACTAAAAGTGTTATACAGGGGCAGAGTATAAAACATTCTTCCTTGGGGATCCTCATAGTGAAATAATCCATCATAAAAGACCATTGACTATTCCCCGATTGTTCTTAGAAATTGCAGCTGAAACAGAGAATAATAATAATTTTAATCTGTTTAGACCTTAAAGCAAGGAATATGCAAGGCTTCATTACCACATGACCCATTATTAGCTTACATGAGTGAGCTATTGTAAGTGTCCGTTTGTCTGTCTATCTATCTGTCTCCCCGTCCATTTGTCTGTCCATCCATCCATCCATCCATATTTCTGTCAGTTCATCCATCTGTCTGTTATCAATATATTAGTGGTACATATGTAATCCTAATCCTCCCAACAATTTAATTGGTTTCACTTTTAAAATGAGTATATAAAAAACCTTCAATTGTCAATTGAAAAGCTTGCCTTGTTTTACAATGGCAGCCATTTTGATTCCTTGATGTGCCATTGAATTAATTGACATACTTTGCCTTGCTAATTGCCTACAATATCTTTCATTTCCACTCTTTGTTTTTAAGTGTAAGTCTGTTCATTCCCTACCCTTTGCACAGTCTAGTTATAAATACCCTCTGCCTAGTATAAACTATATTACTGTTTAGTAGCCCACCCCATGACCTATGCCTTTGACAGCCCGGGCCATAAATCATTTCAAATATACCATTCTGATCTCTTCTCAACCAATCAGTGAGCTGGAAGGAACACATGCTTAATGCATGCTCATCAATTATGCGATGATGTCAGAGGAAATTACCATATATAGAAAGTTGTCCGAATTTCAACGGCAAACTCTGAATGGCTCGGTGAGTTCAGAGATTTATCGTAAACTGAGAGTGAAGACGAAGATTTCTTTTAAGAAGCGAAGTTGAAGGAATGCAAAGGGTATTCATTCCCTCATTGACCTACTGCAGTACTTCTTGATTTAACAACCTTAGGGCTACTTAATTAATATACAGAAAGTTGAAGGCTAGAAAATAACATGTTTATATTTACAGTTTCATTTGGCACCATGTCAGAATTGATTTTTTATTTTATCAGCATTTCTCTAATAAGTAGTCTCAACATTATTCATTAAATAATAACTGCCTGGCAGTCTCTCATATGCAAAGCTATCTTAGACTAAATCTAAGTATATTTTGAGCATTGTTCAGCAGTGTTTGATTAACAAGAATAAGGGATTTAGTACAAAAGATCAAACCCACTACCCATGGCATCTATGCTACCAATCACAACATTTATTCTTGTCAAATAATCCCTCTAAAGCTCATGTCTGTAGACAGTCATCAGTCAACTGATACATGTAGCCAAACCATGCCCGGTGATCGTACAAAAATGATGGAGGGGGGATTAGGCGATTTCTCTCAAGAAAACTCAACAAATCTGGAAGATTTATTTTTTCAAGAGAAAATTTACAACTGAATTGCCAAATGAATAGGCGCAGTGCATGCCAAAATATGTTAGGTCATCTAGTATTTTTTTTTGAATTGATACCCTTCTAAGATATGAGATCTATTAAAAGAGGCGCATCATCACCAACGTGCAAATGTCAATGTTTTTGCTATAAATCGAGCAACAATGGTCTACACGACCTGTAATAAATAGGTATAAGGGACGTAATTATCACAATACTAATGACATTGCTCACTTTTTTTAAAGTTAGTTTCCATGCGTAATACAAAAAATAATTGAAATAAATTAATTTGGGATGGAGGGGGGGGATCGGATGGAAATATACTGTGCTAAAAGTTGTCAAACAGAGGTTAGGGCTCGGACCGGTACTCGGGAATGACAAGTCGGGTGCAAAATGTGGCCGGATTCGGTTACAGACTTCAATATCCTAAAACCGAATCCATTTCTGTTCTAAATAATCACACGATTCTATGCCTGGATATTGCAAAAACGTCTAGAAATAAAAGAATATGAACAAAATCTCACCGAAACGCTGATAATCACTATTTTTTGTGCTTTTATTTTTCGTCCCAACATATTTATGATACCCGGATGTAGGTCATAGGAATTCTGGGATACCCGGAAGTAAACAACAACGACAGAAGACGTAAGTTTTGTCATATTTTTCATTGAAAATAAGAATTTTGAAGCAGTTTGACAAGATCTTGACGTATAAGTTCGGTTATTAGGATTCGGATTTATCTTGACCAAAACGGTTTTCGGTTGTGATTTTCACAACCGGTCCGAGCCCTAACAGAGGTAGTGGGTATCTGAGAGTTGACTATCAAAATGTAGTTACCTCCCCTACATTGAACTTTTGTAAGGGTAAGTTGTTTTAAAGGAGCAAACAACCCCCGGTTTTGTTACTAGAAAAAGCTAAAAAATATATGAATAGCAATCAAAACATTATGAATAACCTTCAAATTATTCATGACTATAATGGTCTATTTTTATTATCAGTTCCAAAAGCAATTGTTCGCATTATTATAAAATAAATCATTTCTCATTAAATATTGAACATTTCCATGCGAGCCATCACATCAAAATAGAATGTTGTAGATGCAAGATCAATAACATAAAATAAAAGGAGCAATGTATCTGATACTTATTTATATGAATTATGACTATGAACATGTATATGATCAGATGATCGACTCTCAATTATAGGTCAGTATCAGTTTTGATTTAATAACAATTTTAGTTCCTTTCATGGCAAGTACCAAGTACCATTTTGGGGACGGAATCAAGTGAGGTCCTTAAATTTCTCCATTCCTTATATGTGTGCAATACCACATCTCATTGTCCAAAACCACATGCAGATGCTTCACACTATGTTTCCATATGATTCTGGCAAATAGTATAAAGGTCATATAATACAAAATTATGGATCTGTAAGGAAAACCTCCATAAGATAAATTACTCTAAAGAGGGCTTGCAGATATATTCTAGTTTAGAGATATTAAGAGAGGTGGATTGAACATTTGAGCCAAAGAGGAATAATGATTCCAGGGAAGTTGACATTTGACTACTTAGGTCCAAAAATGGCCAAAATCACTGATTTTGAAAGAATTTTTGGCCAGGAGTTCGCTTGAACCCCTGAACCCTCCCTTTCCTCTATGGCTACAGGCCTGATGCTCCATAGTGTTCATAATGTTAAAGGGTATGGAAAAGTGTATTGACTTAGGCTGAGCTGTTGTTCTATGTTATTAAAAGAGGTCATCACTCAACACAATTCAAACAGTGCTGTTGACCTTGGGGTGATAGCTCAGCCCTGGTCTTCCTGAATAAAAAACATGGCAAATGATGACTAGATTACAGAAACTCATATATAAATCAAGGCTGTAATTATATACAACTGGGTGATAAATAGTTCATTAATATCATTATAAATTAGAGGGTTTGTTATAATTTGCACTCTACTTTTGAAATATTGTCCAGATTTTATTTGTGATAGGAAAAAATTATAAGGACATAAATTATTAGGATTTTATATTAGATTTTATATTCTGACCTCTGGGTACTCATATTTTTATCACCATAAATTTTTTGTTGTTTTCTGTTTTCATTTTAGGCTGAGGTGTATTGAAGTACACAAGATACTATTTTGCTTGTAATATTTTAGATGAAATAACAGCGAAAAAAAGTAGATTTTGGAAGAAAAGAATTCAAACTTTTCAGACTTCATTCATATTTTAAATTGTTCAAAAATCGAAAAGCTGATTCCACCCCATGAAGAGAAATTCTAAGGATAAAATCAGACATAGCTTTTTGCAAGAGTTGAGAGTACATCCGTTTGTGAGAATGTTGAAATGATGCCAACGGCCTGTACTTCAGATATCTCTCCGTTCAGTCAATTCCACAAAAGTTTTCTATAAAACACAGTGAACTGCATTAATTAACTGGAATTTCTTTGCAACCAATACGTTTGCCCTCTTGCCTGTTACTCTAATTTCATTCTTCCCTATTTTATTCTATATTATGAATTATGGTTGCATGACATTTTATATTTGTGCAGAGAGTCTCCTGGCTGGCAGCCAGCCAACATGTTATCCAGATTATAGTAAAAATAAAAGTGCTATGTAAACTGAAGTAAATATTATTAATGTTAATAGATCTGTCATAGTTGATGTGAAGAGTCTTCAAATATTCTTGATTTATTGTCAAATCAGTGGGAGGGGGTTCATAGATCATGGATTCCATTCAGGCATGCTCCATGTGAACACAATCTGGCTCTTAGCTAAAAAGTGAAACCAAGGATTCATTAAACTTGATCTCCTTTTTGTGTTGTTATCTGATTGGCAAGTACTCAAAGCTGTTGAAGGGGAGTCATATAACATTATCACCTCATGTCTATTTATCAAAATTCTACTAACATTAATATTTTTAAGACCCTTTCACCAATTGATGCCTTGGCTTGGATGTGTATCACATTATACTCTTAACCTCCCAGGAGTGATCATAGTTTGGCTCTAAGTCAGAAAGGCTTGTAGATGTTTTTGTGCAGATGCATACTGTTAAGCATGTGCATCCGAAGTGGGGAGGGGGGGGGGTGCATTTGGGTGTCTGAAACTGCCCAGAATTGTTTTAATAGATATTCAGATTGCACCAAATAACATCTTTGAAAAATATTCCTTGAAGAGCAATGCCCCCAGACACCCCCCTCCCCTAGATATGCAGCCTTCAGCCATTGCAGTTACTTGCCACACCACATATACGCAACCCTTTTTCAAATATGGTCTGACATGCCTGTTAAGTTATTATTAATTAGAGATGCTATCAGGTATCTTCCCTTAGAATGTCAACCATCAGTAGGATGACATGTAGTGGGACTTCAATACATTAGATAGCAACATGATCTCCCTCATACCACCCTTATGTACAAATATTGTGAAGGCATATCACGGTTGTTCTGGATACTATAGTGAAACTTATTGAAGGTCATAATTAGGAGTTGTGAGTTAAAGGCATATTGACTTCAGGGGTAGACTGTATATATTTTATATCTTTGATTTAATATAAGTAGATAGGAAAGCCTATGTACAACCAGTATGTTTTATTACATCACAGCTATTACATACATAGAATGAAGTTATCACAATGTTCTCATTTTACTTGCAGACCCCTGAAGAATGGGAAGATATGAATGATAAAAAGAGTAAAAAAGGCCATAAACGATCTGCATCTCTTGGTAATGGAGACCAACAACTAAAGGAAGTAAGTTGGAATATATATAATAGATATACATCTATACTATAAAGCCATCTGATAGTTCAATCAATTATGATTAGAAAACCATACCATGGATCTCAATAGCTTGCATTATTCAACTGTCAATCATTGACATATGCAAATATATGTAAATTAGTATTGAAATATCTGTTCTAATTATTTTTATTTGTTTTTTTAGCTCATTTCATGTTTCCATTTTCAGTAAATGTACTTGGAAATATTGAATTCTATGATACTTTTTAAAATTTCTAAAGTGCGTCTTCAACAAAAATTGTCAGCCCTGGCTGATAGGCATAGCACCTCTGCTTGAGAATGGATTTCCAGTATTGCAACCCAATTAAAAATAGCTGCTAATTTTTATATAAACCTCTTCAACAATTTCACCTATTAACTATAACAACTTCCAAAATCTATAATTCATGTAATTTGCTGAAAAATCATCATGACATTTTCAATCTGAGGCTATTGGTGCTTCTTCTATAGCGAAGGACATGAACTCTATGAGATTATCAGTTTATCCATGGATTTATGTGCTGGCTCTACCTTGGGATTAATCAGCTAGCTGGCTTATCATTGTATATTGAGGCATTTTTAACAACATGAATGGCTTGACCTGTCTTGTTTATATTGTGATGCCATCTTCTAAGGCTTGGTAATAGGGATGTATCTAAATGAGTACATGGGCATTTTTATCTTATAGAGCATGTATGCAAATAGGTATGTGGGTATTATTGACTTACATCAGGAAAGTATACAAATGGGTATATGGGCACATAGGAAGATAACAATTAAGAATATATATTTATCAAGAGATCAGGATTTTTTCGACCTGTCTCTGTTGTTTGGATTTAAATGTTAATCAAACATTATATTTGAGTATATGGTTTATGAAATATAGAGTGTGCTTTATGTTCGGTTTAATTGTAATTATCTATTCTATTTTACTGTATTTCAAACAATGACGGATGTCTGTTTGCTCAGCTCTACATCCATCCTTCCTGCATATAACACCTAACGCTCCCCTAGGCTTCATCACTTTCCAATTAACGCATCTCAGCCTCCATAAATCACCCTTAATGCATCATTTTAATTTCAATAGGGAGAAAATAGTGATAGAAATATTAATACTAATGCAAATAGACCATTCCCGGCCTCATCATAGTTCCCATTAAATCTACAACGCAGCAGCGGCCACCATCGCTGTCATCATGACATACTAAACTTCATGAAGTATTTATAGCCTAATCATAGATGAAATAAAAATTAACTTTTATTTTGTGAATTATGTCACATGTGATGACTAAAGTGTGAGTAATCAGGGTGGGATAACATGTACAGTTTTAACAGGTGTCTTAAATCAACCAACAACATACCTCTACTTAATATTACCATTTTGGATATAACATTAAGTGAACCAGGAAGAAATAGCAAGGAAAAAGTCCAAATACATCAATACTGTATGTATTCGAAATGTAAAACATTGTTTAAGGCACTCATGATTGGAAGTTGAACATAGATGTCATGTTTTATTGCTTGCGTCAGCAACACTGTAAAATAGTTGATAGTTCAGAAGAGACAGCCGCTGAATCATTGACGGCACTGCTGGTTTCTGAGATCATAGACAATATTGTGGCGAAGTTGTCGGCTGTTCTACTTAATTTTAGTCACTAGGAACAATTCATCATTAATTACTATTGAATCAGATATTTTTGGCGAGCCATTGAAGATCAGTCAGTGTTTGTTTAAATTTTTTAGTCGGTGATATTTTACTTGGTATTTATAGTATAAAAAACAATGGCAGAGCAATAAATACGTTTATGTCATAGCAGGAAATTGCAGACATCTCAAAACAGGCGTATAGACTTATATTTTAATATATACTTGTATCTGCAACAAGACGGTTTATTCGGAAAATTCAGAATCTATTTGAAATCTGTTGGCTACTAAGAATAAACCTTGTAATTGGACTGTCTACTAAACAGCTTGTAAATTAAGAGAGAGAAAACAAACCAAAGATGGATTTGGATAAAATGGTAAGCTAGCTGATAAAATAGTTGGATATAACTGGAACTGCTGAATTGTATTTATATCAACTTAATTTGATTCGACCCCTGATGAAAACAATCAATTTTTATATCAGAAAATCATGGAGCATTTATATCCTCTCAGAGGGACTTCCATTTTAATGTGTTAGCCTATTTTACAAAATGAATTGTTTTGAAATCAAGCAAGGAGAAAATACATATAACATATCAATAATGTTCTCAGCGCACTGTTTTTATTATACAGTTCTGGTTGATTCGATGTATTTTATGTTGAGATAGATTTTGCCCTGTCATATTTCTGTGAATTTTCATCCTATGGTTCAGACTTTTTAAGACTACATTGTTCAAGCTAAATTGTCTACAGGATGGGCTGGGTTTAGAGACCTTTTTATTATATATTAAATGCCGACTATATACATGTAGTGTACAGTATACATGTACATGTACATATATGCATGTCATGTACAGTATATGCATACATAAACCTATATATATATATATATAGTAGGTATACATGTATGGGAAAAGCAGTGATAAATTCGTAAGTTAATGCTGCTTTAAATGACTTTGCCATGGGCAATATACGCACACTTACTATAACATGCAATGTCAGCTTTACTTAGCATCAGCTCAATAGGGGCTTCAATAGTAAAAACTTGCAATAGTAACTTAATTTCATTTTTTAGCAAAAAGTGTTGGTTGAATCTTTCTAAAACTCGAAGGGCATACATTGTAGCCATACCCAAGAAAAGATAAATAAAAAGGTGGTAACAGATTTTGAAAGCTTACACATTTCAGAAAACCTTTTCACGATGACTTTATGGGAGCCTGGGCACGTTAAAATACAAGCGATGTTCCTCAATCACAAATAATATTTCGTGAGATATGGTTTTGGGCATGCTGGGTAAATTCCATAGTGGCCATTTTGCTCATCAAAGCGCAATATTTATCACTATGTGTCTTGTTAGTTTCTCTGTATTAAATTGGTTGTGTGTTAGAAGTGACTCACCAGATGATGATAATTTATTACTTTGGAATTATATGATAAGATACATCAATAAATTCCATATTTTGGGAACACAATAAAAAGTGATTGTTTACCTTTGTATGGTACACCACACCAGATACATATATATGAACATCATTTGATGATAAACGATTATTGCACCAAGAACTATTCTTGTTTTTTTCAGAAGAAAGCAGCTATAAATGACTATACTATATTCATATTTAAGCATAAATGTCAAAGGGAAAGGACCAAAAACATGATAGTTTAGATGATTGTAAAGAACTATATTGTATGAATTCTTCTGCTTTCCAGAAAATCAAACAACATCTTCAGAGAAGTAAAGAAGGGAGTAAGCAAAGTGCGGCACGCAGTCAGCGCCAGAGTCCAGTCCCTGGTAACCATGCAGCGATACAGACCGCTCCAACCACATGTAAAGCTCCCAGTCAACCTATTATGATCAATATCCAACACATTCCTAAGGTGCCAAGGTATCGTGGCAGTGTAGAAGGTCTCAATCAGGTTAGAGTTTTAACCTATAAATACCACGTCTAATCTTCCAAAACTTTTGAACTACCTGGTTTTTGAGTTCTGTACTATTGCTATATTATTTTAGTATCCCACCAAACTAAGTTCGAGGGGGATATAGGAAAGCTGTATGTCTATCCGTTCATCCATCCGTTTGTTTGGGCAATAACTCAATACCGGTTGACGGATTTGATTCAAATTATAGGCTTATGCCTTATGGGAACCTCTGCTCGAGAAGGAATTTTCAATATGGCCACTTAATTCAAAATGGCTACCATTTTTCGTAAAAAATGTAATCTTTGATAACTCAAATACTAGTTGACGGATTTTGCTCAAATTCTTTCTGCTGATGCCTGCGGACAAAGGAGCTACCCTGAAGAGATTCTCAAAATGGCTGCTAAATATCAAATGGCGACCATTTTTCGTTACAAAAACATAATCTTTGATAACTCAAATATCAGTGAACAGACTTGGCGGCTGAATTTCAAAATGGCCGCCATTTTTTATAAAAAAGTAATCTTTGATAACTCAAATACAAGTTGACGGATTTGGTTCAAATTTGATATGCTGATGCCTAAGGACAAAGGAGCTATGCTGAGGAAGAGATTTTTAGAATGGCTGCTAAATATTGAAATGGAGGCCATTATTTGTAAAAAAAGGATGTGAACGGATTTGGATCAAATTTATATGATGATACCTAGAGACACAGTACCTCTGTTTGACAAAGAATTTTCAAGATGGCAGCTGAATTTTAAAATAGCCGCAATTTTTCGTAAAAAATGTTTTACAATTTATATGTCAATGCCTAGTGACAAACAAGCTCTGCTCAAGAGGGAATTTTCAAGATTGTCACTAATAATCAAAAATGTTTTGGTTGAATTTGCTTCTCCGTGGGGTTGCTGTTTTTCTAGTTGCTAATTCTACAGTTGGCTACTGTATTTTACCTTTTAAAAAACCTTGGGAGATCACTGCTATGTGTTAACCCTATATACAGTGGCTATACACTAGTGTTGTCGCGATGTGCCATAATCGTGCATCGATGCATCGGCAATTTTCAGTAGTAAACATCGATGCACATCGCGATGTACATCGAGAAAAAGTCCGAGAAAAGTGCACTGAAATACCGAACGCTAATGCACTAAAATATCAAACAGAACAAATTAATAAGAGTACGCTGGTACATCCGGGAACTTCAAGTAACGGTGAAATGAAAGTAAAGTAAAATTTTTTAGATAATGCTTCATTTCAACTAGCTAAAATAGTTTTAAAGCGAAAGAATATCAGAAAACATTGGAAAATGAAATAAGACATGAGAAAGGTAAGCGATTTGCATCAAAATAAGATAAGAAAGGGTGATTTTTAGCAAATTAAATTTTTGTAAAAACATCAATGTTTTTACAAAGACATCAATGCATCGCCAGAATCAGCTTTGGTGATGTATATTGCGATGTATCGATTAATCGCGACAACACTACTGTACACAAGTTTGTCTATATTTAGTAATTATATGCAAATTTAGACCTCAATTTGCATCACGTTTTATTGATACATTTTGAAAAATGTAATTAACTGTTCTCAATTCACCAAAGAGTGTCCATGTGAAAATGCATATCAGAAAAGACAATATACTAGAAACATGTACCAGTAGTAATTTACATGCATATTTTCATATTGTCTCCAAGGGTAAAATAGATCAGTATGTAGATCAATTTCTATATTTGCAATATGGTGTTCAATAGTTGCAGATACAGTGTAACATGTCCTAAGTACAAATGTTGTCATGACCTCACCCAGTTTCTGTGTGATTGAATGCCATATTGCTATAGTTATTAGATATGAGGAGATTAATATATTATAAGGATGGTAGTCATGGTACAGTTGATGGCTTTGTCATAAACATTGATGGTTTTTAATGTACATGTACTCATCTTAATTGGTGCATATCATCTTAAAAAGTGAATACATGAACAATTGTGCATGTAAAAAGTGAAGATGGTATAAAAGAAGCTATTGCTATATGCAGTGCAAGTACTCTATTACAGTAAAGATATATTTGAATTTCTCCTCCAAAGAGAAAAGAATTAATGTGCAAAGAGTGCCCTTGAGTGACCTTGATTATGAATTCAGTATAATGAAATTTAATATACACATATATACACATATATCTCTGACATTGCTTTGTAATGTCATTCTACAATGAACTTGAATTAATTGTTTAGTAATTTTAAAAATAGAGGCTTACAACATATGAATTATGTCCAATTGACACACCACATGAACAAATCTATTTAATACAAATCATTATTTGATCATTCAATGCAAATAAATCTGCATTGCAATCATAAATGCATCAGTAAAAGTGATGTCTGTATCGGCAAGGATCAAGGAAAACTACCAGTATTCTTGTTAACGCTGTTTTTTCTCATTTGTCCGGAAATTTCCACTGAGTTGTGTCCCGACTCCCTGGGACTCAGAAATTTAAATGGCTACTGGGAATACTGTCTACCTAACTTGGCCTAGCTAAAAAATGATGTTCATCAAACCTGTTTAAGTGACCATCCTCGGTTATTTAGGTCTCTAGGGTTGCTAATTAGAGATCATAAATGAATTTAGACTATGAGTTACATGGCTTAGGGTGACTGCTAATTCCACAGTTAGTAAATCTAACACCGTCTGAGATAAATTGAAATGTGCTATTTTAGAAGATTTTATTTAGGCAGAGGCGCCATAAGTGCAGGAAATGTGACATCATTTGCTATTAGCTTTTCTCAATCCCTGCTAATGATCAAGGAAAGATTAGTTTTACAGCTATTTCTATGTATGACTCAGTGGATTTGTTGAACAAAACATTTGCTTTGCACAGAGGTAGGAATATACTAGTCTGCTTTTGCAACACTACTTCATATTTGATAAACTAGAAAAAATGAATATGAAATCTATCAGGTTCAAACATGTCAACAGATGTAGAAGTACATCAAGTGTTTTGGACTATCGATTAATTATAAATCGCCATTTTGATCATTAAGATCATACCCAATTTCTTGCATCTAGTTTATACCTTATTTCTTTATTCATATCAAACCTATTTTCTCGCATTTACTTTATACCCTCATTTCATTTTGTTTTACATCTAGAAACATGACAATCTTCTGGAGTTTATATTTCTTTTTATAAATTGGAGCTTATTGAGGATATAATAAGATCACTAACAGTGAGTGATGTTATGAAATATGTAAGTTTGCATGTTCCGGAACAAAACAGATCTGGAACGAAACAGATAATGCACGAAGGCGTAAATCTTGGAATTGATAGTGTTCTATATACATTGCCTTGGGAGTAGCGAGAGGGACTGAACAGAGAATTCTACCAAAGGCATCGAAACAATTTACCAACTTGTTGGTTGCTCTTTTAATGAATACAGTTTTTTTATGAGCTTGTATTTGTTGAATTGATAAGCTGCTGGAGATCCCTTCAAAGACTTGGTAGATTGCAATGAGTTTATCAGCAATTTATATTGCGTTGTTATCCTGTTTTCCTGCGTCATTCTCTTTGGCGTGACATATAGCACAATTTGTCACTCTCAAGTTGAGAAGTCATTACCCACAACATAACCTAATTACCCACAATCGTCTTTGCTCACCTTTATTGAGTTTTTCAAATGTTGAACTTCTTTTTCGCTATTATGGTAAAGCCAATATATAAAACCCAATCTAATGAATATGAAAGACTCGTCAACAAGGAATGTGATGATATATATTTTGTTAAAAATCGTGTGTGTCAACATTTTCCATATATAGTTAACTGGGAGAGGGTGTGTCTGTGACTTAACTGATAATATATACCTTTTTGTGCTACATTGAACTTTTAATGTGCTTCCTAATTACAATGAATTTATTTAACGAATGAATCATATGAACAAAGAAGGGTTGCAGATATAAAAGGGATATTGAATTAGTGGGTGAAACAAGTACATCATGAAATCGCCATGTTCTTTAAGCTAGAGCAACGATCAATATACATAAAACTATCAAACCCAAAGCTTTCCATGTTGACATAATTTGCAATTTATTAAAACAGATATCTTTATGTTCATATTTGATGCATCATATCTTTTAAAAATATTTGCTTTGAATTCATTCTTGTTGAGGCTAAATGATATAAAGTGGCAAATCGCATCATTCAAAATTTGTTTGGTTTTGCATCAATAGACCCTGGTAATTAGTGAGTATATCAAAGCATGACAAATTAGTCTTTAAGAAACTTAACAAAAAAGAAAATTCAGTGACCTACATTTTTGGTACTTTTAAAAAGTAGGTCATACTTTGTAGAAAATTATTCACCTTCAACTTTCAGAGAAAATTCTCCGAAAAGCACAGAAATGAGATAAGAAACTGTGAAAAGAAATTGACACGGTCACAGTTCATATATATAGATCCACAAAATTGCAACGTTTTGTATAATGCCAGATTGTTGGGTGGTAGTTGATAAACATTTAGAGAGAAATAATGTAGTACACTCCTGACTGGCATTTTAGGCTGCTCGGTTATACAGGACTAGGAGTAGAAATATCACCAGGGACTTTTAGTTTTACATATGGCAAATTAACATGGCAAATAAGGCTATAATTATTGTTTATAGCGTGATAAAAATGTGTATCATTTGTTATCTAGCCTGATTTAACGTTTATTAGTGTGTTATAGAAAGTAAGTTAATTGCAGACCTGTGTTACAGATGTGAACATGATCACGACTATTCCTTGATATTTTACGAAGTCTGATTTTCACAAAGATTTATACGGTTGAAAGTTAAATGCAAGTTTACATAATGGTTGTTATTTTCACTTGTCCTTCACCTTGGTGTCTTATTTTAGCCATGACATAGGCCTGGATGTTTTATACTCTCAGGTTTAAATGCCAAGTATGTTTTATATGTTATAGGACAGTTAGGCAAACATACATTCATGGTAAAAACAGTTATATGATATATGATATGAATTATATATCAAATATCCGTATTTACTTAGCAGACTTTTGTATCCCACTCACTGTTCGTGTAATTGTCAGTTATACTTAATTGTTAACCGAATCAGATTGATTTACTGATTAAAAGTGGTGCAGTTGTCCTAGAATCGTGTTATTGATGCAATAATGGTCTCGATAGTTGTGTCGATTCCAGTGTTAATAATCGTGACTTGCTTGTTCCTAGCGACTGTTTTAAGAAGCTATATGGAACATAGTTACAACTGATATAGATCTTTGCTGATTTTATTTTAAAAATGTATCCACAATATGGTCTGATATAGATCTTTATGTTAAAGTTTTTTAAAATAAATATTTCGGAAGAGAATTCATCCAAATACTCCATTCATTTTTGCTCTATCGAGGACTTTTAGGTCGCCTTTTCATAATCATGTCACCTAAGTCTTTTCCATAACTTGAACCTTTTTTGGTTATCAGGGATTAGACCTGTAGCATGAAGGCCAAAAACTGGAAGTTTAATTTCCAAAATACCTTATGGATAAAAACCGTTGGAAAGCTTATATACTCAGGTGTATATGTCAGCCAGATACATAAATCTGACTTTTGATCGTCACTGTAGATCATATTATTATGTCTTTTCACATATATCACATGTATACTGACCAACTTTATTTATTAACATCCCAGGTGACCCTTGGGCCACATTAAACATCTAAACACTGATCACCATTGAAAATGTAGGAGTTTCATCACCATTGCAATTTACTAAGGAACTACATGTATGTTGTTGTTTTGTACTTCCAGGAGATTGAGACATTGAGTCTTGCCAAGGCTACCTCAGGAAATGACAGTGATGACTTAGACCGAGTGAGTAGACTTTACACATCACTCCAGTGCTGTCAGATTGTTGCCATATTAGGACCTTACATCACCAACTTCCCCTTATATTTTGAAGATTAATATCAATTCAAAATTCATTATGTCTGTCGTTCCTTTTTGATTTAAGGCTTAAAGTTTCTGGTTATATTTCATGATTTTTCATGATTTTGTTCTAAATCTTTTACTATATGTGAAAAGAACTTAGCACATAACTGCAGCACATAACATAACTGTAAATTATCCTTTATTTTATGTTTAGACTCAGGAACCAACCCCAGATGGCCATCGTGCCCCCGTTTTGGAACTAATAAGCAGCAGCACACGGGACATAGATACCCAGACCCCCCTAGAGGAGAGCAGTAGAAATAGTAGCAGTGCAGGAAGCAGATCGCAGTCAGTGAGTCCCTCCATGCCTATCATCCCAGGCACTATGGACACGTCACGACCAAGCAGTCGCGACCTAGACCAGGATAGGATAGAAAAAGGTGAGTTATTAATAGCAGCTATAGCATGATGCCTGCTGTCTCTATCTACAATAACACCTGTGTATGTGCACCACCAACTAGAATAGGGATAAAGACTTATTTGTTTTGAATTGTGGTTGAGAATAAATGAAATAATGTTTATATCGGTATGCAATTTATTGTCAAAATGGCTGCAAATGCATTGTTTCCTGAGCATATACTTCAATATGACACGTTTGAATGTAAATTGTTTTAAATTGAAAAACTTTGGAAATACTGAAAATGTCCCTCACCACAAATATTCAAAACTGCATACAGTTTTTACATCTACAACACTCATTTAGAGATTCTAATGTTACCATAATGATGTATACACTTAATAATCATATTGATATAAGAGATCTCAACAGGATAGCACATTCAAGTTCTTGACATTTTCTGCACCCTAACCCTTTACAATTGAATTGTTTACAACAATATCTTATTGATTACACGCTAGAGCATTGAACACTTAAACATAAAGCTATTTGATACATTTACATACTTTTCTCAAGACATGGATACCTCTAAACATATACACAGCTATAACAAAAAAGCTCTAATTTTCTAAAGCCTGTTCAGATATCAACATTTCTATTGAATCACATATCACATACAGTGGAAGTCAAAATAAGGCAATGATTTATGACATAATCTAACATGATATTAAAAACACTCAGAACATTTTGACCTTCCATTTTATTGAGTTGAAGAATGATCAATGTATAACATTGATTTTTGTACTGTTATTCCTGTAAATATATCCGACTGTGTCATTAAGCATACTCACAGGCATGTTGTTTACTTGACACATTTATTCACTTTTGACATGTTTGCCATTCATCTTAGAAAACAAAAAACTACTCCAGGATGCTATGATGAAGTAGATATTATGTGAATTTAAATGTGAATTCAACCATCACCAAATACTCTTAATCAATCAGAAAGCTTATTTATTTGCTAAAATGAACATTTTTAATCTTGCATGTTCACGTTTGTGTACTAGTCTTGCTTCGTAATTCACTTCGTACACAGGGGGTTGGGGGATATGCAGTCTTGAGGCAAGACTAATCTGGACCATAGTTTTATGCCTAGATCCAGGGATCAATATTAGGATGTCATGCCCAGGTCAGACTGAAACCAAGTCATTTCAGCACAAAATCAATCAACATGTTTATTTTGGTCTGTTTTCATATTTTATAAAGAGTAAAATAGTTGAGTTGCAATAATGAGGAGATTCATCAGTTGGGTCTTCATTTAGATAGGGATTAATTCTGCTTTTTTCATTATTAGGCAACAATTGCAATTTTGATTCATTATTCTTTAAATTAACGTCAGCTACATATATGGAGATACCAAGACATTAACTTAAATTCTTATTGGATTGCTTTTTACTACTTTTTTCTGATATAAAGGGTGTCTACAAGCTTTCTTTTGGAGACTTGCAGTCAAACGCTTTCAAATGGTTCCAGATGTGGAAACAAAGCACAGGCCCGTGGCCAGGGGGGTTCACTGGGTTCGAGGGAACCCCCTCTGGCCAAAAAGCTTTCAAATTCATGCAGTTTTTCACCAGTCTGAGCACTTTTTTAGTGACTTTGGCCATTTTTGGACCAAAATTGTCACAAGTGAACCCCCCCTGGAATTTTTCAAAAAGTGAACCCCCCTTGGCAAATCCTGGCTACGGGCCTGTAGCATTTATGTATATTGAAGCAGAGAAGTTAAGAAAGTATAACTACTGAGAGCTCATTGTTATAATAACCAACATTGAACTAACAGTATCAATAGAACCAACATTGACCAAATTAAATTAACCAATAAAACTCAAAATTCCAAGAAAGATATGTCTGCTAAGATGTATCTTTCTATTACCCTAAGAAGTTAAGCTTGTACTGTTTTGAAGTTTCTTAGGTTGAACCCTTCCCAATATTGTAATTTATTCAAGACATGGCTACTTGATGTGACTAGACTCTACTGCTCTTCCTCTTCAGGGAAATCTCAATTTTTAGAAGTGTCTCTAGAAAAGTCAATCTGTATTAAAGAGGCTTAAGATGTCAAGTATTGTCTATGTAATGTAATGATGCATAGCAAAGGCTGACTGCTGACTCGAAGGTGTCATGCCATCTGAGAAATAGGGGAAATTCACAACCTGACATCACAACATCCCTTCTTAAATACATACAGTTGCTGAAGGGGCTTTTCGCTTTGGTCTATGGATCTGAAATTATTGCACTGATTTTGCTGAAAGTTAATCTTAGTTTATGATATTGCAATACAAGGCATAAATATGCAAAATGTCACCACCTGCCATTTGTTACAGATGCTGACCACTGAATGCCGAGCACTGTCCACAAATTCTGAGATTATAACAATATGTCCCCATTTGTGGTGGTGAAATAATTATGTTGAAATTTTGCCACATTTTCCTGTATAAATCTCAGAAATTGATTTCTGGTGTTGCTCACCATTAAGTATAAATGGCCCGATCCCGGAATAATACTCAAGGGTTCACAGGTTCGAGGTCGTTGTGTCAACACCTCTAGCTGTTATAGCATTAGTATATTATAGATGTCACACATTTATAAAAGGGACACTTCTATTTTGACAAATCAATATGACATTTATGGGTGAAATTTCAGGATCTTCTATTTGTGTATAATAAGGAAACATTGACATCAAAATTTCCCCATAATACATTAGTACATGGCTTGGCATATGAAATATCCTCCAAATGAAACAAAGCAGTTCTAACACAACGATTTATATTGGCTGTTGTACATGCATTCTTTGAACAATCACTCTCAATAATGTTTTCAGAATCATTATAAACTGATTACTTTATCTCCAAGACAATTTCATTAATTGGATTTTATAAAACTCCCCTTATTTCTTAAAAATGGATTGATCCAGTTGACGCGCCCGGAGCCGCCATATTGTCTTCATACAGGAAGCTTATCGGAACCCTTTAAGCCTTGGTCTATTCTTCATCTTTACTTTAAAATGTTTTCTTGTGTTTCAGATGATCTTTCTGTGCAGGAGGGTAGTTCACCAGACCCTATTATGGTACAGAAATATGCCGCCAGCCCACGTCCTAACAAATCGTATGCATTCGTGCGTGAACCACCAGATGGCTGTGAGAGAGCTAAAGTTATAGATGAGAGGTGAGTAAAAGAGCAGAGCTGTGAAGAGGTTCAAATTGTATGATGGGATATGCATGTAAATACCACATGCAAATGCCTTTTTGATTTCTATGATGATAATATACATACAGTACTTACGAATCATTGAGGTGTGTGGTGGAGAGACTAAAATTAATGAAGAAGTCTAGAGATGGAACCACATACTCCACAAATGTGTTCATGTAAGAGTGATTTAGTTTTTGGCTCATAGATAATAGTACTTCTAGTGACATTTCAGGCTGTAACTTAAATAACGCATTCTCAATTAGGTCTGCATCTCGCTGTTGTAGCATTTACCAAAAGGAGACTACTGTCCCTTGGTTATTAATTAATTTTATGATGAATTGTTCAAATGAGGATTGATTTGATAAAAAAGTTTCGTTTGGTGAGAATTGCCACTCTGTGGATCGAGTTGATGTTTTCTTGTTAAAATACTTCTCATTTGTTCAAGCAGAAGTTGGAGTATCAGTTTCACTTAAGAAACAGCTGATAATGAGATTTATGAAAGAAATAATTCAAATGCTAATGAGCAAGGCATGCCAAGAAATATTTATAATTGCAATATTGCAATTGAGTATCATCTATGGTAATTGAAACCCACACATTATTGGAGGCTCTTGCATACATAATGTCAGATGTGTTGATTGTCAGCTATTGACCAGTTTCTACATTTAAAAATGTAAAATGAGTCATATAATGGTGCTCTTATATGGTGCTGTATAATATGCATATGGTATACATGTTTAGTAACATTTGCCACTATTATATCAGCCATATAACATACAAAACCTTTTTTTTTATTATTTATTTAATTTGGGTTGTAATGGCTTCTTGAAATTTAGTGAGTTTGTTAATGTCTGTTAAGTTTAAATTTGACTTTATTTTTTCAGCCATGCACCTGTGTTAAAGGAGCCATTACTATTCTGTCCAGTAAGAAGTAATTTGGTGTTTGCTCCAAGTGAGGGCTCAGCATTCTGTTATCTTCAAAAAAATATAACCAGTGCTGATCTTGCAATAGAGTCACCTGCATCTAAGAATACACTGACCAGCATCGAGAGTCAGTAATGACATCATGTTAAGCTATGAAGCCACGCTATATAATATTGGAGGCTGAGGCTGTAGGTGAATTGCTGGTAGAATACACAGAGTGTGCTAGCTGTGGAACTAAACGGGTATTAGCTTATAGTTGATGGCTGTGTAGACATCTTATATACAGTAGACACAGACTACATTGATATACTACTACCAGTTCAATGAACACTTCATTCAGGCCTCAATTGGAGAGTAACTTGGAAGTAGTTTTGTTGCAAAGGTCCAGTGCCATTACCATAGTTTAACAGCCTCTGGAATGTGGTCCTGCCATGCCATTTCTAGCTGTTTGAAGAACAGTTGTGTACATAATTTGTTGTAGGATAATTATACCATGTACACATTCTTCCATTTTCTGGAGAAATTGCTTGAAAAGATATGGACACCACACATGTTATACAAAGAATGTATGAACATAAATGACTTCTGATAATCCCAATATGTTTGAGTGGTGGTTATAATAGGAAGCTTGATACCATATGAAAGGAAGGTTTACCACATACGAAAAGTAGTGGTATGCCATGCCCTCCTTTTTATCTATCAATATCATAGAGACACTTCATTGTGCAGCTGTTTGTCTATCTATCTACCATATATGGTCATCGCCCAAATATGGTTGCGCCCAAATATGGTCATCTCCCAAATATGGTCATCGCCAGAGGTCAGAGATCTCAACAGTGGACAACGCATTTTATTAATTCACATATGTAAATATTTTCCATTATTTTCTCAAGTTCATCTCATATTTTTCATATTCAATCCTGTATATTGTCCAGTATAGATTTGGTTAATGTACAGTCCAACATGTTTATTTTCATTAGTACTATATATGTTTGGACCTATTATTATAACATTATTATTATTATTATTTCTTATATGTTGTACGAATAGATGTTTTATGTGTGAAACACTTAGCTGTTCACATAATGTAAATTTAATATGAACCTAGGGTACATATTCAAAATCAAAAGTGTGAGAGATAAAGAGAGTGGATGTAAACGAGACTAAAGCATCATGATGTGGTCACTCTTTAATTTTAAAATGGATCAAAAAAGAGGTGAATTAAGAGGGAAATCAAGAAATAAACATTGAAATGTTCATTCTGTATGGATGAGTGACATCTATACATGAGTGACATGCTGCCTTATTAGCTTATATGAAAAGTGAGATGATGGTCATAAATACCAAAAAAGTACAAAGATTCCGACTTTCTTTGGCGTTGAACTTTACAGTTATATATGACCATCATGTGCTACATATATATGAGATTGTCTCAGTAAAACACTGCCATTGAATTTAAGTAATATTAAGGCCAGTTAGTTTTAAAATATAATGGATGCATTCCTGTATTTTAAAGACAATATTTTGTAGTCTTACTAGGACATATTATTATATTGTTACTAAGCCGAAGTAAAATCGAGGCTTGCATGGCTAACAATATATCAATTTGGAGGAGGGGAGGTCAGCCTGGTAAATATGGAATTTTGTAGTAGAGATACATTTCAGTGACTTTGGAAGCCTTTTATGCTAAAGTGTATCTAAGCTAACTGTTATCGTATAATATATATGTGTTCTATACACTGTGTTGTTTTCGACTGGGTAAAAATTGATATAATGAAATATGGGGGGGGGGGGCTGGGCATATATATGATATGCATAATGAAGGCATTTATATAAGCAGTAAAGAACCACAGATTATTTAATGCTATGCGCTTACTAGCTTCAATATAAATGACAGGCGTATTTTACGTTCACATCTCTGTAAATAATTATCTTGTTGAATATGAAGCAAAATACATGTAAAAATTGCTTTCAGAATCATTTTAACTTTAATTTCAGACTGTATGATTCCTAAAAATTCTATCTTTAGTATTGAAAACCATCTCATGACTTATGAGACAAGCGAAGAGCACAGGGGTTAGATGCTGATAAATAGTACTAGTCTGCTTAATTAAGAATTCTGAGACTGTTAACATTTTGCCCTTTTTACAAATGCTAAATATTATACTAGTTGTAGTAGGGTCAAGCAAATGATGCAGCTTTCGCTTACTATGAAAGATGTTATTTTACAACAAGATTATTTAATTACAAAGTGACAATGATGGAATGAACATTATTCTAATTCTATACATATACTAGGTATATACATGTATTTATTTAAATTATATATTATTAGGTGCAATATTTAGGCTGGCCATTTTCTCTGGTTCTTTACTGCTAATGAGTGACACAAAGATGGATTCATGTAAATATCTACCTACGCAATTACAGTATGATAAAACATGGGCTTTATATATTTATTCTGTCTTTTCTGAACTTCATTAAACCAGCCTCATACCAGACATACCTGTAAAATGTGATTACACATTGTAATTTGGTCAGTTCCATGAAAAAAAGAAATTTATGCAGACTCTGTTCATTTTCTGAATTCATATCTACATTGAACATGTGAGGTTTGGCATGCTACAGTGCTAGCCATATTATTGTTGAATAGAGCCTCTGTGTAAAGAACATAAGTGAATAGGACCTGTATGTATAGAGTCTTATTAGGGAATGACCTTGGTGCATACTTTATATGGCCTGATAACTGAAAACTACCAGCCAAAAACAACTCATTAAGCAGTGGCTGGTGTGAAAAATATGTTTTGATAGTAATTTTCTAATAATGTAGATATTGTATGCATAGAAATGTAGATATTGTATGTATAGAATTGTAGATATTGTATGTATAGAAATGTTTATAAACTACCAATGTAGTGAATGTTACTCAGGCCATGCTTCTCACTGAATTCTCCTTCATATTTCATTATTATTTTACACCAAAGTCTCCCTTGTATGTTAATTTGTTCCTACCAAATGGAGTTAGTATGTTTGTTAGGTGGGATTAGCTACATGCAACCTTAGAGTTGCTGTTCTTCTTGTTTTAATTGTGTGAGATGAGGAGAGGCATGACCCCGGAGATTGTGACTCTGGGGAGTTGCTGTTTTTTTATTAGTTTCATACTGAATTCTCTCTCATTTCTCATTGCGTTTCACAATTTTCTGGTGATTAATGTTCAATTATTCTAGAGAGAATTTTAGTTTAAAAATGAATCCATAACACTTTATTAGTTTTGATTATTTTTAGTTTTCATTGAATTAGATTTGGAAAGGCCTGGCCTCAGTTACATTTCCTACTTTGTTTCAGAATGTTCTATATTGAAGTTATCAGGTTTTCAAGTTGCTCTTTGCCGTTAACTGCCATTGATTATTTGCTGTGCACTTGTTCATGGATATTTATTCATGGAAAGTAGGATATGACATTCACCAGGGGCTCATGGGTGATAGATTTGACATTTAACCATAATATATATGAGGTTGGGGCACGTTTGACAAACTTCTAAGCAAGCTATAAAGATCAGACTTAAATGCATTTATTTCATACTATTACTCCATGATTCATGAAGGATATCATTTTTATACACTGATTAATATCATCGATATGTGTGTTATTCACTATTACTTAATGGTGAAGAATTGTATACAAGTTCTAACCTGAAAGTATAAAGGAAGTAAACCTGACACATACACCAATAAAATGGCAACACTTACCAGTAAATAATAGCCTATATCAGGTCAGTTTCATTTATTTTTGAGGATATGTGTCAGATTGTCATTTATTCCATTGTAGCTCCTCAAGCATGCTACTCCTATTTATTTGCTCAATTTACTACTGAAGAAATTTGAAGAAAGCTCATTATTATATTATTTTGTTTGAAAATATTTCCAGAATCTCTCCTATGTCTGAGTGCACAGCAAACAATTATGTTAAACATAGAAATGTTTTAAAATTAAAAAAACATGTTGATAAAATGGATGAACAAGACGACATAGATGAATTGTATCTATATTTTACAAGTTAGATCCATCTATTTTTGTTCTATTCCTCACAAATTCTTTACAAGAGTCGCTATTTTGTAAAATGCACTTTGGTGACATTTTAGAAAGGGTTATATTAATAATTACCCCATTGTATACATGTATCATTTCAACCTTCACACTTATGCTGTCTTAATGGGACAGGATTTTTTTTAGTTGGGTAGCTCTGCCGATACCTAGATACAATTATTAGCTGTACTGTGATTAGAGAAGCCCAGTGACTCTATGTAATATAACACAATGCCACGGGGGGTAAGAATGAAGAATGCTATTGTGGTTGGGGGAGATAATGTTTCAGATAATAGTTGTGGACTGAATTATGTATGTACCAAGTTGAATTTGCTTGGGTAGCCTAATTAGCGAAGGTACTTACAACCCTCCAATATTGAAATAACTCTCGGTTATGGTAAAATGGTAAAATCTTATTGAATAATATATTTGAATTTAAATTATCATGAGTAGATGTGTTCATTGGAGCAAATAGTGATATTACTATATACCTTTATTGAATTTTGGACTTCTAAATCTCTTAAAGGAATATTCCTTGCCAGACCCTTTCTCTCTTGATACGGTAGCTATAATCATATATATAGTTTCCATATTTAGCAAAACATGGGAAAATGTTTTAATATGGTCAATATTGATCATTTAAAAATCTAGTGCTTATTTTCAGTGAGCTGCCATCTTTTAAGATTTCTTGCAGGAAGTGATGTCATCAACTCTCAACTTCTATAACCTTGCCCATAACAGAATAGGAAAGTAGCACAAAATCACTTCTAGACAAGTGATCATTACTTTCTGTGCAACGATATTTTCAGGGCTTGTCAACTTAGAATAAAAGAAGAGATTTTCAGAAGGATTAAATAAGATACAAAGTTGAAAAAGAATATTTAGCTGGTTTTGTAATTCTTAATAGCTCCTCACCTAATGCTATATGCAAAGTTGAGAGTCGATGACATCACTTCCTGTGTGAAATTTTAAAAGATGGGAGCTTACTGGAATTGAGCATCACATTTCTAAGTGATCAAATTTGACCATATCAAAACATTTTTGCGTGTTTTGCTAAACATGGCAAGCATATATATGGTTATAGCTACCATATGAGGAGAGAGATGGTTTGGCAAGGAATATTCCTTTAAGTGATGGTTTACTCCATTGAATACAAGAAAATTCAAAATTCAAACTTAATTGAGAAAATTATTCCAAAATTAGTGGGTTGCAATTTTTGGCTCACCCTGTATGTTAATTCTCATAGTTCGCCTTAATTGATTGTTTTATTATTAATTGTTATAATCACAAAATAGTACATGTCATGTATGGTGAAATTACCTGATATAAATTGTTTACTTAAAGTGACATTCCTTAATATCCCTGTGGTTAATACCAATTCAAAAATAATTTGATTGCGAAGTATATAACATTGAGATTGGGATTTTTGAAAAATACAATGAGCAGTAGATAAAACTCATATCCTAGTTTTCTTTTAGTGTTCCAGAAGTGTATATATCCCATACATAACAATGTACAGTCATGATATTTGCCAATACATATACATTCACTCTGTACAGTATATATTTTATTTTATTACAAAACATAGTTTTTTGTTGTAATGGAGTAGCCAATGGGGCAAAAACAGCACTTAAGCGATAAAACAAAGGGTAATAAATCAAACGAAAGCTAGGAGTGAATAATTATTTGATGTTTATGTATATGTAGTTGTATCACATATATACACAAACTGGTTGGTTTACTTAAATAGCCAAAAGTGCTGTATTTGCAACATGGCCAAGGGACAGTTACTCAAAACTCAATTGCGGTTGCGATTTGTAAAACAAATGATTTACAAGATTTGAGGGGATTTTGATGAAATTGATATAAAAATGCATTTCATGAATAATTGTTTAAGAAATTGCCCCTTGGCTGTATTTTTAATCCAAGCTAGGTAATTCAGTGAACATTTAAATTTAGCATCAGTCTATTTCTTGGAAATAATTTCCGAAACTCAGCATTTTTCTACAAAGGCAATTAATCTACTGAAGCAATTTATTTGTATTACTTTGATAGACTGCTTATTATTAATGATTTATTTAGGAGTTTGGAGTAAATGGACTGATGTTAGATTTAATCATTCCCCTAAATTACCACCCTTAGAATGCAGGGCCCGAGATATCATCCAATCTGTTCCTTCTTTGTGGATTATGTCTGGAACCCTGCATTTGGAGGATGCCAATTTACGTATCTTGGACTAACATACATGTGTTATATATGGGGCCTAATATCAGTGGTCCAGGCAGTATTCTCCCCTGCATGCTGTCGGTTACACTAGGCTAGGCTGATAATGTTGGAATCAAAGTGAATGCAAGGGGAAATGTCAATGAACATTATAACATAGTGCAAGGTGGCCATCTGAAGTTGTACAACTTGGTCACATTGCTGCTTTGGAATTGTATTCTTAGAAACTAATAAAAATCTCAAATAATGAAGTTGTGCCTTGTGTGTTTTCATTTACTTTGATAGTTTACATTGCAGTCACCGACTTGCCTGTCCGACTGTCCTTCCATCCATCCTTCAAAAGTACCTTGAGCAGTCAATACAATTCTAGTTATTTTTGTTCATAATCGATACAAAAAAGCCCCATAAATCACCCTTTAACTACAGATTGCATTAAGGACTTGTTTAAGGTGAGGAATGACATTCTACAGAAAAATGACTCAGATGCGAGTAGGTAGTTACCAGTTTCACCATCAGGGGCTTGTTCGAGTCAGATAGCATGGCAGGTAGAGTAGAAAGTTCCCTTTTTATGTCCCCACCACATAGTGTGGGGCCATATTGTCGGCCTAGGCGCGTCCGTCTGTCTGTCCGTCCGTACGTCCGTCCGTCCGTCTGTCCGTACGTCTGTCCGTACGTCCGGGAGTTTTCTCCAAAACCGCTACAGATATCACCTTCAAATTTTCAGGGATAACTTATGAGTGCATACAGATGTGGATGAAAAAATTTTAACTCGATACCTACTTCCTGTCGGCCATTTTGAAGTCAAATGCTAAAATCCTTGTCTGCAAACTTTAAGAAAAACGGCTTCACAGTTGCTTTTAAAACTTTAACATCTTGTTCAGCTCACTTCATTCTAGATTTGATTAGGTTTTGGACCTGTTAGCTCAGTCATGTCAGCCATTTTGAATGTCTTAAGAAAAGTTAGCGCACGATAATACTTTGTATCATATTGAATGGTGTTTTTGAGTTTTCATACTTTAACTATTTAGTAGCTTTATAAATAATTTCAGGTGTACTTTGTTGTAAAAGCCTATGTTATTGTTAACAGTAGTTATATGTGATAATTTTGTAAGAAGAAATCAGCAAAAACACATAATCACTTTTTTATTGTCGGCCATTTTGGATTTTTCCGTCCTAAAATCTTGTCTGTGAAGTCTTGTCTACGTGTTTTCAGGTGAACCGTTTGGTGGATCAATTTCAAATTTTCAGGGATGATTCTTAGTATAAAAATCTAGATCTGATTTGTTTTTTGGCATTCTGGGTAAATGTCAAGGCAGCCATTTTGGATTTTCCGTCCTAAAATCTTGTCTGTAAAGTCTTGTCTGTAAAGTCTTGTCTACGCGTTTTCAGGTGAACCGTTTGGTAGATCAATTTCAAATTTTCAGAGATGATTCTTAGTATGAAAATGTAGAACTGATTAGTTTTTTGGCATTCTGGGCAAATGTCAAGGCAGCCATTTTGGATTTTCTGTCCTACAATCTTGTCTGTAAAGTCTTGTCTATGCATTTCCAGGTGAACCGTTCTGTAGATCAATTTCAAATTTTTAGGGATGATTCTTAGTATGAAAATCTAGATCTGATTAGTTTTTTGGCATTCTGGATAAATGTCAAGGCAGCCATTTTGGATTTTCCGTCTTAAAATCTTGCCTGTAAAGTCTTGTCTACGCGTTTTTAGGTGAACCGTTTGGTAGATCAATTTCAAATTTTCAGGGATGATTCTTAGTGTGAAAATCTACATCTGATTAGTTTTTTGGCATTCTGTGTAAATGTCATGGCAGCCACTTTGGATTTTCTGTCCTAAAATCTTGTCTGTAAAGTCTTGTCTACGCATTTTCAGGTGAACCATTTGGTAGATCAATGTCATATTTTCAGGGATGATTCTTAGTATGAAAATCTAGGAACAGATTAGTTTTTTGACATTCTGGGTAAATGTCAAGGCAGCCATTTTGGATTTTCCATCCTAAAATCTTGTCTGTAAAGTCTTGTTTACATGTTTTCTAGTTAACTGTGTGACGGATCAATTAAAAATTTTCAGGGGTGGTTCTTAGTTTGAAAATCTAGAACTGACTAAATTTTTGGCATTCTGGGTAAATTTTAAGGTGGCCATTTTGGATTTTCTGTCCTCAAATTGTGTTGGTAAAGTCTTAGTCTACTCATTTTCAGGATAACCATTTGATGGGATCACCCACTGGTGGGGACATTTTGTACACATTTGTGTTCTTGTACTGAACTTGATATCCATCTGCCTTATGTATCTAAATACTTATGCAAATTAAAATATATCCAATAAAAGAAAATGTTATCTGTCCAATACAAGAAAAGATGTTTCACTTTTTGAGCTAGAAGTCACATTTTCAAAAAAAAAATTTTTTTCAAAGTTGATAGACAATTTTCCAGACCATATTTCTAGATGTACTTTTACATGTTGATTTCAAATATGACATCACTTTGAATGAAATTTTAATATTTAATGACGTAAATCAAGATCTACTGGCATCTAGTTTATTTATTTATATTAATGGTTATTGATCACATTTAGATTCCAAAATAAGCAACTCAGTCTCATCAGTTAACGTTCACTTTACATTAAAATTGTCAAAATGGAAACATTCACTTTCCTGTTCCTAACATCAAGTTCGTCTCAATATATATCTCTATACACAGGGTCATGGCTGATAGGTTTTGATTGCTCTGTAAATAAGTTGGCCATTTGGAACTTTCAATCATGTCTGCAATGTCTCGTCTCAACTTTTCCATGGAAATCATTTGATAGGATAAAAATATGTCAAATACGAGTGATTCTAAAAATTGGTGCCACAAGTTAAATGGGTGTAGGAGGCTTTGGCATTGCTCTTGTCTCAGCTTCAATAACAAACATCCATTTTGTATTTATCCCTTTATTTGATAGATTTTACGATACATTTTCCAGTACAATATATAATAATATATCATTCTATGTACAGATATTTACAAAAATTTACACTGTTAAAATTATATTGAATTTTGTGATGTGCTAAAATTCAAAATCAAATTGCTTTAAGGTTGGGTAACACAGTGAAAATATACGATTGAGTCTAATACTCAAAAGAACATGTATGTCTCTGGTGAGTATTATGTTAGTTAGATACTTCATACATGTCTCCTTGAGTCACCACTGACCAAGTAAAATGGGAAAAATATACGCCTACACCACTTTCAGTACTAATATGTATATATAGTAAAATGTACAACATAAATTTTCTGACAATGCAAAATATGCAACTGAACAAACAACTTCCACGGAAAATATCTAGAATACACTACTAAAAATAAGTTTATAAATCATAGAAATAAAGTTTTTACATTAACCCTTTAAAATATGACAATATATAGAACTTTTCAGACAATACCAAATTATAACTAAAACACAGTTCATGTAGTTGGCTTACAGCCTGAAAGTGAACATAAAAATCTAACCTCAAACATTTCTTTCCACATCAACCATTTCATGAATACAGTACACTATATACCTATATTTTATATAATTATTTAATCTACATACAAAAATATTACCTCTCTTTAGATGCATTTCATTTTAAATGCACACAGGGAAACCTATCTATCTTGCAAGATTCAGATATACCACTCAATCTTGCTAAAATCTCCTTACTAGAATCATTCAAACTTGGTCCCAAAAATACAGTCATTTTCCCATTATTCTAATAAAGTTAGAACATCAGTGCAATGTTATTATAGCAGGTTAGAATTGAACAAGTGACACTGACTGGCTGAGATGTGAACTCAAGAACATAATGATCATGAATCATTAAGTGGTGGCAGGATAATGGAGGACAACTCCCGATAGGAGCTATTCACTTCTGATCACCTCATTAAAATACATATTCAGGAATCATCAAAAATGGTGGACATGTTAACTGATCATTAGAGCAGTTTGTTGGTCCCAACTCCCATATATGTTTACCAAACCAAGTCTTTCTGTACACTAAAAGATGTGGATATCTAATAAAACAATACTGCAATGCAATGCATAATTGAAATTTTATTCTAATTTGACCTATTTCTTATATTTCATTTACTGTACGTTTTCTTATTCGCCATGCACTTTCCATGGGGAAGCTATTAGAATTGTTCTGAACAGGTGTTTTAAGCACCACTGCATGCTAACTAACAATTTTCCAGGCCAAGCCATACTTGTATATTTGACATTTACATATGATGTAAAAATATATCATTTATACACATGATTCCCTGATAATACATGATCTGGAGAACACAACTAAAACACCTTCATGAACAATATAGGTGGATGTCCTAACATGAAGAATACAATGAACACTTTCTCCCTAGCTATTGCTAATGATACAGGGTGAACCAAAAAAGGTAACCCAAACAAAGCTTACCCAAACAATAACTCAGTCATTGAGCATGGGTTTGAAGTCATACTTTGCAAAATTGAACCTTGTTCAATGTTCTTTCATTCTATTAATGGTCACAATTTTATAGTCATTTTACAAAACATGCTATAAAATACAATGTGAACATACTTATTATCGAGATTATTGAAAGATGTAAACCATGTATAGAATGAGCTATCAAGCTTTCCTGAAAATAACAAATAAAACCATTTGCGAATCAATTTTAATTTGTCATCATGTAATCCTTCTTGAAATTCCCTTCAAAACAATACATGTAAGTTATGCTTAAAAGAAAACTGATATTTTGAAAGGATCTCGGAAACTGTCCTGTGTAGTTTAGTACACCCTACCATTTAAACTAGTAAAAGGCTACCACACCTCATTTAATAAGAGAGATATAAATTGTTATGTGAATAATCAAACCTCCAAAATGTTAAGACCAGGAATGGTATGGCAAATGATTTAAGACTATTCTAACTTTGACCAATACTATACATATTCTAACAATAAAATAATCTGTTTTCTTTAGGGTAAAGTTATCTGGAAAAATACAACTCTCCAAATAAACATTGCTTAGGACCTCATTTCAAAACATATTTTTTCAAAAAAGAGGACTTTCCTTTTCTCATTTAAGAAACTAAGTCTGACATTTTGCCATACCATACTTGACCATTGTGAACAGTAATACAATAATTTGAGCCAAAGTAAAAGAATTGCGTCTCTCTTGGCTATTTTACAAAAATCATTCACATAATATTTGGCAAATAAAATATTTCAACATTTTATGATGCCTTAGATGTCAGTGTGTCATCCTGATGATGTCATCTAGCAAAATAATACCAAGATTCTGTATCACATAGCGTGTATACATCACATAATTTTTACCATCATAAATAAATAGATATGTCTTCTGTTTTGTTTGTATATCACATGATCTCATGAATTTCCCTTCATGTATTTCTTATATCCAGATCACATATAACACACACATTTAGTTTATTCCTTTCAAATTGCATATTAATTTTAATTCATACCCTATTTTATCCTGGAACAACCAGGTCAATGAAGGTCAAATGGATCTTCAGAACCTTCTGAAAACTCATAGTACATGTTAGCTCTTTTGGTTTGGTTCCTGAGTGTTCTCTTGCTGGATCTTGAAGGACTTTTTGCTGGACTTTTCATTTTTGTAGGACTTTTGCCATTCTTATTTGTGGGAGTCTTTCTGGTATTTTCCAAAGGTGTTTTCACTGTATCTTTACCAGCGATTATTTGCTGGTTAGACTCACTATGTCTTGTCACTCTACGCTTTGCCGGAGAATTATTTTCTTGTGTTTTCTTCAATTCTATATTGGCTACATCACTTTTTCTTTTCTTTGATTTTGAAGGGCTTTTTTTGTTAGGACTACCATTTTTCACTGATTTTGACTGTCTTAGTTTAGCTGGTGCACTCTTAGGTTCAGGTCTTTCGCGCAGTCGCCCTTTGTCTGGGGTAATATTTTTCATATTCTCATCAGTTTTTCGCATACTCTCATTGTGTTGACTGGACAAAGCTCTCCTGGAGCCTTCATGAAAAGACAATCTCTTTCCATTTGACTTTGATTTATACACTGGTGTTTGCTTATCTCTGAACTCATCACTACTATCATTCACTTTTGCAGCCCAGTTGACAGTTCTGTGAATTCTACGATAATCTCTTGCTTTGATAGAGCTGATCTGAGCGCAAGACAAGGGACTGTCAGCATGTTTACTATTGAGCTCCTTGAAGTCACTGCTGCTATGTCCACTGTACTCAGAGATTGAATCCTGGAGAGCTCTCCTTAAGGAGCTCCTGACTGCTTGTTTCCCTTTCATTGCTGGACTTTTACCAGGGGACTTCCTGGTGTTCCTGCCTTTCAATGGGCTTCTACTTTTATGCTGTTTCTTTGCGCTGGTTTCTACTTTTCCCTTGCTAGGGCTCTTCATGTCTAGTCGCTTTCTTGGACTGGTTTTCTTTGGAGTATTTGACCTCCTGGCATCATCTTGTGTGGAACACTTAGGGCTAAGTTGAGGCTTCAGAGGACTCTGCCTTGTTATCCTTCTAGGTGACAACACCTTTGGATTCCCAACCTTCTTTACAAAGCTTCTAGACTGGCCCTGACTTGAGCTTTTAAATCCTCCCCATGTTTTATTCAAACCAATTGAATTGAATCTGATCTTTGGGGAACCCTTTGTTATTTTCCCATATGTAGAAGTGGTGTTCATGTGTGTTTTGATGTGATCCAGTTTGTAACATTTTTTCCTATCTGATAATGATTTAAACAATTTCTTTGTTGTCTTGGAGTTCTCTGGGGTAGGTTTCATCACATTAGGCTTGCTTAGTATTGCTCCAATTGGTATTTCTATTGGTAGTGATCTTCTTTTAGAGTGAACACTCTCCTCTAATTTAGATGAAGAGATGAGTGTTTTGGTGTGTGGACTAGATGGACCACTTGTAAGATGGGCCTGGATACCAGCACTAACTTGGTCCAACATCTTAATTCTAGCAGGAGATCGATCATAACCGATTGTGACTTCATTCTCATCGATATCATCATCTTTAGCTGATTTCAAACCAGATGTATTGAAATTCAATCTTGATCTTGATTTGTTGTGGGATTGTGGGCTATCAAAGTTGAAGGAAATGTCCTTATCAATTATGACCTGTGCTTCTATACTAGGGGAACCAGGACTTGGGGGTACTGCCTCTATGGCTGATCTAGTACATTTTCTAGGTGTTGTATCTTGTCTAGTTTCACCAATCAGTTTTTGCTGTTGTTTCTTGTCAGATACCATTGTTTTTTGATCTTCTATGAAAGATTCATTAAGTTTAGTTTCAGTGGCTCCATTTGATGGTTTATTCTTACAACGTGGAGTAGATTCAGCAGTAGGGCTGAATTTCTTATATTCTGGTACAGAGCTATCACTTTCCTCATGTTCTTTTCCATCTATGTCTTTCACCCATGTCTTGAATGGTTTAGCAAGGACTTCTTTCTGGACACCAGCAAGAAGTTGTTCCAGATGTTCCTCCATTTCTCTATCTTCAACATCGTCGATAGGTCTCCTTCTTGCTGTATTTACTTTCAGTGCATCTTTTCCTTCAAGAACAGCCTTTGTTGCTCCATGTTTTACTGGACTTGATTTATGCAACACTTGCTTTCGTATTTTTTCCCTATTTTCTTTAATGCTAGATTCTTGATCGAGTACTATGTTGTAACCTGAAACTTTCTTCGCTGAACTTCTGAGAACGAATGAATTTATTGCCCCTTTAGTAGTCTCCTTCATGATATGCCCCTCAAGATAACTATCTACAGTATTATCCCATTCAGATGATGCATCTTTATCAAGTATCTTCATTATATCAATGACATCATCACTTTTAATTGGAGTTGCCACCTTGGTTTTAAATTTCAATGGAGATTGCTTATAAAGGCTTTGTTTAACAGCTATTGGTATTAAATTTGAGGTTGGAGGTATGCTGATCTCTGAAAGATCCTTGTAGCTTAGATCTGTAGGTAAATCAGTGTCCACATTCTTAAAACCCTCAAAGTTAACATCATCTCGCTCACTGCAGAACATTTTCTGCATACTCCTGTCAGTAAGGATCCTCCAATCATTTGATTTTCTATTTTGAGTTTGATTATGTGAAGATACTTCTTCCACATTAGAAGAAGCTGCCGCCTTATGAGCACCTTGTCTTCTATTTATCACTTTCTGGGGAGTTTTATTTCCAAATGGGATTGTTGCATTTGGGTCTGATGAATGCGAATGGGGTACTGACTCTACTGACATTTTCAGACACTTAGCACTTTGTTTTTTCTCTGAAGATCTAAGCATCCTTTTCTCTGTTTTTGATTTTCCTGGGGTTTGTTTAGGAGTTGTATGTGATCTAGTGGTACGCTGGGGTGGGGACTGAGGGGTGGTAGGCTTTGCACTCTTTCCTGAACTTTTTGATCTTTTATTAGGAGTATTTAGTTTTTCTGGTGAGATACTATTTTTCCTTTTCGCACGATCTGGTTTAATATGTTGACTAGAGCCGGGAAAGTTGCTCACAGCATTATCACAATCTTTTGTGACCTTTTGACACTGTTTATTTTTCTGCTCTTTATTTGGGATCTTTGCTCTTTTTTCTGTTAGCTCTTCATCTTCAACTGAGGGCTTAAGTCTCATTGTTACATGGGCTGACTCAATGTCCGGCTTTTTACCAGCACTTTGCTGTGAAGTAGTAGGCTGATCACTTGTCAGACCTTCCATCGATTGACCAGCAATATTTGTATTGTCTTTTGAGATATCCAACCTTCTCTTATAACTTTTCTTATGATCCTTTCCTTTACCCTTAGGAGATTGCTTGGCATGTTTTGATGCAACAAACTTGATGTTTCTAGCAGGGGATTTGTAGGGGGTGAGCAGGGCAATTTCCTCTTTGTCTTCATGACTGAAAGTAATCAATGTGTACAACAGGTTTACAAGAACATAGCTTTTAGCATACAAAACACAAGAAGAAATTAATATAGAAATAAATAGGGTAGGCCAAAAAATGTTTATATTTTTTCTTTGGTTATTTGGGATGGGAAAATATTCAGTTCCTGAATAGGCTGAATAGGTTTGAGAGGCCTATGAGGTAATATTTGAATGGCAACAATAGGCAATTCTTGTATTCAAATATAATGACAAAATTGTGCAATAATAAACTTTCTTCACATTTTCTGATCAAGTTTTGAAGTAATCACGGCTTTTAAATACATATCAAACAAATAAATCATACAGATAATATCTAGTAACTTTCTAAATGCAAAATATATCATTCATATCACAGTTACATTACTTTTTAATGTCTAATTTCAACAGTGATTTTATGGTTATAAAATATTGGAACCAGACAGATATCTTAAACTCAGACACATGTGCAAGCTGCGAACAATATGCTGCTTATAAAATGTCTCAGTTAAAACTGCAATGTTGGGAATGTAGTGATATGGATGGATGACTGAAAGAACTGGTTCAACATCATGAAAATACAGAACTAATTGGCAAATATTTATAATTTGAGAGAGACGGAGAAGATGAACATTTCTTCAAGTAAAAGCACCAAGACAAGATTTTAAAAAAAAAGATTTGGCAACTCTTACTAAATGAGATTTTGACACTAACCTCTCTAACTTTGCTTCAACTTGATGTATAGTATGATAGCGAAGAACATCATCCAAAAAACGTTGCATGTTGGGGCCTTGTTGTATTAAAGAATCAAGGGATGTAAAGTTTTCCTCTGTGGCAACAAACTTCCTGTGCTGTTCTCCTCGTATGTGCTGTAAAAGAAATACTTATAATTCACTTTGAAGAATATCAACGTTTTCTGAATGATATTGGCCATAAACAAAGATTTTCTCTCGAAATCTCCCCATGTTACCACAACGAAATATATAGGATATTTTATTTGTGCAGAACTTTTGTGAACTTTCATATTCCTTTCAAAAAATCAAAATGTGTTTTCATGAAGGTGTTGTACTTCTGTTTCAGCCTTGCTCTCCTCTTATTTAACCTATATCAATCTCTTGGTATATCCCCTCATTCATCTCTGTTACCTTTTCAACTTTCAAGAGACAAAAAGGAAATCAAGTGCTATTTATAGATTTGTGTAAAAAGTGCTACCTGCTCCAAGTCATCATATCTGAGTTGACAGCATTCACAGTAGCCTTTACGCTGTTCCTCCTTGCGTTTCTCTAACATATAGTTCTTAAGTTGACCTGCTGTTGTCAATTTGTCAATACCCAACACATCAGAGCTTTCACCACCTTTAACACTTGCCCTGCAAATAGTTAACATGTACTTATACTCAAATCCCAACAATATCAAAGGCAATGTCTAAGAATGTAACATAAAAGCTTCACTCAATTATATCAAAACATATTTTGAAGATTGTTAAATTTTTATAAAAATGGTCAATCTGGTAAGAGAGTACTAATTCTATATTTAAATATAATGTGAACGTACATCAATAAGAAAAGCAAATTTTATTCTTTAAAATATACTTATTAGCATTTCTCACTCAAATTTTCACTAATTAAGCATCAAATACATATATTATTATTTCAGAAAAATTATTGAGATCTGAAGAAATGTGGTGATTAGGCAGTTATCATACTAACTGATAATAAAGACCCGCTGAGCAAATTATAAAGTGAAAATTATAAATGACAATGAGTTCATCTGAATGATATATTTATTTGGAGATATTTCTAAAAAATTAATTAATTTAGGTTGTAAAAATGCCAACCTTTTATTGGTTCCATCCATACCAGGATGATCGGCTTCTTCAGCAGCCTCTTCTAACTCGGCTCTCTCACCACGTACAACATTCTTCTGGTCCCTCGGGTCAAAGGGGCATGACCATTTCTTGGTCTGCATGTTAGGGGATGGGAATGTGGCGAACTCCATGCAGTATGGCTTGTAGTGTTTATTTGTAGCTTCAAACTTCACGAATGGAGCAGTCATCTTTTTCTCTGTTAAACAACATATATGACATAAGGCTTCCTCAAATGTAATTGCATTAGAGGAAAATTCTACATATGTATATTTATTTCAAAATCATTCATCATTGAACTACACAATTTGAAATTCCAGGTACAATATTAGCTAATAACTTGTTAAAGCTCTACCACAATAGCATATTGATAATCAGTGATATTTTACTCACCTTTAGTGACTTTATCATCCTTTACTTCTTTCTTGTTATTCTGTCTTGCAGCTAGAGGAATCTTTTCTTTTTCTTTCTCAACCCATATCTCAACACCTAAAATGAAAAAGAAACAGGATACAGTGATAAATATCGCAGAGATGAATATCTTTTTAATATATGCGAATAGCCTAGTCTGCTTTTGCATCTGTAAACATTTGAAGTTGACTGATAAACAGTTTTCCAGGTATTCTGATGACAAGATTTATTACAAGTCTCATTTTGTTAGCAAGTACACAGTAGTGTGTTAAAGGTAAAGCAGCATAAACAAGACAATTATGCTTCCTAGTCAACTCGTACCCAAGACAATTCGTACCCAAGACAATTTTTACCCAAGACATCTCGTACCCAAGATGATTCATACCAGAAACAACTCATACCCAAGACAATACGAACCCAAGACAATTCGTACCCAATACAATTCGTACCCAAGACAACTCGTACCCAAGACAATTCGTACCCTAGACAATTCATATCCTAGACAACTCATACCCAACACAATTCGTACCCAAGACAACTTGTACCCAAGACAATTCGTACCCAAGACAACTCGTACTCAAGACAACTCATACTCAAGTTTTAATCTTATAATGTGAATCAAATAAGCCCCAATATTTTTTCTCATTGGATTAAACAAAGCATTTTGTTTTAACTTGGAATTGATCACTTTTTTAGATAAAAGAAGTGCTTTCAAGGGCTTGTTCTTAACTTTTTTTGTCATGCATATATATAAATAATAACAATTATTGCATATAATTGAATTTTTTTTAGGTTTGCTATTCCCGGGTAAGTATTGGGAATCTCGCCCAAAGTCAGGCTTAGAACCTGTATGTCGAGCCTCTCTTCCATACCAACTTTACACTGGATTGTGTCAAGATTTATTTGGTCTCCAAATGTAGATCTGAATCTTCTGTTGTAAGCTGTTTTATGTTTTTTGGGCCATCCCAACAACCCATCCTTAACACCTTAAGATCAGGTAAGCATATTTGCACCTTAGCTTTGGATTATATCTAGATCTTTGTAGGTGTAGCAGCTAATTAGCCCTTAACCAAATTAATTAGCACATCTAGCCATTACATCTTTCATTGGCTCTTTAGTTCTAATTCAATTACATTATTCTAATTAAATGTAATTTAAACTTTAAATCTATGACTCCCACGGTCAAAACCCAATTTATATATTAGTAGGAACAAGTAAATAAATATAATTACAACAGTGAATTTTCTACAAATGAATCAAACAATTAATTTAGGTAAGTACATTTAGAGAAAAATAGTTCATTCATTTTGACATTAATCTTAGTAATAGCATTGCATAGATAAGGTTAATAATAGAGATTTAATATGTTAATTTCTTTTCCAACTTGGAACTAAATTGGATTATGTTTGAGCACATGTGTACAAAGTGTATTACATGTATATCATGTATGATTAAGTACCATAATAATATTTATATATTTAAAATATTTTATATGTAAATTGAGTGTCTTCAAACAATTCTGACCAGTATGGAACAATTATAATATGTACATGTATATCTATACCTTTTCCCATCCAACACTTGATTCAAAACAAAACATAAACTAAGGACAAGTTGTCTTGGGGACCAGTTGTCTTTGGTATGAGTAGACCAGTTACCCTGTGGACAATATAGTACTTTTTAAAGTGCAATAACTGGATTTCAAGATTTTTTCTCAAATAAGATCTTACTCCATAAATCTCTTACATGTATAATAAAAATTCTAGACACTTACTAATGACATGTATTACTTTAATTTTCAGTTTCCTTGCATTATCAATTACAGAGCTGCTTTGTGTCACTCTGGCTTTCTGCGCCATAACTCTCCCTCTGGTCACATGCTAAAATTAAACGAAATGAACAACAGTGAGTATATCGGACCAGGTAATGACTTCATATTATGAGTACACAATGGATCGTATTATTGAAACACGGGACGATGGAACATTCAATTACTCTGGGGATTGAGTGAAATAAAAAGTGCTTTCCCATATTCACCTTTGGCCATTGTGTAATTTAACATTTAAATATATATGTGGTTAAACTCACTCCTTTGTTTTCAGGGTTGCTTGGTGAATCCTGGCTGGGGGAGTCTATTCCAAGAGGGGTAGCACCTCCCATGTTAAATGGACTAGGGGTGGCAGCATTAGAGCTAGATGCATTCCTGTATGACATCACCTCCTTTGGAGTTACAGCATTTGTCACGAGGAAGTTCACTTCTCTACTGAAACATTTCTCAATGGTCTGAAAGAATAAAAGGTTCAATTAATAAAACTTAATGCTATGGAAACATGAAAGAGAACAGTGTTAAGATCTACGTTATTTTGTACAGTAAAATCTATTGAATCTAAACGCCACTGGAATCAGCCAGAAGTGTCTGGATTCGTTGGTGTTCATATTTCAAGATTCTCTTTATAAGTAAGTCTATGAGAGATTGGGGACCTAAAAAGTGTTCACATTGAGAGGTTTTCAGATTAGAGAGGTGTTCAGATATTCAGATGTCACTGTATTATAGAAATCTAAACACCACTTGATCGCAATGAGAACCCAAGTGATAATACAGTCTCTGCAATAAGATAATTTGCAAGATATTTTGTTTTCTCAAGGAAAACTTACATTTATTTACATCATAAAATATCAAAAAATCACTTGATTATACTTAGTGATAGCAAAAAAGGTACAATGCCACAACTCACAGCTCCCAGTAGTTCTAGATCAGCTTCTAAGGCAGCCTTTCCTCTGTAATTCTTCAAGTCCAGGAACACTCTTTTCTTGGCAATAGGCTTATACTGATTTGGAACACTAGTATTCAACTGCCTCCTTCCAGCTTCTGGAATCACCATAATATGTTAGTTGAAATACACATACAAAATTATACAAAAGAAACAATAACCTTGAATGGTCACACATGAAGAATCTACAAATACTGAAATCATAAATGATTGATTCTGCACTTCTGGCAATAAAATTTCTTCATAGACTGGCAGATATATTGGATATATTAAAAACCAGTTGTTAAACTAATAAAGATGACTTGAATTTTTCAGGAATTTGCTTTAATAAGTAAAACAAAAATCAAGAGACTTAAGTTTTGTCTGTGATTCATCTTTGCACTTCATGTATGATAGTACACTTTTAACATTTTTTTAGACTTTTGTGAAACTTGTCCTGTACCATCAATGTGCCCCGGTTAAAGAGAGATTTGAACTTTTAAATCTCAGAATATTGTATGTGGGAGAATGAATCGAATTTTTAAAATAGTATTTAAATCTTTCTATATGAATCTAGGTGCCTCGAGAGGTGCCAAGGGACGTTTACTAAACTGGAAGACTTTAATAAACCTCAACCATCAAAAGATGTCACAATGAGCTAAATTCTAAGTTTTATGTTTCAAATTCTCCAAAACAGTAGAATAGTTAGGCTGAATCACTTGAAAAACCCTCCCAATAATTCTTTTTATGATAGAAGCACCATAATTGGTACAAGTGTAGCTGATTGTAATTGAAAAAAAATGGCTCGAGGCAGCAAGTGATCCGGAGCCTCGTTTTGGAAAAAATTCAAAATGGCCGCCAGTCTGTTTGTGATTTTGCAGATTTCTATTAAAATCTCAAAATCCTCTAACATATTAATGAAAACTGCATAGAAACCTCAAGAAGTGGCTTTGAAATGAATCTTTTTTGATGAACTGACATTTAACTTGAGTTTCAAATGTAAAACGGCGTAAAACAAGGTTCAGTATTATGACCTGTACTATTAAGTTCATAAATAACATATATTGTTATTCATCAAAAATTGTTAACCGAAGAATGAGTACTTACATAATATTGGATAATAAGATTTCTTACTTCTACTGAACAACTTGTATAAGAGAATATATTCAGCCACATATCCAAAATAAGGGGGTTATTGTTAAAGTACCAGTTAGATGGTGCTACAATGCAAAAATTTCAATTCTAGGGCAATTTCTGTATGATAAATTGTCTATGGTTTACATTTTTGATCACCATCTTTCTCAAATCTCAAATATTTTGTCCTTTATTGTTACTCTCACTAATCAGTGCAAAGCCCACTGCACTTACAAAGGTCTGTGCATTTTGCCCAGCCAGCTTTTTTACATGGACAATACCAAGGACGACACCCCTTTCTGCATTGACACTTTATGAGTTCTCTGCATGCTATTGACGTTTGCTGAAGAGTAGACCAAAAAGTGGAATCATGTGATCACCATCATCCTCCTCCGAGCCAAACTTAAAATAATCCTGGACACCACTTGGGCGATGATCCAGTATTTGGCCTCAAACAATCCCTCCTGTGAAGGCCGATCTCCTAATATGCTGCTCCAAAGCTGCCTTAGTCGGAGGTATCTTGTCAATCTGTCTTCCCTCCTTGGTGAAAAGATATTTTCTGGTTGATAGAGCATTCAGTCTCAAATGATGTGGGATAGATAAAATCCAGTCTCCAAGTCCATAGGCATTTCAAAGGGTCAACATCCATTCAAAAAAGCCGTCGCCATAATTCATAGAACACAATAATTCACAATGGTTGTGAAACTTTCCAATAGAAATAGAGCTTCTTCTGCTATGTGGTGTGGGTTTTGTTTTAAAGCCAGGAATGCTTCTGTTACTTCTGGATATTTATTCCATACTGTCCAACATTATTTTTTTCCATGGCCAAAAAATGATGATGTGCTATCACACCCAGTAAATGCATGGAAAACAGGGAGACATTCAGATTTGGTAGGTCCAAGAGCTCTTGCCATCTCATGAGCAGCCAAATACCTATAGTTTTTCCCAGTTCCAAATGCAACCAATATGCTAATAACGAGTTGGGCAGAGGCAGCTACAGCAAGGACAACTATATCAGTATCATTGCTTCTGATAAGTATTCTGGCAAACCCTCTTCTAGCCATAAGGGCAATGTGGAAAAACATTTTGGAATCTGCTTCTTCATGAGAACATGGCTCCAAGTCATTTGTATCACTAATTGCAGGATTGCAAATCACCTTCTCACCAATGGTGGTCACAATCTGTTTATTTGCATCTAATGGAAGACTTGATAGTTTGTAGGCTAAAATACCAAACAACTCTTGCTTGTTGGAGTCATCTCTCAAGTAAGACTGCCAGTTTCTGGGCACAGTGTTACCAAGATAGGTTGTCCTTCTGTCACCCTTCCCACGCTTGTCTCGTCATCGTCTTCAGGCTCCTTGTCAGTTACTCGTCCCAAAGATATATCGAGGCGATCAACATGTTGCAGCTGACCTTGGATGTAGGGAAGGAAAACATCAGTGGCATAATCCTCAAAGGTCTTTGCTGTAGTTAGTTTTAGAAGGTGTACTGAACATGTACCATCTATTATTTCAGCAACAACAGCAGGCCTATCTTTTCCCCTAGGGACAATATCCTCCATGCGGTCAAGTAGCTCTGATTTGTCACCATTTCTGAGGACACCATACTTTGCCAGTGAAGGTGGATACTCCTGGTTCTCATGAATGAGAAAGTCATCAAGATCAATGTTTCTTTTCTGGCATGTGATGTATAATTTGGAGAATAAATCACAGTCATTTCTCATTTTCTTGATTTGAGATTTCTGATTTGTTCTTTTGGGTATTTTGCTGCTAAACATTGCGATCTTGTGGCGTTTTATGGGTGAATCCAATGGTTCAGTTCTCTCAACAAGACGTTCAGTTGTATACTTAGTGAAGCTTTGGTTGCCAATGTCTTCTATACCTCTGATGGTGTTATTTACTGATACATATAACATCCTTTGTGTCAATAGTAAATACATCTTCACCTGACACAAGGAATGGATTGCTTAGTTTATCAATAGTATCCACAATAGCAAATACATCATCTCTAAATTTCTGTTGGATGCTTGGTGTTTGCTTGTGGTGGCTAAAGTCTTCATTGGCTTTCATGTCTCCTATACTTGAGACTTCTTCAAACTCTTTGATGATCTGGGATATTGCAGGAGCAGCTATCATCCATTGTTTCAGTGCAGTAGGATTCTCTGTTATTCCTATAACCCCACCAGAACCCTTAATCAGAGCATTATTTGCTCATGGGCCTGGTCTACAGGGATGGTTGAGAATGACCTGGGTGTCTTCTGAACTGTAAAGAGACCTTCATTGAAACGCTGATACAGGTCAGGGTGAGTTGTCTCCAATTGGACCAGGGCATCATCTTGGTCTGCCTCTCTCAGGGATCTAACAATGATCATAAGCAGCATTTGAAGGCGCTGTGTTATAGCCCAGTATTTTAAATGGGGGGAATTGTCTTCCCCTTCCCTTTTCCATTCTTCAAAGGATAGGCTGGCTACATCACTGAGTTCGGCAGAAACTAGGTATATGTTGAAAGCTTTCTTCATTAGGATGTGGAGTGCTGCCAACGTAATTTGACGTGCTCTTCGAGTCTTGGTTATATGGCTTCCCTTTAGGAAGGACTCTGCAGTACCAACTGATGCTGTATTTGACTGAGCAATTACATTTACCCAACCGCTGTCTGTCAGCCAATCACCAATCACTTTCTGGAACGCCATTTCTATATGGAGACCTCCAAATGTGATCAAGTATTTATCTTCCCCATGCGTATCAGGCTATAACTATTGAATGGTTTTCAGGGAAGCAAACAATGGTTGGTCAGCCGCAAGAACTGGTATTTGACCAGGATTTAGTATATGTATGTCACATTTGACTATGTACATACCATGTTTTAACATGGCTAGAGATTTTTTCCAAAAGAAAATATATTTAAAATCCCTTAAGTGCAGAGTCTATCCAGCATTTATTCTCAATCATATCCACCCGTGTCCACCCGTGTAGCTCAGCGGTAGCGCAGGTACCTCTTACGCAATAGGTCCCGGATTCGATCCCCGGTTCAGGCAAGACTAAATTTGCTTGTTTGCGTGAAGTACTTCAGGGTGTTTGACTGAGTGGTCCGCAACTCGTACAAAAAGGCTGTGGTGTGTACTTATATGTCTATGTATAAGTGCACATAAAAGAACACAGGGCTCCTTCAAGGAGGGGTTTCTGGGTCTATCTTCCATGTTAATTACGTAAATTACGACCGTATATATATGGGACATACCCAAGAGGTATTGCTCACCTTCATTGATGGTAAACAAAATACAATAAAATATGTGTGACTCTCATATTGATATGTATAATTATGAGTAATTCAATAAAAGCTTATAAAATAGTACAAGGCTTAATACTGAGCCTTGCTGAACACCCGTTTTAATAGTTAAATATATTGTAAAGTAGTTCCTATATCACAAGCAACTGTCTCGGAATTCCCTTAAACAAATACAATTGGTTTAGAGCTAAAATACAACATTAATTCAAAGACAATTAAAATTTCTTAAAAATCTATATGTATTGGCGGCCATCTTGGATTTTTTTCAGAACGAGTCTCCGGATCACTTGCTGCCTCGAGCCAATTTTTTTCAATTGCCTTCAGTTACACTTGTACCAATTTTGGTGCTTCTATCATAAAAAGAATTATCGTAAGGTGATTAGGCTTAGCTAAGAAAAATAATTCCCATTCACTTTAAGTAACACAATGAATGAATCCAACGCTTCATACCTGCAAATGATAGATAAATTCCTACCAAATCGAACAAATGTTTTCATGGATTGCCATTCTTGTGATCCAAGGAGGATCAACTCCCAGAATGCAACATCAGTTAACCTTATTTACTCTTGACAGGTTTCAAAATGGCGGAATTGCATTCTGAAAGCTGTCATCTTGCATTCTGGGAGCCAATCCTCCTTGCGCCGTAATCGGGCTCCAAAATTACCTGAACTTTTGAAGAGTCTGCATTAACATGTGAATTCTTCAAATTTTTAAGTTCCTAATTGTCAAACAAATCCACTATATTGACACAAATCCACTATATCTATATGTTCCAGGATGGAGAAAATAGAGCACTCAATTCCCTGGGGTAAGAATTTATTACATGTGCGACAGATGTGTATGTACGAAAAGTTTCGAACGGAATACGTGACATACCGGATTTTCTCGCATATACGCCCCCCTAAATTTAGGCCCATGGGCCGAAAATCGAATGTAGTACGCTTATACGCCCATGGGCCTATAAAAAATGACTATTTATTGATTTTTTCAATAAATTCAAGAGTATTTTGTCACTGGCAGATCGTTCTGTCGTTACTTTGTTTCAACATTAAGTTCAACGCTGTGCCGTAAGTGGCAGTGGTGGATCGTTCTGTTGTTACTTTGTTTCAACATTAACTCCAAGGTTGTAGGTGACATTTCCTTTATAATTCTTACAAAACATGCGGCAGGACTACAACAGTAGGTACGGTAGTCTTTGAGGAACCATTGTATTCATCAGCTCTTCTCACCTTTACGCCCACTGGGCCAAAAATCGAAAGTAGTACACTTATACGCCCATGGGCGAAAAATAAGAGGTAAAATAACAGATGAAATTACCCCTTCTTTCAGTTATACGCCCAGGGCTTATATGCGAGAAAATCCGGTATATGTAATTCGCGTGAAAAGTCTGAATGGAATGCATACGCTTTTTTCGGCGTTCGTATTTTTACTGTATCAGCAAAATTTTTAAGAAATTTTTCTCCAGAAATATTTTTGCTTGACAATTACCAGATAATATAGTATTTGCGTGACATTTTCTGTCACGCAAAAAAAAACTGGCGTGACTTCAAATTCTTCAGCAAATGCGTGACAAATACTGTACGCCCGGTATTATTCGCGTGCGATTAACTTTCGCGCTTTTCGCGAGGGTGTTAAAATCGCGAAAAATTATCGTCGCGAAATTGCAAATTAAATCCCCGGGAATTTGTTTTTACCCGGGGCTCTGATGCATTTCGTTTTATCTACTAGTTTGGATCGAGTTATAGTACTTCAATAGTACTGTGCAACTCCATGACTTTACTATGCGCATGCGCGGCAATGAAAGCGCACGTGCGCACGATTGTTCACGTGATCGTAGCCTGCAATTTGATTGGACATCATATACTGGGGAATCCCCGAATACGATAAAATACAGTATTTGCGAAATTTAATAGCCGCAAAACCGTGTTTTCGCAAAATTCGCGAAATTAAAGCTCGCGAATAATACCGGGCGTACAGTATGCAAATTGCGGGACAGTTGACAGGCCTGTTATTGAATTGAAACTTCCGGAACTTACAAGGAAATCATTCATTTTCACGGTCCATATTTTACCTCTTGGATATTGTGCTAAATGGTTTCATTGATAGGGTTTCATTGAAATATGTATTCTAACCTCTAGAGGGTAAGTAAGACTCCTAATCTTCAGGTGGTGCGAAGGGGTGTTACGTCGACACCATTTTGGGGTAACATCGACATGTGGAGTAACTTGGACATCTTGTTGTTTATTTCCTCTAATTTCCGATCTAGGGGGAAGCCATGTTTATTGTTTTTTTCTTGCGTGGATCTAGATCTCGCGAGATTTAAATTTTTTCAGAAATCAAACATGGCGGAAAGTTCTACTTCTAATTAGTCAGTGTTGAAGTTACCCCGTCATTTATGTCAACATTACCCTGCACATCGACGTTACACCCCTTTGCCCTAACTCTTATATTTCAATTTCTACTGACGAAGTCTGGCCAGGAAATCTGGTGTAAGTGTTGAAATAATATTTGTCCAAAGAGTGCAAAACAACCAAAAAATAAAATATCTTACTTTGAGCTGTTTTCTTGGTCTTCATCTTGAGAACTAATCCAGCCAATTCACCTGAATACCACGAATGTTTGTCCAAAACAGGAAGTGAACAAAAACTTTCTTCAGAAAATATTCCACAATTTTTCAAAGTTAAAATCTAGAGTTTGTAGAGATGCCAAAATACTAGAAAGTAGGTCAGCTGATGCCATACATCTCCGTCCATCCTGAACATTGTTTGATTTTTTATATGTTGAGGTTAACAGTAGTTATTCCATCAAATGTGTGTGAAAAGTTTAAAGGGCATTTTTGCCATTTTTGCCGCCAAACTTATTTACGGAACAAATGAAGTTCAGTGATATGATTGGCCGATTTGTACACTCTTCAACAATTTCTTACTGTCTCATAAATCAATTCCAATATTCCCAGTATATTCTTGTTCATGAATTTTATGCCTGATTGATTATGTGGTATTCATATATTTGTTTATCATTTAATATGCATTTAACATTTGTCAACATTCTGATCACGTGACATGTCATAAAACTAGGTCAAGTCGCTGTACTCATGTGTCTTTGTGCACGGAGATGGCCTCATTGAATCGAGGAATACACCAGTAAACGAAGGATAAATTTATTTCAGTTTTTGGCTTATTCTTCAATAATATCCAAGGATGGCGGGTGCGGAACGTCGAAAAAATCGTAAAACTAAAAGAGGTGAAAACACACTTGAAAGAGAGGAGGAAAATAAACCAGGAAATATTGATGTTGACAATATTGATCAGAGACCCCATTGGTTCACAGTTCTATGGACTAAACTTTTCAACATCACAAACTGGATAGTTATCGGTCTTCTGATCGTTATGATAATATCCGATGGAACTTTAATCAGAATTGTTGATTTTGTATTTGGAACACAGCTTTTCAGGAGATTTTACATGACACAGCAACCGCCTCCCTCTGGGCCTCCTGATCCATCTCAATTGGAAGAAGAAATAAAGAATTTTAAGCCAACAATTTTAAACAAACTTGATATGAATGAGATATATTTGTATAACAAACTATTGCAGCCACAAGAGATTTCAAATGATTTAAGCAGAGAAAGTTCAGTCAGGTAAATCTAATGTAGGGGGTATACTCTAGACTGTATCCTTCGTCTGTTGGATACATACTAGGGTATACTCAGCGAACACCTCTCTCCTGTGGACACCTCTTTGAATTTCTAGCGAACACATCTCTCTAGCGGACACCATTCTCACCTCTCTCTGTTGGATACCATTCTGTTGCACAGAATTACCCTCTCTGTAGTGAACACCTTATTACTGATTTTTTTTTCTTGGCAAAAAAATGTTCAATATACACAGGTTTTACTAGCCAAAACAACCATGACAATATCAGTGAAAATATTGGCCATTTTTATCCATTGGGGCATTTCAATGTAGAAAATAAACTTCGAGATAAATTTTGAGAGTACGCCATGGTGTTTTATGCGTATATGACACAACGCCATTGTATGCAATATTGTATTTGTTATTATTGTTTGTGGAATTGAGATTTTTCATCAATACATGTATACATTGTAAGTGCATTCTCTTATTAGTAAAATCATTTTTGGTTTCCAGAATTTTCTTGATTGATGACTTTCTCACTGAGCTAGAATGTGATGGCCTTGTAAAGGCACACCATCATCATGTAGATGAGATGTCAAAAGAAAGTCCAATATTATGCTTTGATAGCATAGATACGCTGCATAAACATCTCAAAGACATTGATAAGGAACATCTGGTCAAACTATGCAATGATATTGAAGTGTTTACAACTGGTGAGTGGATATGTTTAATCTAGAAATGTGTTTGCTCATGACTGAATGTTTAATACCAGTGAGTGAATGTTCTTAGTGAGGATATCAAGTAGTCTACTGCACGTTACGCCTGCTTTGGACAATTTTGATATTTTTACATCTTGTAGATTTAAATGTCCTCTTTTGAATATTCATAGTTTAATTTGGGTGATATTTCTATTTTTCATAAAAAAATTATTAGCCCAGGAGACTGTTCTCTAAACTGAGACTTGTCCTTTGTTTACTTTGTGACTTCAGATTATTCAGTTTTAATAGTTAATTCCAAATAAAATTTAATTTCATCCAATTTATTCCATTCAAAATACCTGATTGAACACCTTTTTATATTTCACACATATGTAAATTGTCATACTGCTTGTTTTAACATTTAATTTCATTACTACTAATTGTTCAGTTTATTTTCCCTCCAAGGGCATGCTTATCGAAAAAAAATTATATCTCCAGGGACACATTGTTTAAACAGTTCGTTCTCTGCTGAGTTGACAAATTCTATGCATCATCAATGGAGCTATAGCACTGCCTTTTACCTGGGGGAGAGCAGGTTTTCACATTCCTTTGGAAAGAGAGTCTATGAGGCCACAGGCCTGATGGCTTCTAATGGGGGCAAGTTCCAGATCACCTCATATCCAGAGGGTGTAGGTATGTATGATGCTGTATTATAGCATTTTGATTTATTGTATGAATGAATGCTGAACTTCTTCCATACTACTCAAAAACAGTTTCTGCACGGTCTGATTCATCAAAACTATATTCATGAGTCAATTCGGGTACAATTTCTGTAAATGTGAAACTTATATGCTGATGCCTTGGCATAGGACTAGGATGAAGAAAATTTCAAGATAGCTGCTTTTAAATTGGCAACTATTTCAGAAAGAATAATTTCTGATAACTCAAATACCAGTACTCAAATAGACTAGATGCGAGTAGAAATATTTTTGATTTACGTTATTAAATATTTAAAATTCAGTCAAAGTGATGTTATATTTGAAATCTACATGTAAACGTACATCTAGATAGCTGGTTTCGAAAATTGTTTATCAATTTTGAAAATGTCACTTCTAGTTTGGGTTGATTCTCCATAGACCCCATGTTACAAAATCATAAAAAGTGAAATATCTTTTCTTGTATTGGACAGATAACACTTTACTTTACTGAACATATTTTAATTGCATAACTATTAGATACATAATGGTTATATGAAAATTAAACCACTAAAACAGATCTAATATAGGGGAACTTTCTACTATACCCACCATGCTATCTGACCTGAACGAGCCACCTGGTGGTGAAACTGGTAACTACCTACTCGCATCTGCGTTATTGGGTGATTTGATCTGACAAGAGATTTGACCTTGCTTCAAAATAATGTCACATTTGTTTCATAGGTTACCAAATAATGTTTTATATGTTCCTTAGGTTACAAGACCCACACTGACTGTACACTGAATACTGAAAAGCGTGACAGGTTTGCAACAATTCTGGTATATCTGGATGATGTGGAGGAAGGTGGAGAAACAAACTTCCCAAGTGAGTTATTTTGTTTTATTTTGTCATAGGAACCAACTTTTTTGTGGATGGTGTTTGGCAGTCAACATCCACCATTTGGTGCTCAGTGGATGTTGTCTGTAACAAATGGCAGGTGGTGACATTTTGCATGTTAATGCCCTGTTATATCATTGGAATGTTTCTAACCTCTCTTTCATAAGTCTACCAAATAGAAAGTTGAAAAACCCAAATCTTGCATATTCTGCCTTAAAATTGCAAAATTATTTAGTACATTCAATGTGAATTTTGTCGTTAAAGTTGATGATAATCTGCCTGTTGAGTCAAATTACTTCCATCTTTTTTAACAAAATTTCTCATTGTGCATCATAGTTTGTACAAGTAATGAAAAAAATGTTTCTCATCCTCAATACAATTACAAACAGCACACATTTTTAAATGTTTTTTTATTCATATAGTATAGGGAAGTGTAAGTCAGTATTCTGTTTTCAAGCAATGATGAAGTTGTCTTTTAATGTTGTCTTGATTGTCTGGGGTTCTAGTAGTGCTATGATATTTTTTGAATTGCATGCAACTTGATCAACTCAAAATTTTTACTTTATTGTGAATTGTTGGAACCTTTGAGGCCTAGTAGGTGTGAAAACCTAGTTCATGCATTTCTCTTTCATATTTATATTTATATGAAGTATGTTTGATAAGGGGAGTTGTATAATTCTTACCCAATACTTTATTACCTTTGTTCTAAGTTTGATTGATAAAGGAAAGTACCCTTGATATGATCACTTGTCAAGATGACCTCATATTTAACAGCAACTTTGTTTTAAGACTTTATTAATGCACTGGTCAAATCTAATACTGCAAAGTATATTTACCAGTACATGTACCTTGTTTTTGATTTTTATATTTCATTTACTTTACCCACATTTTGTATGAGGGTCCATACTGGTAATTTACACCATTGGTGTCAGCTAAGTTATTAAGTGAAATATTCTCTGTTTTCTAGAGCTTGGGATCTCAATCAAACCAAAAAAGGCTCAAGCGTTAGTATGGACCAACATGGATGAGGATGGCAACTGTGACCCTATGTCCATTCACGAGGCTAGCAAAGTGCAAGTTGGCAAAAAATATATTCTGCAGAGATGGTGAGTTAGCGATCAGTTAACTCATACATAGAATAGAGTAACTCACTTATAGCATGCTTTATTTATGAATCACTTGTGTTTGTATCTTGAAACTTGAAAATGCAGATCTATACAATCATAAGTAGCCATCAATAATAAAACTTTCCCTACAAGTTTGTAAATACGTATCTTACAGTAGACTTTTTCTGTGTCTTACTTTACCACCAATTGAATGTTCGTGAGATTAAATAGGGGATTAAACATGTTTCTATTGGCAAGTTGATTCACATACTGAATGATTTGAATCAACTTATTTTGATCTGAACAACTATTTCTCATAAATGTGGGGCTGTGCATTGTGTGCAATTTTCATTAAGCTCCCTCCTGCTCTTAATAAGGATCTATACTTTGCTTCTGTTAATGTTAACTTCTGTTTGATTCCAGGTTTTACTATGAGAATTTCTATTCACTTGGTAGGCGTCAGAAAGAGCCGGATATTCCAGAAAGGTCACCAGGTCAAGGGTATGTGTCATGTGATGCGTATGATCATGGAAGCTGTAGATGGTATGATGAATGGGGATATGATCATATTGTGGACTACGTAGCAATGAAACACAAACTTCACTAAGTGCTAAAGGCTGCTCCTGTAGCAGATGTTTCTCTTCAAGGGGACATTGGTTTATCTTTTAAAACAAAGTGGTCCTTCGGGAGACATAGGCAAAGACATAGCAGCATTTGTTTATTGTTGTAAGGTACTTTGTTAGCCAAACATATGACCCTCTCCCTCCTATGACTCCGTGCACCTAAATGGAACTCTGGGGAGAGGAGTTGTTTTGGAATTTAGTTTTTCTTAATGAATTCAAACTAGTGGTGGAACTTGCACAAAAAATTCAAGTCAAAGTAGACATTTCAAATGCACTTCTGAGATAAGTGGCAATCACCAAAATGAGGCAAGTTCCGGTGACATTTAACTTGCTCCCCCAATTAAATATTGCATGAGGAATAATGGGGAACTAGTGTTAACCAAGGCCTGGTCTTGCAACTCATCCTATCACTGATCCCCATCTATTCCCCATAAATTTTTCACTTCTGGTAATTATCCCAACGAACGAAGTTCTTGTGGTAATATGCCCTATAATGTTGCCATTTTTATATACGAATATGATATATCATTTTACATTAAAATGTAAAGTAATAGAGGATATATTTTGATAGTTATATGTAAATACAGTAACATTGTCCTTTATCTCTCAACACTTCATCAACTATGGTGGGCATTTGAATGAGGAATTATGGCTGGTGCAAGATGTTTAATGGAATTTGCTAAGCCTTGGCATTTCCTTTATCTTGGTTCAATATATCTGCAATACTATCATATTGTGGCATACTCAAATAGTTCTCCACAGTACTTTGAGTTAAGTGTGGAGTTATTGACTGTTATTCACAATCCAAGATATGAAATATTCTAGGCTCTGTTAGGTCAGATATTGAGGGTTTAACCTGCAGCGTAATGATGCACAGAATGCCAATGCTTCATATCATTTTAGTATGTAAATTCCAGCATTGAACAAAAACCATATTTTATTAAATTAATTTTATTATTTATTAATTAATAAATATACAAGGTTCAACAATTTGATTGCAGATACACAACAACTATAACTTATATGAATATACCTACTTATAAATACTTATAAATTGAGTTGCCAAACATTGATCATTTGGAGTTGAATTATGTGACATAAAAGTTATAACTAATCTATTAATGTATAAGGTAATATCAAGTGTAAATTGATTGATGTACAAAATAATATTTCCCGTTCTTTACATTGATTACTTTTACATTTATTATTGAACTTGTGCATAGTTTTGTTTTGTGACATGTTGTGAAAGTGATCATCCAGACAGACATGGTACTTTATGTAATATATAAGAAACAGTATTAAAATTGAAGTAATCGAAATATAATGAGAAACAAAAGACATACAAGGTTGGTCAAAATACCATTTTTTCAAATAATACTTTTTTGTTTATTTACTGAATTTTCCATCCTTTATTTTAGTATGACTGTAAAACGTGTCTTATCTGAATGTTATTGATACCAGCTCAAAGCATTTGGATTAGGAGTCATTCAGCTTTTAAGATATTTGCATCTGCAAGATTCTGAATTTTGAAGAAATATACCGGATTTTCTCGCATATAAGCCCTGGGCGTATAACTGAAAGAAGGGGTAATTCCGTCTGTTATTTTACCTCTTATTTTTCGCCCATGGGCGTATAAGTGTACTACTTTCGATTTTTGGCCCAGTGGGCGTAAAGGTGAGAAGAGCTGATGAATACAATGGTTCCTCAAAGACTACCGTGCCTACTGTTGTAGTCCTACCACATGTTTTGTAAGAATTATAAAGGAAATGTCACCTACAACCTTGGACTTAATGTTGAAACAAAGTAACAACAGAACGATCCACCACTGCCACTTACGGCACAGCGTTGAACTTAATGTTGAAACAAAGTAACGACAGAACTATCTGCCAGTGACAAAATACTCTTGAATTTATTGAAAAAATCAATAAATAATCATTTTTTATAGGCCCATGGGCGTATAAGCGTACTACATTCGATTTTTGGCCCATGGGCCTAAATTTAGGGGGGCGTATATGCGAGAAAATCCAGTACATGTAAATGGATATTGATTCATAAAAAAAATAAATACATGTAAGTTATCACAGTGAATGGAATGTTATTTATCAGGTTTGATAGTCATTTACCTGACCTTTATTTTATGTGCTGTTTGTGCAACATTATTTTTTGTTTGCAAATTCATGCACAAATGGATCGGGTTTCAGTACTGAATTTTTAGCATTTTTCTGTCTTTATTCATGTTATTATTAGCATGTTCATGGAGTATCGAAAAATATCCACCCCGTGATTAAATCAGCAAAAATATGCAATTTTTGTAGCTTTTGTAACATATATGTAAAATGTAAAAATTGTATTTGCCTAGCCTAAAAGAGGAGTAATACATGCATGTAATGTCGAATAATTATGACACAACTTTGTGAGTTTGTGACTATCTGGTTTTCAGAATTCGATCCTCTATCATTTTGCACCTTATTTCAAAAATCGCTGTAGATTTGGAGCAACTTTGTGAATTCCATCCATTTTTGTTTCCTGGGAGAAAATATCAAACCTCTGCAAAAAGGATATTTTCCATAATAATACAACCAATTGATGCAAATAATATAAAACACATTTTGAGATATAAAGTGGCTACTTTCAGTATCTCAGTTTATGGCCTGGCAAGCCTGTGGGAGATGAATAGGGTCAATACAAGGCTGAAAGTCCAAAAGAGAAAACAGCCATGTAATATGATAAATATGGTACTGTCATGGTAGTGATATGATTGAGTGCTCAATATTATAATGTCTTGCTAAGATGAACATAAAGTTGAGACAATCTCATTTACAAGCCCTTGCAGAGATTCAAAATCTGAAACTGTTTTGATGGTACTATCACTAGTGGCTACTTCTGAGAGCTCATTCTGCCTCTCTTTATCTATCTGTCCGATTCCTATTGACCACACTTCAACACCGATGGACTTCAGAAGACTGGCTTGTGTTCCAGTATTCACTTCGTTCACTGTGGAAATGCCATCTGTTATGACTATAGCTACATCTGGTACACCTTAAATTGAAATAGCTTTCATGAAAACATATAAAAGAAAAGAACTGTCCATACCCTCATCTCTAAACGTATTATAAAGCTGTACTTCAAAAGAATCAAAAATAATTCATTATACAGTTCATATATGCCCAGTATGCTAACCTTCTCATTACTCTCAATAGATTATCTGAATTTTTATAGACTTGATCAATTTATTAATGAATATATTGAACGACCCTCGTATGACATGATGAATGAAAAAGTTCACAAATTTTCTCACTCTACATGATAGTGAGCAGCTTCAAAGGATCTTACCATTACGGTTCCCATTGTTTGTTTGGAAAGTTGATTCCCTGAGCATTTGCAGTCCAGCTGCTGTGTGGGTTGCCCCACCTGAATACTTGATAGCCTCAATGCCATCCAGAATTTGCTGCTTGTCCCCATGTTTTACCATGTTAAACTCTTCTGCAGCATTGTCACTAAAGGTTACAACACCTATTCGTGAGCCTTAAAATACATGTAAACTTGCTTATATGTACATTCTACTTAAGATCCACACCCCACCCCCAGATGGAGGGAGAAGTCAGGTTAAGGTCGAGTCTAATCTTCAAAGAAATTGTCTTTATTTTCAGATAGCACATGATTCCGTCAAAGTGAAAAAGTGTAAAGATTATTATTTATTGTAGAACTAAATATGGAAATGTGGTTTTTATATGTCCATTCTGTGGATGTTGTTTTAACATTAAGTGGATATATTTCTTGTTTCATTGAACCATTGCTTATGCTACATTCCTTATACTGTAGGTGTTCATGCACTGTACCTGTGGCCACATTCTTGGCAATTGCCATGACAAAGTCCATGACCTTTCTGAAGTTATCCAACCCAATACTCCCAGATTCATCAATGAGGAAAGCCAAATCTATATTTCGCGGGCAATCTGGAAATACACCATATTCATAATGTCATGATGTAACTCGGTTGTTGTTCACAAAAAACTATCAATGTTTTACTCTTTTTGTCATTTCCTAGTTGTTTTCAAGAACATGTACACTATGATCACTTTTTAACTCACCCACTTCACATGAGAGTCCTCCTTTGTCAGATGGGCAGGAACATGTGTAGCCATTCACCTTATTAAAACATTGTCCACCATTTTGACATGGGCTCGAGCTGCAAGAATTCTGGCCTGAAATAGTTCATTCGATTTTATCAGATGGTTTTCATGTTAATGACAGCTTCAGTAAAGCATTGAATGTCAGAATTGGATAAAGGTTCATGCATGTTTCATATACTGAAATGAAATTACCTGTGCATATTGGCTCGGCAACTGTCATTACAACTGTGTCTAGGGCATCAAAATCTGTCACCAAAATCATATTGCTTTCACTTGGGGAAGATGCTATCCCACTTAGTTCATCAACATCAACAAAACTGCCAACACCAATCACAAATATATGAGCACCAGTTAATTTCAGTGATTCTGCATTTGGTAGAGTATTCTCCTGTTCAACTGTAATGTAATCATTTCATGATTTGGTATTCAGTATTTTCTTATTCAACTTCATGCAGTTGAATGTAGTAGAACATTATAAGTGATCTGTTATTAATCGAACACACTAGAAAGGCTATTATTGAACTATAATTGGATACTATGTTGAATTAATATTGAATGTTCAAGAACAATTGTTGTTGAACTTATAGGATGTGCTAAAACTATCATTGTTGAATTGATATCGAATGTTCTTGAACAATTGTTGTTGAACTTATAGGATGTGCTAAAACTATTATTGTTGAATTGATATCGAATGTTCTAGAACAATTGTTGTTGAACTTATAGGATGTGCTAAAACTATTATTGTTGAATTGATATCGAATGTTCTAGAACAATTGTTGTTGAACTTATAGGATGTGCTAAAACTATTATTGTTGAATTGATATCGAATGTTCTAGAACAATTGTTGTTGAACTTATAGGATGTGCTAAAACTATTATTGTTGAATTGATATCGAATGTTCTTGAACAATGGTTGTTGAGCTTATAGGATGTCCTAAAACTATTATTGTTGGATTGATATCGAATGTTCTTGAACAATTGTTGTTGAGCTTATAGGATGTGCTAAAACTATTATTGTTGAATTGATATCGAATGTTCTAGAACAATTGTTGTTGAACTTATAGGATGTGCTAAAACTATTATTGTTGAATTGATATTGAATGTTCTAGAACAATTATTGTTGAGCTTATAGGATGTGCTAAAACTATTATTGTTGAATTGATATTGAATGTTCAAGAACAATTATTGTTGAGCTTATAGGATGTGCTAAAACTATTATTGTTGAATTGATATTGAATGTTCAAGAACAATTATTGTTGAGCTTATAGGATGTGCTAAAACTATTATTGTTGAATTGATATTGAATATTCTTGAACAATTGTTGTTGAACTTATAGGATGTGCTAAAACTATTATTGTTGAATTGATATTGAATGTTCTAGAACAATTATTGTTGAGCTTATAGGATGTGCTAAAACTATTATTGTTGAATTGATATTGGATGTTCAAGAACAATTGTTGTTGAACTTATAGGATGTGCTAAAACTATTATTGTTGAATTGGTATTGAGTGTTCAAGAACAATTGTTGTTGAACTTATAGTATGTGCTAAAACTATTATTGTTGAATTGATATTGAATGTTCTTGAACAGACCCTGTGTCATTGGAATAACGTGTACTTATAACTCAATTCTGAATTGTAATATAAAATCTATTGTATGTTGTATGTTTTGACACTAAGTAAATGTACCTGTAGAGATTCCATCTGTCACCAAGATGACAACATTAGGTGCTGCTCTATCACCATTATCTGTGGTAAACATATCATTCTGCATCATTTTTAGAGCAGCCTGTGTGTTAGTTGCACCATATCTATATTTAACCTTATCCAGGGAGGATAACACTGATCTGACATCCATATGTTCATTCAGGTGGAACTCCACTTTCGCTGTTGAACTGAAAGTAACGAGACCAATCCTGGCATTCTGGCCAACTTGGAGCTGCTTTGATACTTTACCAACAAATGTCAGGATTTTCCTAAAATCACGGACAGCTATACTGCCAGAGGTATCGATCGCGAAGATCACATCGGCTTGACTTACACAGTCTAAAATTAATCCAGAATTATATTCAATATCAAGACATAAAATAACAAGGCAATAACATGACATAATGTCACCATCTGTAAATAGTTAAAGTGTATCAGTTGTTATTACATATGGCAACCGCTGACACCAAGTGAAAGAATGCAAGTGAAATAAAAACAGCACTATTAATTAGTTGATGAATTTTGTTCCAAATAACTTTTTTAATTTTACATTTCATACAAGTGACATTGTGGCTTCATTTAAGTTAGATCAGAATTGCTGAATAGCAAACTCACTTTGTTCACATGTGTCTCCACTGAAACCTGAGGAACATTCACAGACAAATGTATTGAGACGGTCCAAACAAACTCCTCCATTACGGCATGGACTACTAACACATTCATTCTCATCTGAAATAAGAAAAAAGCTTTAGTTTTTTCTACAGTGACAGCTGTATATGTTCAGTATTTTTCATCATATATAATTTATTTTGCTATTATATTTCTGACTACCATAGCATCTCTAGCTCTATGGAAGGCCCAAGAAGACAATACTCACCGTTTCTTGTAGATCCTATGATAGAATTCTTCATGGTACTAAGTGTGTCAAAGTTTGAAACAGCCATGACTCTCTCCTCTGAGTTTGTAATTTGCAGCATTTCATCTTTATCTGCATCTGGTCCTACACCAACAGCAAACAGCTCTATGCCAGTAGCCCTTGCTTCCTGAGCCTCTGGAACAGTACTTTCAGCATCCCAGTTTGAGGGCCCATCACTGAGTAGGATCCCAACATTAGGGGCAGTAGCACGATCCCCCATGGATGCAACAAAAATATCTTGTCTGAGACTCCGTAATCCCGACGCTATATTTGTAGCGCCACCTTTGTATATAACCTGATTTATTGCACTAGCAAGACTCTCTTTGTCAGTGAATGCATTGAGACCAAACTCCACAGCAGAGCTGTCACTAAACAGAACAAATGCAACCTGCACAGCATCACTACCAATTGTCAAGTCATTAGTGACATCTCTTACAAATGATTTCATCTTTTCAAAGTTACCAGCTCCGACACTTCCAGAGCCATCTACCACAAAAGCAATATCAGCTCTGCCCTTTGGACTGGCAGTAACCGTAATATCATCAATGGCAAGATCTGAACTCCAGTCAGACCCTCTCATTGCTTCAAACACCAGAGAAAATGAGCCTGGATCAAGAACAGCCGTTTCCAAATTCCAGATGTCTCCCCTGTCTCCATTGAGTGACATGATGAGGTTGTCATTACTTCCTGTTCTCCTGTAGACATTCAGTGTACCCATTGTAGCCCCATACATGTGACTGTAGAATGTGAGAACCATCTCACTGGAAGATGTTATGCTAGGAGTCACCAGTCTGGCCTTGTCCCCTTCATTCCTTGGTGGGGATGCCTCGATATAGAGATAGAATCCTTAAAATGGAAGAATGATTTGATATAAATATTTGTATTTATCCATATATGCCTTCTTGTTTCAAACTTTGCCTTATGTGGTCTTCATAATTATAACAAGTTATTAAATACATATCAATCATGTTGTATCATGTTTTTCTCACATGTTTACCTTTACACTGTACACATACTCGTATGTACTTTTAAAATCAGTGTAGCTCTTACCAGTAGTGTCACCAATTGTGTGATCAGAAGAAGGCCCTGTTAGTCCACTTTGTGTTTTCCCCTGTAGTCTTGTCCACTCAAAGTCCATTGAACTATCCATTGTACTTTCACACAATCCAGCTTCAAATGTACACTGCCAAAGTATATCCCCTGGAATTTAGGATCAAGGTTTAATAAGGACTATCAAGAGTTGACATGGCTGCCAAATCTAAAGAAATCTTTAAACTACTCTCAATGCATCTGGTCATATCTATAAATATAATAATATAGAAAGTTACATCATGCTCATCATCTTCATGCTCCTGCCTTATGAGAGGGGTCTTATCCATTACATAATGCTTGCATCTGATGCATTACACATACCAAGTGAAGGTAGTTCTGTTGTGGCTGTTTGAGCAACAGTTGTTGGACCATCAGGTGTTGTAGCAGCGGTTGTTGCAGCCACAGTTGTTGGAGCAGCAGTTGTTGCAGCAGCAGTTGTTGGAGCAGCAGTTGTTGCAGCCACAGTTGTTGGAGCAGCAGTTGTTGCAGCAGCAGTTGTTGCAGCAGCAGTTGTTGGAGCAGCAGTTGTTGCAGCCACAGTTGTTGGAGCAGCAGTTGTTGCAGCCACAGTTGTTGGAGCAGCAGTTGTTGCAGCAGCAGTTGTTGGAGCAGCAGTTGTTGCAGCAGTTGTTGGAGCATCAGTTGGAGCAGTGACATCTGAAATAGAAAATGATGTCAATGTTATCAACCAGCTGTTTGAGGAATACCTTGTTATAAAAAGTATTTGTAGTTATTCAGTGCAGCTTTTGGTTCATTTTTATGGTGTAACTTTAGATCTAAGCTGAACTAGGTCAAGTTCAAGGTCAAATCAACAATTTACACTTCTCAACACATTACAGAGAAAATTATTATACTTACTGTCATTGTTCCAATGACATGAGGGTCAGTGATAAATATAACAGAAATTACACATTAGTTAATGCCTGTGGTAGTCAGAAATCATTAGTGTTACATGCCAAACATAAAATCATTGAGACTGACTCCCAAAATACATTTGTACATTCAGCAGGGGAGGGATATAGTCATATAGTAATAGGTGTCCAAATCTGGTAAAGATGATTTCCTATTATTAGGGTGTCAGTATTCAATATTATTATTTAGTTGTCAGTAATGAAAAATAATGATTAAATATTTATAATACACAATGTATTTTAATGCTAAAATATATACAACAAAAACTTTTGATTATACCCAAAATATTAATTTGGCTGATCCCCGTACATTCCCATGCCTTTTACCTCATCAATAAAAGCAAATATGAATTCATCATTACCTGTGTAAAGTATGACTTTCATGTCATCAAGGGCAAGGTCGCCACGCCAGTCAAGGCCCCTGATGTACTCAAACACTAGTGAATAGGTACCTGTTGGAAGATCAACTGATGCCAAAGACCATCTATCGCCATTGTCACCTTAAAGAACAAAACGTAAAGGGTTTGTCACTGAGATTTAATACCTGCTGTATGATCGTCTTTTTGCTTGTCATGTCTCTAAATACGTATTTGATGAGCTAGATGTATTTATATTAGCATAATTTCCTCACACCACTAATGTTCATTTCTTCTTCTTAAAATCTCAAGTTGTGAGGTCTAAGGGGAGTTTTAATCAACAGTATACCTGTTCTGGTCCATCTGAGGACTCTTGCTGTTTCTGTCTCTGTGTAGACATTTATGGTACCCATATCAGATCCTCGCATGTGGTAGTAGAACTCCAGCTTACGTCTACTGATCCCAGTACGTGTAAGGAGAGGAGTTTGTATTTCTGCTATATCACCTGCCTCCACAGGGGGAGATGCCTCTGCGTATATGTAGGATCCTTAAAAACAGAATTTAGAAAAAGTCTTGTTCAATGCTATACAGAGAAATTATGTATTTATTGTATCTGGATATCATTAGAGACTGTTTTCATAATTGAGGGTATTTTGTTTTTATATTATACAATACAAAATGTGATTTGATACTGTCTATTCATCTTCAAATGTTGTCCCATCTATTTTTCATTTTCAAACATTATTCTTAATGTTATATTTGTGCTTTTCAGTTTCAAACATTATTTGTAATTTTCTTAATATATAAGATATAATGTATACTGTACATTGTAGATATTTTCCTTGATCTTGTGTGGATTACTGTATTTACTGTGGATTAGTATTGATCAAAATAATTTAGTAACATCATACATACAGGTTTAGTGGCTTGTCAAGAGAAATACATTTGTATGTCTTACCTGTTCCTGAGTGATCAGTCTGAGGCCCAGTGCCACCAGACTGAGTACCTCCACTCTGCCTTGTCCAATCAAATTCATCAATCTGACTCTGGGTCATCTCACAAAGATCAGTGTCGAATGAACATTCAAATTCAATTTCTGCAATAGATTATTTATTTTTTGCTAAATCAACTTTCAAAATATATTTCTTTAAAATATCATGGGATGAAACTTTATATTCAAAATTAGCATACAAGAACATATTATATAAATGATAACATAATTAATATCCATATGCCATTAAATGATTAGACTGGTTTTTATCAATGGGTCATCGATAGCATCACAAGGGCGCATAACTCTATTATAATTATGACTGCAACAAGCTGATAAAAAGGTATGCATATATAAAAGTTGGGTGGTTCTTTGTGCTGTTAATGTCTGTTGAAGCTGGTTGATGTTCATCATTGTTTCAGTCTGTTCTCACTAGACAAACATACACGGTGACACAAAAAACACCACCCACTAATTTTGGAATAATTAATAAAATTAGTGGGTGGTGTTTTTTTATGTCACCCTGTATATTTGAAAAATTGCAGGAACAAATATTATATAAAATAATAAAAAGATTCAAAACAGAAATAATACCTGTAATAGGAGCTGGTGTTGATGGTTGTATTGTAGCTGTCAAATAAACATCATGCATAATATTATCAACAAAGCAATGTGATGTGATTCATGCATTATGAATTCTAAAATGTTTGCAAAGAATAGATGAAAGCGAGTGCCTGAAAAAGTGGCAACATAATGTAAATAAACTAATAAATTAACACTACATTCATGCACACGTTTCATGAAGGAAATGATTTTTTGGTTCTTTGAATAAATTAGTAATACAATCATGCACAAGTATTTGGTTGTTTGGCTTTTTATTTCATTTATACTGAGCCAAATTTATGGATATCTGAATACAGGGTGGGCCAAAAATGACTATATTTTTCTATTCCGCTTAATTGCCACTTAATAGGTATTTTTCATTCATACCTGGCTTTATGAGAGACACATCATCAATGGCTATATCCCCAGTAAAACTGGATCCTTTCACTGCCTCAAAGAGAAACTGATATGATCCCCCAGGCAGATTGTTCACTTGTGCCCTGTACCAGTGCCAATTCTGATCTCCACTCTTGGTCCAGATGATCTGCTTGCTGTTTCCCTCTTGTGTGTAGACGTTTAATGTGCTGATGGTGTCCCCATACATGTGGTAATAGAACTCTAATGTGCTGCCATCTTTCACGTTGAATAATGGGGTAAGATAACCAGCCCTCTCCCCTGATGGTGGGGTGTCACCAGTTGTCTCGATGAACACATAATGACCTAGAAACATTATATTAATTGCATTTCCAATTTTCTAAAACATAAAACTGGGATATGTGATTGAGAATATATGAAATAAACATTCAGAATTGTAACATGTGCATTCTATTCATCTTTGTCACAGATTATAAATAAAAGTATAGTGTATAGTTAGTTTAAGAAATCGTATATAAAAGCCAAAATACCACAACATGTTCCTTAATATGGTTCATAATTATTTTCCCTTTGGAAAGGCAATGTTTCTAACCTTCCTCTCTGCCTCGTGTACGATCGGTGTATGGACCTGTATACCCTGATGGCGTCGTCTCATTCTGCCTGACCCAAGGAAAATTTTGATTTGTGTCAGTGAAACACAAGTTATCACCAGGAGTAAAGCAAACATTATCGTCAAATGTTGCCCTGAACTCAACGTTGGTTTCTGTCTCACCTAAACATAAAACAAATTGTACCAATTCATATTTACAAAACTGATTATAAAATACTAGTGTTTGGACATACATGATCAAAATAACTTTTGCATGAAAACCAAGAGCAAATGTTCCATCTCTAGGCAATAGAGGTAAGAAGCTAAGGTGATTAGTCACATTTGCCCTACGGTGGTCGTACGACAGCCGTAGCTTCACAAAATATATTTAGAAAATTTATCCCTATATTTTTTCATGCTACGTATTTCAGTAGATTTTGGCAAGCTCCGGCCGCCGTACGGTTGCCGTAGATCAAATGTGACCGAGGCATTACTTACATGTTTCCCCTGTGTAAGCTAACGGACACATGCATAGACAGGTATCTCCCATCAGAGTACCGCCATTGCTACACGTTTTTCCAAGACATCGGTTGGAATATCCTAAACGCAAACCATAGTCATCAATAACCTTACATAATAATAATAATGAACTTAAGGTTAATTATTTGATGGTTATTTGGTAGTTAATATATCACTCTGTGTTACTTCCTCTTTCCTTCTTTAAATGACATTTACAGTTTATGATTCTGAATCTTCAGATGTTAGTCCTTTAATACGATTGTAAAGCACATTCGCGATGCCATTAAACATGTTAAAGATCAAAGATACATAGACACAAAGACTTACTGCATAGATTATTTTCACAATCTGTCTTTCCAACAGGGCACTGAGAGCAGGGGGTGCCTGATATATATGGCCACTGACCCTGGGCATTCCCCCTATAACCAAAAATAGCTTTGAACGGACACCTTATTCGCTGCTGATATTAATTGCAATGCCTGGTAATTACTAAACATAACTGTAAGTGTTTCATTTGTTATCTTGAACTCCAGACGTTTCTATTTATCTAAAATAGGATGTTGTGTCATCTTTTCAAATTATTGAATCGATAGAATAATACTAATAATACTAATACTAACTGATTGTTACAAAAGCCTTAGTTGTTCTATAAAAGTGAATTAACATGCAACAAGATGTCCTACAGAGGCAAGAACGTCCATATTTTTGTAACTTTTGAAATATTACTAATACCAAGGCAATGGCGTCTATCTCGAGGTGGACGTCATTGCTAATACTCGGATTTCGACCCATTTTCGTAAGAGATGCAGCGATCACAAAATGTGGACGTTTTTGGCCCACCCTGTACATAAGCGTTATTGTGACAGATGCTATTTCTAGGTTCTATTAACCACCAAGTAACAAAATAACACAATGTGACAGAAATTCCTACCCTGGTATCCTTAGATTTGCGGATTCAAATTGCATGAAGTTAAAATAAGTTTGCTTGCTTTTGGAACAACTTGTCCATATTAATCAAAGCGACATGCCTTTGTCAACCCAGTGACACTATTAGGGGTATAAACAAATGCGCAGTTTGAGCTGTCAAATATTTGAGGAAGAGTAGCATTTTCAGGCATAGACTCAAATACATAAAATTGATTAACTGTATAAAAGCGGTGTCCATTTTTTCTGTCATTAACTTAAATTCATATGATAGAGTCATCTCTTACCCTGGTCCCATATTGCATACAATATAATAGCCATCATCAATAGAATTCTTTATCTTTGGGCAATACGCTATACCACATCCGATTTTATTTGTTGTTGCCCAAACCACCTGCAACACAGTAGTTCAAACAATATAAGTTATGCGGTTATGTAATTTTAAAACACATTGATAAATAGTTAGTGGATAGCGGCAATTTTAATAAATGTGAAAAAATAATTACCGCTGTGTAGTGACCACACTGTTTTCCAGGAGCACAACTGTTTGTTTCATAAGTATAATCGTTCTTTTCTATGTACCAGGAGTCCATTGATCGTTCTTCATCATAGGTCCCTGTGCATCAAGTAAAACAATTAAATAATCGCATTTGATGTCAAAATAATGAAAGACGCAAATGGGGTCAGCGCATCGTCAGTTCCAGATAGTTAAAAAACAGAAAGATATGAAAATCAGATATCGTCATGTTCATGTATTACTATTAATAAAAAGATATTCAAACATGACCGTGCTCTATTCGAATTTCTCAACCAATCAGAATGCAGCATAGCCAATATAGAACGTTCTCTAATTCTCCATAGATGCACGACCATGCTCTATTCAATCTGCAATTTGCATTGTTTTGAGTGACGTCACATCTCAGCTGCACATCTGGGGCTCTGTCCGGGGATAACATGCGTATTCTTCCTTCATGCCCGTTCCACAGACACGGCTTTTACTAATTTTTATGTTTGAATCGGAATAAATAATGATAGGCCATTCAATATGGTGAAATTCAGCACTCGTTGGACAGAATGTTAGTACAAATGCACTCACCTTCGGTTCGTGCTTTGTACAACATTCTGTCCAACTCGTGCTGAATTTCACCATATTGAATGGCCTATCATTATTTATTCCTTAAATAAACCCTTTATTGTTGACTCAACAGTTAAAGTAAAACGTGTTTGTGTAGAAATTTCTGTTTGGCGTCTTTTTCTTCCTAACTTACACTCCCACGCCTGTATGTTCTGGCCTATGAAACTATAGGGGTAGGAATCCCTGTCTGGTTGTCCATGGCTCCATACACACGCATCTGCCCACTCCTGGGCCAGCACCTCCAATTCCTCATCCCAGTCCTATAATACACAATCGAAAATACAACATAGATATAGGAATTAGTAAGTAGATATCATAGACATTCAATTATCACAGTCAATGAAAAAAAAATATGGTCTGCATTCAACTATATTGCTATAAACAGAATGTCAAAGTGGGCGAGGAAGACAAAAATGCTGAAATGAGTGGCAAACGTATGTACCATAAACTCCATATTTGCAGCTTGGGGTACGACTGAAGACCTGTATTCATTGTGCTTTTTGATAAAGTTCTCCCTCTCGTGCCATGTGATACTGTTCTTTGTTCGATCAGTCTTGTATCGGAACGGGTCGTTAGGATCTAGTTGACGACGCAGACGTTCTCTACGCAAGAATGGAGATACAAGATCGTGGAAGAATCCAGCCTCCTCATCTGAAATGATAGCAGGTTTTTTATACCATGTTATATAGATTTTCAATTCCAATCGACATGCACATTGTTCCAACTTTATTTATGATGATTTTATGAACTGCAAGACGTTTACATTTCAAATGTCAACATGCGATAACAGATCATAGCAACATCGTGAACATAGTAATTCAAACACATTTAAAATACATCTTGTCTTGTCTCGTGTCTAGGTGAAGATCTTTTTTCCCAAGCTTGTATTGTCATTTGAAATAAAGCTTGGTTCATCAATATAATGAAGTTTCATCATTCAAAAGTCTCAACCATGTTCCATAAGACTCATTTTAGGGGTCATTTGGACTGCACTGACATAAACATTAAATGTAAAATACGCGCACGGTACCTGAGTTAACGCGTTCTCTTATAGGATCTGCAGCCGCCAATGTAACAACCACAAGCCCAATGACTGCCACCAATGTTGCAAATAGAGCTGTTGCCATTATTCTTCTTCGGGCTAAATATAAAGCATGTTATTCATTATTGAGTGTCGTATATCCAGTTTAAAAAAATATTCATAAAACTCGTTTATCAGAAAACCTGGAAAATGAAAAACGTTGTTAATCACAAAAGCCATTCAATTTTCCCGACCACCCTGTGAAAAAGCTCCATTAAGTACAAATTAAGAAATATTTATGAGTATCAATGTATAGCTTACTCCCTCCAGCCCAAATTCCATCACCCGATTTTAGATTGGTTGGCTACTCATCAGAGCATGTAATTGTTATTCTTCAGTTCTTATTTAGTCTAATTCGTGTCAGAAATTCATCAATATCTGTTGTTTTCAAATATTGCCTGTCAGTTGTTTTGGCGACTAAGTGACCCCATGTAAATTTGCCCCCACGTGCCTTTGGACCATCATTTTTAAAACATGTTCACTGAGAAGTTTAATATTTACAAGTTACAATTTAGTCAGGCTTATCTGATTATAGTGACCTTTGTATACTCATGTTTAACAACTGCGACCATACAGTAATTACTAGTTACATATTCATTAGTTCTTCATCTTTACTTCCTACAAGTATTATATAATATTGTCTCAGTTTCAACACTACATTACCAAATATTTGCTGTAGCCAAAATTGATGAAGTTATTCGACTTACACTTAATTATGGAACGAGTATAATAGGTTTATAAAAATCAAAACCAAGGGCGTCGGTTTTTTGTTCCTGAATTTAATAGCTTTTGATAGAGAGAAAGAATGCATGCCATGTACCAGGTACATGTATGTACTTATTTCAACATCTTGTACGGCTTATACAACTTTTATTGCCTATCGTCCACGTTCTTTTTTTTTAAATAAAAAAAGCCAATAACATTTTGAAGGAATGCTCCAAGTATGAACCAACCATTTTAAACAAATAAATTGAAACTACCAGTCAACATGTTTGATTCATTTAAGTATGGTAATTCAATTATAAGTAAAGCAACCCATAAAAACCTGAGTTGTATATCTGCGACATTCCCCTTTGTCGGTGTACTTTACAACGGATATGTCAGTACCATGTCGAAACGATTACGATGATAAAAAGTACCATCAAAAGGCAATATAAAAGAATTCACGTATGTCAAATGATTTTAGATATATATTTGACCATGATTATTTTCTGACCGTAATAACAACATTTTTTGATTGATTTTTTTAAAACAGTGTGTTTTCAAATTCAAGTCGTCATGATAATTAAACCTCTATCATGTCTATACTACTTTCAAAATGATCTTTCCTGACCATCTAACCTCCCATTTTGGAGAGTTTAAGATGTCTAAGTTCTATAATATATTCATACATTAAAAGTGGACCAAAAAAGAATCGTTGGTTAAAAATACGTTTTTTGAAAAAATTTCTATATGTGATTCTAATCAATGATTTATAAGTGCAGTTTGTTCGATATTTCGGTATCCCTTTGGGGGAAAAACATTGTTTTTAACTTTCATTTGTAAAGGATTGGTATCGATATACTAAACTGAATTCAACAATATTTTTCTCTTAAACCAATTATTGAAAACATTCTGTGAAAAACATGGTACTTTATGTAATGTTGACTGATTGACAGCAATTTAATGCGAAAATAATTTATATAGATTTTATATAACTGTTTTTGTTAACATTTTTTATTTTTTTAGTGCAATTGTTTTTTGTTCCTTTTACCAATTCTTCAGAATTAAATCTTTCCGAAGCTTGTTGGAACAAAATTGCATATACAACTTAGACCTCTCAATATTATAGCTATACAGAGGAAATTCTGGTTGATTTAAGAAAAAGTATTCAAAAATTTAAAACAAAAACCCCCAAAATAGATAAAAATTAAGATAAACATTTTATTTCATTAACAAGATACTTTTTTTTAAATCAACCCCCAAAATAGTTAGAAATTAAGATAAACCTTTTATTTCATTAACAAGATACTTTTTTTAAATCAACCAAACTCTCCTTTGTACAATTACAATATTGAGAGACTGAAACACGTTGTGTTTATGTCATTTTGTTCCAACGAGGTTTGGATAGACGTTTCATTCATTCCGAATATATGATACCAAGAACAAAAGAAGTGTATGATGTGATTTCTAAAACAATATAGAGAAAGGTATATCTATCCATTTCAAATGATATTGTTGCCATTCAAAAGATGACCATTAAATTGACAATGTGTAAAATTTTCAGAATTGTTTGATGACCGGTTTAAGAGAAACGTGTGTTGAAAAAGTTCACCATATCGACCCATCCTTTGGATCACGGTCAGAAAGTAGCCTACTCCTGATAAAATAATGGCCATAAAATCACCAAACATTCCATACGAGGTTCCAACAGCATCGTCACGAATACTTCGTCACGAAACACTTTTGATTTTGTCCTTATATTACTTTGATTCAGTCATTCAATCACTATTACACGATGTTTGTGATGGTTGCTCTTTGTAAATTACTTGGCAAATAATCCAATTTTTCAAAAGACCAATCGAAATATTTGCCCCTATTCAACATTTAGTCGGCATTAGTGAAATAATCAATTGTTAAACAATTGATTTGGTCTATTTAAAACTTTTTTTACTCTATTATTCTTGATATTTGTGTAATTGCACACATCACCAAACATCGTCTTTGTTTGGTGTTACTTTCTTTTCTAATTGATTTCACAGATTTTATCGACGTTTTCAAATTAATTTATTGGATTCGAATAAGAAAATCTAGTTATACAGTAAGAATTTCATTGATTTAAACGTACTTTCTTGAAGCGATTAAGAAATACTTTCTTGTTATTCTTAATACAAGGTTATGTTTTATTAATATTCTCGACAATATATAGAACATTGATTTCGACATCAGGGAAATACTATAGGTAAGTTTAATCCGATTTGATTACACAGATCCCCAGCAAGATTTTTTCCCTTGGATACTTGTATATATCTGATCATTTAGTATAACCAGTTTATCACGATAATCCATCAGTTTATTGTTGGGATCAGTTTATGTGGGACTGGACTAACCCCCTCTCCCTCGAACGAGCCTAGTCTGTTAAAGTTCCATACATATATAAATCATGTTGAACCTTTGGTATAAACGGTAGACTGGTAAAATTGTATACCTCTGACTGGACGTACACAATGGATAGTTAAGTTTGCAGCAAGACTTCCTCATTTCTTGTATGAAAAGTTATGCACACAACTTAGAAATAGATGCGGATGCACAATAATTGATTTTTTTTATTGATGATCATTGCAAGAATCGATGAATGTTAGAATATTTATTACCCAAATGTATGTTTATATTCCTATTTTCCAAGGTAACCTAAATTATTCATCCATGATGTGATCTTGCATGGAATATGAACTTACCACGATAACAGCCAGGAGTAATCAAGTGATGAATGTGTTGTTGCCCAATCTATTTGTCACGCAACCGTAGGCACTGACTGTACTGTATGGGTGCCACTGTATGCAACTTGTTTCCTTCTGTATAATCTAATTTGTGTTTTATATATTACGGTAAGACCGATCCATGAATATTATATCTTTTTAAACTTCTTAAGATATGATGAAATATGATGTATACTCGTCGAAAGACTACACACTCATCAAGCAATTGTGAGTGAGCGAAGCGAAGTGGCTTTGATCATGAAGTCAAAACTTTAATTTCTAAGTCTCGAACTTGCGTTGTAGCGGGCGTTACAGTCATTGAACGTCTTAAACTTCCAAAACTTAAGCGTGTCAATTTAAATGTTTATTATGTAATACAAGTCATGCAAATACCATGTCTTATTTGTTTTATTCATATTTATTTTATATTTTTCATAATCTAATTATCTGACTTTACTTACACGTTATCTCCTGCGTTAGTTGGTGTATCCACTTCGGTCTCTTGCAGACAGTAGTTGGCACAGTAAGCGCTTACAGCACTTACTCTTCAAAGGCGTACTCCTTTTAATCGTCAGAAGGCCAAATGGGAACCAACACTGAATACGTAAGAGAGTGTTGAATAAATACTTAATCAACCAGTCGTGAATAGAAATCATAAAAATTCTTCTAAAGAATCGCAAGTTTGTTCTTAGCCTGACCAGTTGTTCCCTTTCATTCGTTTCATTGTCCGCGAGAACACAATGCTTTATTTAAATGAAAAACTTGTGCTTGTTCCAAATCACAGTATAGTATCACAGTGAGTTAATTTACGTATATAATTCTGTTTCGATAACAAATGGCCCACCAATGTAATTTAAGCTTCTAAGGATTAATTTCTGTTTTGGAGCAGGATACAAAAACAGGTGATATTGGTTTCTATCTCCCATTGCACTTTAAAGTTTCAAGGAAAAGCTAGATGGTCGGACTGGTTTCTTATAAACAAGCATCTAATTTGAAGGACCTAAGCAACGATTGTGACCGTCCTGCACGAAGAATAATAATTTTTTCATCAATTTAGTGATGAAGGTATTTTTTAAAAGTAATTTGACATATGATTTCTTTTGAACATTCTACTGTCTGGATGAATGTCTTGTAGTTGTGGAAAGCAAGATCTTGAGTCTCCTCTAGATATATGATAATATGATATATTATATTCTGATTATAATTCAAAAATGGCTGAATATGTACTCATTGAAAGTTCAATAAAGTTAAAAACAGTACGACGTCATTCTGATACTCTTAGCATCTTTCTGTTTCACCTGAAACATCTCAAGGCTGAGAAGAAATGAGATGTCATGGTTTATCTTGATGGTACGACGTACAAACAACTCGCTACATTAGGCTGCATTTTAGACACGATCTCTATATTCCTTGTCCTCAGACCCCATGTGTAATCCCAAAATTGATAATGGGTCATTATAAGTTAAATACGATTATTGGCAAAGTCTCAACTGTTCTATTCAGTTTTTGATCACTGGACATCATTACATCCAGTTTCTGACAACCCTTACATCCAACAGAATACAAGTTAATAGAAAGTATATGGATTTGTATCGTGTTGCTTCTGTACCTTCTGTTTCAAAAATATGTGTGTTATCACACAAATACTTATATAATTGGCAATTGTCATTAATTTGGTTTTAAATAGCTTTCCATTATTTTAAAATATAAGCTCGTTCAAAATGTTTTGCGAAAATGATTCTGAAGAGAGAGGAGCTTTTACTACTACTTTCCATGGTATTGAATACAGTTTCACTTCCTACATGCAGATTTGAAGAACATAACCAGACAAGATATTTCCTGAGATACGTTCATTTTTGATTTTAAACCAACGGGCCCATTTTCAATATAATATGCATTTTGTGAATGCCTTGATTTGTACAGTCAAATAATAAATGATGACATCTCATTTCTTCACAGCCATGAGATCCCATGGTATTTGGGTTGGATTTGGTGATTCAAGAAGAGAGTCAAGACTTGGGGTATTGGAGTACTTTGAGATATTCGTAACTTAGTTAACATTGAATATTTATAATGCCTTTATCACGGGTGTTAAAACACGAATATACCATGAGCACATGCTTTGAGGATCCGCGTTGTTTGAACCTACCGCCGAGCACACTTATACATTAAGACCCGTTACACAGTCATGATACCGCCGAGCAACCTCATTGCATCATCGGGTCTGCTTTACCCCCGTGTTTATATGATATCATTTTCAAGCGGTATTCAAATCTACATAATTTTAAATAGCAGAGTTAGAAATATTTAAAAGCGTTTAAGATAAAGGGTAGGGGCATTGTAGGATCCACAAACGTTAGGATATCAGGGATTGGGATACTCTCTCTCAAGCTTTAAAAAAGAGTGACCCCGTCAAATCAGAATGGAGTTGAGGAAATAGCATGTCTTTAGATATGTTTCAGACATATTTTTGTTGTTAATCTAAATTTTCATTAATATTTAAACATCTTTTAAAACTCTTACTAAATCAATGTATTTTCTGTTTATTTTCTACAACCATTTTAAAATTAGGTTTTCTAAAACAAGGATATAGACGTCCTTGGCTAAAACAAGCTTCTTAAATCTCAATCAGTCAAATTTCAGATAAAATATCATTACTTCTGGGACACCCTGTACTAGTATCCATTATAAATTAAAGAAAAACTAAATCACAAAATATTGAACCTATTAAAGAACAAGAAAATATCATTTTAGTCGCTCACTCATGATAAACCATGACATTGCCCTTCGCATTCGTTCGACTTCGCTTCTAAAAGAGATCTTCGTCTTCAGTAGTTCATAGCTAGACTGTCCACGCAAGGTGCCATGACATTTTCCCTTTCTCAGGAGAGCGTGAAAGATGAAAGATATGAGAATCGTCACTTTTCTGTTAACTATTTTGTAATTTATCGCTGGCATTGGGTACTACCCTAAGTGTCAGAGTTTAGTAGATTAGATGCAGATGAAGTTCTCTTTTAACGAAGCAAAATCAAACCATTAAACATACTTATTGGGCCCTTATCACTTTATTTTGCATTCTAAAAGAGAATAAAATCAGTTTATATTTCAGTCTGAAAAAGACAAGTCTTGAATCAAGTCCTTATAATCCACATCTCCCCAATTCTTTCTCTTATAATGGTTCGGGAAACAAAAATTAGTGCTGGGTGAAAAACGGCATACAAAACTAATTTCTATGGATGAACCATGAGTACCAAATTATTCGTTACAATAAATCAAAGTATACTTACTAAAAGGTATTTAAGTTTACACTCCAATTCCTGAATTCCTCTCTTTTTGTTAGCAATTTTTGACTATAAACGTAACATTTTATCCCTAGTCGTATGGTTTACATCTGAAACAATGTTAACTCATGTCCAGTCTTTAAACGTTTACTCAGTCCTTCAACTTAGTTTAATCTCCTGTTTAGCGATCATATTGTGTACACGTTTCTTCTTATACACACATATGATGGTTCCGAATAAATATTTCCGACTGAACATTCAAAAGTTGATCACCCACATAAAATCCATTTTGATACTCAGACCATCTCTGCCATGCAAAGGGAATGAAACTGATAGGTGGCTGTGATATCTCAGTATGCATGAAATCTGATAATTAAGAGTGGGGAATCTTGTACATCCTTGCAGCAAGGGTATACATATACATATTACATATAATAGACCGGGTGCTTTTCTGCAAAAGGTCTCTCTGTAAAATGTGGTAGGCGTTTAGTGTTAAAAGTGTTCTGACAAGTGTTTCTTATGTAACTTTTTATGCTGAATCCAAAAAACCATGTTGGCAAGCTGAAATATGATTATTTAACCCTTAAAATACCATGTTAGTCCCCCTACCCCCAAAATTGACCCCTATCAGGGGGAAAAAATTCTTCAACCTGAAATAACTTTGATTTTATGGTTTTTGTAAGTGAAATACATGGACATTGTATAATATAAACATTTGAAGTATGAATGATACGGATTACCCTTAAGAAATTTGAATAAAAGCAAAAAGTATGTACTCCAGGGGCAAATTTATGACCCATTTTTTACTTTTCGTGTCATAACTTTTTTATTAGACAATGATGGATGCTAAAAAAAATCCATGTAAAAGGCATAATACCTGGTCTACTAATCCTGCAAGAATCAAAGTAATTCCTTTGATAATTGCCTTGAAAAAAATTAGTGAATTTAAGAAAAAATGACATTTTAGCTGGGACTGATTTTATGTGTGACTATAACTGACCCCTATTGCTTTAACATTTATCCCTCTGTGTTCATATATTTAGCATTTTAGAATAAATCTAAAATATAAAACTTATTTTAGCAAAGTTTTAGGAAGATTTAAGCTTTTTATCATGTTCAACTATTAAAAATTCATGAAATATGATGTCTAAAATTGATAAGTTATACGTATACCCTTGGAAGACCCTTATAATTTCTTATTTATGAACATATTTGTACCAATATTAATTTTCTAGCTTAGAGAAATGATGTATGATATATCCTGGTTTGGCTTTCTGGTGGTTTGAACAATCTTTTAAGTGTTATCATTGAAAATTCATTCTTAAATCATAGGTCTGCAATCTATTAAATTTATGTATACCATTAGTATCATTCTACTGGTATGAGCATAATTGAACTAGCTATGATTTCATAGATTAGTTTTTTGATGTATGACATATTCCAAGCTGACTTTCTGGTGATTTTAACCATCTAAGAGGCTTAATCATTGAAAACCATTACAAATAAAGGCCTAAACGGACAGTATTAAGGTAGACTATTAGAACACCCTTATTAATTCCAGGCTTAGAGTATATTGGTACCTACTGCTGTCTCATAGCTCGGAGGTTTGATATATGACATATTCTGACTAGTTTTTCTGCAGATTTGAACCACCTAACAGGTCTAATCATTGAATATACTTAATATACTAGGTCTAAAATTGAAGTATTCAATAGAACCCTCTATGATAAATTCAAAAAAGATTCAGAATGACATTAACCTCAACACTGGATCTGAATCAGAATTACAATTCTTCATAGAGCTGAACTAGGAAGACAAGGCATATTTCATTCTAAGCAGCCTGACAATTGCATGACGTGAGAGCAAAAGTACCAATGATTCATACAAATCTTCATTTTATGGAGTTTTCTTCCCCGAACAATGTTAAGTCATATTAAAAAATCCCCCCCACTGTTCCCATTAACCTTTCTGTGTTACTCTTGGAGTTAAGGCAGAAATTCTTGACAAATGGCTTATACTCACTTTGACAACATTTTGAATTAGTGGGATGTTTCAGTTAATGAGAGTTTTTGCAGAGTAGCAATTTTTGAAATTTAAATCCAATAGGACCATATATGGGAAATTCAAAAAAGATTCAGAATGACATTAACCACAACATTGGATCTGGAAATCAAATAAAGCAACTGATTGATGTGATCTCGGATGACTCTTGTAAATCAGAATGACAATCCTTCATAGAGCTGAACAAGGAAGACAAGGATTACTTTTCATTCTGGTAGTAATACATGGACATGGTCCAAATCTTGATACGCTTCACCATAGCCCAAAGAAAGGGAAATTGGGAGCTTCATCTCAATGTATTTCAATGCATGATCCCCTTTTTCATGACCACCAAAAGTATGCAAGATGGGGCACAGTACACTTCACTGCTGAAGTTTTGCTTCCTTGAAGACTGTAGCCAAATCCTCAGATGTAGATGCAATTGATGCTAATTTGTAAGAAGGATCATATATTGGAAATATTACGGTTGGCATTTCAATACCATTTGTTAAACAGTTAAGGAGTAGAGTACATTTGAGTTGGCTTGAATGTTTCATTCGTCAATGCGAAGGCTATTGGAAAAGACATCAGCTCATGTTTCATGATTTCATTGATGCCCACAGGTCTGTGGTTAGCTTCATATGCAGTGATAAGATTCTGCAAAACATTCCTGTCTGCCTTAACAACTTTCTGCTCGTTTATATTGGGATTAGGCATATAGTTTAAAAAATGTTGGTGCTTGCTCAGTAGATCAAAAAATGTTGTGTCTTTCATTTGACCCTGTTGGTATCAACCTCTAAGACACAAAGACATCCAGTTGTTGTTGGCCAAACTGTCGAGCCTGTTGATTGTTTCTGTGAGTACATCTTTTGTACATATACTTTGGAGATTAAGTAATGAATCTTCTGAAAACATGCCAAACTTCAGCAGCATGTCACATATTTTATCTTCTTCCAGAGACTGAATACTCTATCTTTTATGAGTACTAGTATCTACAACTATTTTTGATGTTATGAGTATTGGCTATCAATTTTTTCAATTTTTCTTCAACATGTATTGTAATGACTTCAGTATGAATGAAATGTCCCTTGGTGTTCTGGTCCTGGATTGTGATATTGGTTCTCGATTGGAGGGGGGAGGGGAATGTTAGACATTGTTTCTTTTCACGTTAGATTATGGTTTTGGGATATATAGGGTCTACTTTTCTTATGACAGATTTGCACTTGCGGTTTGCTTTTCTTGTTGGGTTTCTTTAATGTTTTTAGTCACCCTTCTCTTTGGCATTTGTGCTTATATATCCATAGATTCTTGTTTTGATTTGCAAATTACCACCCCCCCCTCTATGGAATCTCAAAACGCAAATCCAAACATCATTCTTGTTTGGACTCCCCATGTGTGACCTAAGATTAAACCCCGGTGCCCATCTGCAGATATTGTATTTGTGTTATGCCTACAATTCTGCCACCCTTCTAACCAATAGCATACTGGCATAGGGGTCAATCAACTTGGTTGATTGAATTTGTAGAGCCTTTTACCACATAGTTCAATGCAAAAATCCTCGCTCAACTGCAGCAGGTACTATATTCTAATAGTTAGTGCATTTCCTCTAAGTTTACTGTGCCACACCTTCCATAATTATGGTGGTCATGAAATAAGGGATCATGCATTGAATGCATTGAGATGAAGCTCCTAATTTCCCTCTCTGGGCTTGGATGAAGTATAGCAAGATTTGGACCAGGTCCATGTATCAACACCAGAATGAAGTTAGCCTTGTCTTCCCTGTTCTGCTCTATGAAGGATTTTAATCCTTATTCAGATCTAATGTTGAGGTTAATGTCATTTTGAATCTTTTTTTGAATTTTCATAGAGGGTTCTATTGAATACTTCAATTTTAGACCTAGTATATGAAGTATAATCAATGATTAGACCTGTCATTGGTTCAAATCTGCAGAAAAACTAGTCAGGATATATCATATATTAAACCTCCGAGCTATGAAACAGTAGTAGGTACCAATAAACTCTAAGCCTGGAAATAATAAGGGTATTCTAATAGTGTACCTTAATACTGTCTGTTTAGACCTTTATTTGTTATGATTTTCAATGATTAAGCCTCTTAGATGGTTTATTTTGGTCAATCTTGCATATTTTGCTTTAATATTTCAGAATTATTTACTTCATTTAATGTGAATTTTGTTGTGAACATTTAATGACAATCTGCTTATAAAGTAAAAAACTACAGCATTTTACAACACATGCCCCATGTGGCCACCACTCCAGCCAACGAAGCTGTTGATGACTCTCCTACACATACCAACATGGATTGCAAAGCTTCTGATGAAGCCATGGACAATTGAACAACTTCCTTTGCCAGATTTGATTGTGCATGTAGAGGAGAAGTGGCCACAATGGACATATGTTGTAAAGTGCTGTCGTTTTTGACTCCACAGACAGATTATCAGGAAACTTTCACAACAAAATTCATATTGAATGAACTGAACAATTCTGAAGTTTTGAGGCAGAATATGCAGGATTGACAAAGTTAATTAACTTTTCTTCGGTCCTGTTTTTTGGACACCCTGTACCAGTAGAATGATACTAGGCTAATAATATACTTGAATTTAATCGATTGCAGACCTATGATTTAAGAATGAATTTTCAATTATAACACCTAAGATTGTTCAAACCACCAGAAAGCCAAGCCAGGATATATCATACATTATTTGTCTAAGCTAGAAAACTAATATTGGTACAAATGTGTTCATAAATAAGAAATTATAGGTGTCTTCCAAGGGTATACGTATAACTTATCAATTTTAGACATCATATTTCATGAATTTTTAATATTTGAACATGCTAAAAAGCTTAAATCTTCCTAAAACTTAGCTAAAATAAGTTTTATATTTTAGATTTATTCTAAAATGCCAAATATATGAACACAGAGGGATAAATGTTAAAGCAATAGGGGTCAGTTATAGTCACACATAAAATCAGTCCCAGCTAAAATGTCATTTTTTCTTAAATTCACTAATTTTTTTCAAGGCAATTATCAGAGGAATTACTTTGATTCTTGCAGGATTAGTAGACCAGGTATTAAGCCTTTTACATGGATTTTTTTAGCATCCATCATTGTCTAATAAAAAAGTTATGACACGAAAAGTAAAAAATGGGTCATAAATTTGCCCCCTGGGGTACATACTTTTTGCTTTTATTCAAATTTCTTAAGTGTAATCCGTATCATTCATACTTTAAACGTTTATTTTAAACAATGTCCATGTATTTCACTTACAAAAACCATAAAATCAAAGTTATTTTAGGTTGACAAATTTTTTCTCCCTGATAGGGGTGAATTTTGGGGGTAGAGGGACTAACATGGTATTTTAAGGGTTAAATAATCATATTTCAGCTTGCCAACATGGTTTTTTGGATTCAGCATAAAAAGTTACATAAGAAACACTTGTCAGAACACTTTTAACACTAAACGCCTACCACATTTCCTCTAGATGAAAATGCACCTTGTCTATAATGAATTTAAGCATAAATGAAGTCCTTTGGAGAAGGATGAATCTTGTCCATAAATAATGAATTTTTCATTATAACTTCTCATCAAGCATCTTAGATCTCACTGCAATAAGCTTTACTACAAAATCACTGCGCTAGGATTTACTAGCCTCACTAGGCTTTACTAACCTTATAAGCACTGCACTAGGCTTTACTAACCTCACAATATGTTTTGATACTCAGAAACTAATTAGTGGTAAGGTTTCAATGTTATAAAATATTGATGTACAAATCCTTGAGGACGTGAATTCGATAGCTGAAGAGATTAGAATCATATTCAATACGAGGTTTCTTTCGTTAAAAGAATGAAATAGATCACTTAGAGAATTTGTCGATAGTCTTATAGATTTACCTCTTTGGTCAGTTTGGATATGTTAATCTTTTAACATGCTCAATGACTGGTATTATTTAAAAGCAAATATAAAACGGATCATGTTGAAAAACTTTTTTCAAATAAATCTATACACACAAAGCCCCGTCATATGACACTGCCTAAAACACCTCAAACACGATTTTCAGATATTTTTTGTCTAAATCAAGTGACAGTGGTCGTCAGTATTGAAACAACGGTTTTTTGCTTGAAGATTAGAGGCCTTGAGATACATGTCGAACGCGAAACATGTACTTGTATATTAACGTTCCCGTAAAACAATCCAACAAGCAATTATTAAGATTTTTATAGGATTTATTTCCATAAAACATACAAATGTTACAAACAAACATATATATTGCGGTTTTTCAAACCATGTTTGATACAACAAAATAAGAAGAAATAAAATATAGCAATGAATTTGTTTACTAAAAGTAAGAGAATTGTGTATACAAATAAATTGGCGATAGAAAAATCTAGACACTAACATACCTTTCAATAAATGTTGAAGTGAGCTTCAAGATTTCAATATCGATTTGTTTTGGCAAACTACTCCAACCATATAAAAACAAGGCATTGACATGCAAATGTCACCACCTACCATTGGTTTCAGACGCTGGACGTTTGTAAATTAAGAGTTATCAACTGATAGTGAGGGTTGAGTCATGAAAGATGAAACAAACAAAAATAGAATCCAAAAGAATGAACACATGATAGGTGTAATGGACCGAATCACCTTTTGTAGATCAACACCATATTAACCTAAAAAATAAGTACCCAATCTGAGGTTCAGCTACATGTGGTTTACGTGATCAGAGATTTTTATGAACGTGTAGAATTATTGACTTATTTGGATAAGTTATCTTCTCCCCTTCGATTCATTTTTTGATTGGTGGAAATATGAATTCACGTTGCGTCGTAGAAAGTGTGTGACAATGGGTCAATTTTAAAACGAAAAATACGAGCAATATCAATTTCATTTTTATTAAATAGGATTTATAGGTCACTATTCTTCACGTTGATCTGAATCATGAGTACTATCGTGTACATAATTATAATCAGATTTGATTGAAAAATATTCCGATGATATATTTTTGTGCCATAAGAAATGACTGCAATTTACAAGTAATATATGAACGTCAGTATAAAAATTCCAAAATGGGGACGATATCCCTACACTCAAACAATGTTATTAATTTTTGGTCAAACATGTCCCAAATCACACCCTTTGCATTCGTTCGACTTATCTTTACTTGTAGTTTATAACTAGACTCTACGCACAGGGTAGCCAAAGTACTAAATTAATGATCAAATAGTTCATATAGTTTTTAAATTCTTTCGATTCTTAACACAGCGAAAAATGGTGTAATATCCTATAGTTTCCGTACGTATCGCAAATCCCGGATATTTGAGGTATCCTTGAATAACCTAAAATATACCGATACTTCGAACATCCGGAAATATCCTCAAAGGGATATTTTTGGATACTCCAAGTTTCCAACTTTCAACATATCCGAATTAAGGATATTTCAGGATAGTTGACTACCCTAGTATCCAGAAATTTTTTTAAGTATCCGGAATATTGATTCCTGGAAATTATGCTAGTACATAAATTATAACGTTCAATTAACAATTTTAGTGTCATTGAAACATTTGTTTCGCCATATAGAATGTGGAATATCTTGTATGAATTTCTGCAGTGAAACAACATTCTCCTCGTGATATCTAACTGCTCAAAATGGCTGCCATCGAAAAACTTGTGTTTGGGAAATTCAGACATATGTAAGACAGGAAATTCATGATGACCGAAGATTACATCGTCAATAAGCTGATCTTCGAAGAAAAGTTTGCTTCTAAGCATGGAAGATAATATTAAATAAAGTTCCTGGGATATTGTCTAAAATATATCTATTCTTAAATGTTAAGGTTTTAAGTTATATTCTTTTCAAATTCTATTACTGTTAAATCATATATCTGCTTCATATGGGCTTATGAGCCTTTTGCAGATTATCGACATAGACATAGACACCGATACTTCGAACATCCGGAAATATCCTCGAAAGGATATTTTTGGGTACTCCAACTTGTGTTTGTTTGGGAAATTCAATCAACGATTTCATCGACAATAAGCTGCGCTTCGAAGAAAAGTTTGCTTCTAAGCATGGAGGGTATATTAACGTTTATAACAACTAAAGTAGAAACAACATTTCCTTCATGTCAACTGATTTGTTTCAATAATACCGTGAATCTGTCGAATTTTAGCTTGTACATTTCGTAGTTTTCTCATTATATCTGGCTTCGGTCGTACTTTCAAGATATAAACGTGAATTCATCTTGTAGAGAATCTTATGAACTTTACTAGGAAACTTTTGTTTACTACATTTCGATATTCGTAGACACTGAAAATGGCTTTTAAATAAGGTAACAAACACAAATATTAGTCGCCATTAAAACATTGCAATCAAACCGGAAGTTTGCTCTCTGACGTCCGCGCGCTATCAATAAATTGAGACGAAATATCGTTACAACTTACAACGTTATCAATGCCCCTAATTTAAACATCGAGCATTTTCCTACAAGTCGAAATTCAAATTATTGAACACACAATGATCAGCATGACAGCCACATCAGTTCCTAAGTGAAGAAGGACGTCAAGTAGGAGATGTAAAAGTAGCAGAACAGCCTAAGTACATCGATGTGGTCATTGTTATACATCCTTGTGATCAGATGTTTTAATGCTTACACCTATCGTACATCTCATTTGTATTGATGAGATAATAAACTGTACGTATTTAAATGCGTCATTTCGTGTTTAGTTTGTTAGGTAATATGAACGAAAATCTCCTTGCAATCCCGACCGTATTCGTGAATATCCCAAAAATATCCCGGAAAATTGTTGAATATTCAGCTATATTTGTGAGTATTCGAATCATATATTAGTCATACCCCTAAGAATACGCGAAAAGACGTGATGTATATCAGTAGTATCCAGAACTATGGATATTTCAGGATACCAGTGTTCCGTCTCTCACTAATATCCGTGAATCTCCAAAATCGCGATACTTAGAGTATTTGTCACGGATTCTTAAGGATACGTTCCATATCACTATAATATTTCGCAAATATCCAGGCAGGATATTGTATCATTTTTCGCTGTGTAAGATATATTATATACAGGGTGTCCAATCAAGTGTTAAAATGCCGTTTAGCCGAATACGCCATATTATATAGAATATCATTGTGTACATTAGGATCGTGCCTTTCGTTTGTTACTTTCCAGTGGGAATTCGAAAGATCGATATGGAAGCGTCTCAGGTGGGGTTAAACTGCATATGTTGTCTGACTGCTATTTCTGTTCGTAACTTTCCTGCAGTATGGTTCACCAATTCAAACCTGTCAATTCAAAGAAAATATCCATGAGAAGAAAAAGCACGTAAAAAATATATACAATAGGAAGTCTTCACCACTTAGCCACAATCCTAACTGTGAAACCCCCCCCCCCTCAGTCCTCCTCGGTTAGATGGTCTTCAAGAATTCTGGTAGAGCAAATGGGTTTTGAATTGAATGAAGCAAATGGATTATTATCTTAAGGACCGGGGTTTCTAGGGTTTATGGCACATGATACGAACCTTATTTGCGAAAGGACCATAATTACTTTTACTTACACGGGTCATATCTTTATTGATAGACTATTAAATTTCAAAAACCCACTATGTATGAAATTGAAATTCTTATTTGAAAAGACCTTACTATTTCTTATTCTTCCTTGATGGAGCTGGGGTCTATCAATGGCGACCTGAAACAAAAACGTGGCTTGTTCAATAAGTGTATAAAGAATATCTAGAAGGAATATAAATCGTACAAATGCAGAGAATCGCAAATAATGCCAATAGAAATGATTAGTGATCAATACACCTTTTTTACTTTGATAATTTAAATTAAAATTATTTTAAATTAAATTAAATTATCAAGATTCAGACATTTTCAAAAGAAGAGTTGTTGAATAGTTGTTGAATTTCCTGCCAATTTAGCACAATCTTAGATACTAAAAATCATTAAATACAACAAAATACAGTTGTAAAACCCATTATTTCCCATTCCATCAATACAGTATATGTGATGACATCATTTCATCCATATATTATGTTTCATATTATTACATTGTTTGGCATTTAAATAATGTGATTCCATAGGGTAACACTTATGTCTAAATCTAAAAGAAGAAATTGAAGAATTAGAAAAATATATTATAAATCCGTTCGAAATCAAAATGAGCTTCAATTTAGCTTTGTTGCTATTAGCCCAATTGCTAATTGATTAACCGTATTAAGGAAAGCCAACACGTACCCTTTGTGTGGGGTCGTACCGGCTGTCCTCGCCAATATACGGCAAAACTCGTACCCCTGATGGTCCTAATGAAAGACAAAAGCAGCAATATGTTTCAGTCTGTTCACCCTCTATATCTTGAAACCTCTGTGACAAAATAAAGGTTATGTGACTGTAGATATTTTTGTTTGGTAAAAGCCAAATATCCAAATAACTTATATTTCAACAGTAACATACACAGATGAGGTATTTAAACAGCTCTCAGATTTTGCAAGTTTTTCAGACATTGTAGCTTGTAGTTATTTATGACAGAAATGTGGGGTAGAGGATAGGAGCGTTATTTGAATTTTTTAGAATTCCCGGCAGCTCCACCATCTTGATCAATAAAGAGGGTGAACAGCGGAACTGTTTCAGATAAACAGTGGTTTAAGAGAGTTTGAAGAGAATCGATTGAAGAAAAGAGAAAGCAGAAATATTATGAGTTTAATTCGCTAAATAAATGCTATGGCGAGGCATGCATTCAGAATATTCTAATCATCATATTTAGCAGTTCTGTCTTCAATTTCATGGAGTTATGTTATATTCTGTATATTATTTTGGACCTCATATCTACCAGAATGTTCATGGTCATAGGTCGTTCGAAAAAGAGAGAACGTGTTAATGCCAGGGATATATAATACGCATGGCCACAGTTTTGATAGTCTCTCATACACTGAGTCCATCAGTGAAATAAACAGAAGCCAAGGTAATGATTTCGGAGATTTACTCTTCCTCTACTTACATTGATTTCCTAAACCAGGGGGATACCTACGAGAATAAAGCCGTTCATCGTCCACTGAGAAAGCCTTGTTATGCGTCTGAAAGGTATCTTCGTACGCCCGGATACGATCCTTTAGTTCATTGAGAAGTTGATCGGTTGATTGGAATCGGGGGCCTCCTTTGGCTCCTGCGGCTTCCCAATTTGTGTCATACTCCCTAAATCAAATATGATTTTATTAAAGGTGGAGAAATAGCTTTGAATAACTGGTCCGACACATACAAAATTGAAAACATTTCCAGCAATTTTTTCAAAATTCTCAAATTCAATTCGTACATACCTTCGATCTCGAGGCGCACCTAAATCGTTCATCGAATAGTTTCCAGGCAATGAAGTAGCATATTGATTCCCTGGAACCATTCCCGTTGGCATCATACTCGGGCCTACATCATCGTGTAATGGATACGGATACCTAGAATACAAATGCAAAGTTAAGATTGCTGTAACCATGTTTTAATTATTCCCTCACCATTGATTTTAACGAGAAACAAAACTTTACATTGTTTATGTCTGAATCAGTTTCTCTGCATTAATGAGTAATTTCGATTTTCTAACTTTTCAACACAACGTAGACGAGAGTGTACGCTATGTATCGTATTATAAAGTATTGCCATGGAATTTCATTAGGATCCATTGCCACCGATCATCGCCTCTATTATAGTCATACTATAACTGGTACACTATATTCACCTCTGTTGTTGTTGTCTCTTGGAGAGCTTGGAGGGCATCAATTCAGAGGGCATCAATTCATTGGCACGCTTCCACAGCATGGCAAACCAAACAGCAACGAGTATTGAGAGGATCACAAGCAATATACCTGTTGCTATGGTGATTCCCCATAGAGCCCTGAGATCTATTGAAATAAAGAATAAATAGCATTTGATCTATCGTTATATTTGATCTTTCACAAAATATTTAATTCGATTGAGATGTTCATCTTTCACACGTAATAATCAATAATGTTGCTTAAATGTGTTATAGGCAACTTTGATTTCTCGACTAATCAAATTTTCTGATTAATTTTACAATTCAATGAAAATGCAAACCATGCTGTTTAATTTTTATTGATTAAAAGTGCAAACCCTGGAACAAATAGCGTTATATTTCATAGCATTAAAATGGATGCCCCATTCATGGAACTTTTTGACCACCCTGTATAAAGAGTTTTTATCGAGTGTTTTATATTTCAAGTACGTAACAAACAGAGCTTGCTGTTTCCTTTTTCAACTTACACCTGAATCGAAAATGCGATACTCATTCGAATGGTTCAAAGGAATAACACAGATAAATGTTATTAAAAAGAACCAAATTCAAACTTACAATTTTTACAAACTTAAGTTTTTGTTCGATTTTGTAATTCTTTTTCAAAATCGACATTCAGTAGGCTATTTGATATGTCAAACTTAATGTTTTTATAAAAACTGTTTTACCTTCAAAATCTTAAGTGCAATTTTGTTCGTATGTAGCGTCTTATTTAGGCTAATAGCGACAAGTGCTGTTCCTCCCGACATCGAAGATTGCTGAGTGCACTCATAGTGTTACGTTTCTAGGTGGATAACAGTAATGAGAGAGGGAGTAATGATGACAATCAATGACCGGAATTTATAAAAATTAAATAGAAATGAACACATTACAAATGAAGGTCCTGGTTATGAAAACGAAACGTTCTTTTTGTACTTGAATAAACGCTATTTGTTCCAGGGTTTGAATATACCATTAGAAAGGGGAGAATGTAAAGAATAAAGATGTGATTATTTGATAAGCTTACACTAGTCTGCTTTGGAACCTTAAGACGAATTGCGTCATTTATTTATTTTTTTCAATAAGAAGCGCCGGACTTTGAATTTCTTGTTTACTCAGATAAATGTGTATTAAGGCAATACTATTGACATCTCAAATAACATTTGTCCTAATTACTTTATAATATAAGGGGCTTGTAAACCGAGATCAGCTGGATGTCTTTTAATGTAGGCCTACTTTAATTGTATTTTATGTATAGACCTGTGACACTATATAAACTAAACTAAACAATAAATCTTTATAAACTTCAGAAGATTAACCCAGTCACTCAATGATCAAAGATTTATCATATTGACCTTGAGATCCCAATTTAATGAAAGTTTATACAATAATTAGATTCGTCGTTAGAGGTCACATCTTTCTATCAATTCATTGTAGATTAATGATCTGAAAACATAAATCTGTGATCGATGAGTTTAAGAATGAGTCACAATGTTACGGCAAAATGTTATGAATTTACCTATTTCACATTCCTTTCCAGAAAAGCCAGGCCAGCATTTGCATGTGACATCTGAACTGGACTGTTCTGGGCAATCTGCACCGTTGTAACATAATACCAAGGTGGAATTTTTAATTTCGCATTCTAAAATGAAATAAAATGGCGAGATAAATTGAATCGAAAGAGAACATCGTGTCATCGTAAATATGGAGATCATCGCCATGCAGAGTGTTTGATGTCTTTTTCAAATCATATATCGTTTTACTACTGCAGTAGAATGACTGTCACTTTTCTGTTTACTTACCTTTCACTGACATTTTCCAACTCTTGACAACTTCCAAGGTGATATTCCGTCAAAACGTTTCCAGAACTTGACGCGAACGTTGTAATATCAATATACTACTATCGACCGCCTTCGTTTATCCAAGTTTTTTATCATGAGCCGCCTCACCCAATGTATGATATATATATATATACTTGACAAGAATTACTAAGAATCTTATAGGTAGCCCTTGAAATGATATATTTTACATCGAGTTTCTGATAAGACATCGAGTAGTTTTTACATCAATGATTAACTTAATCAAATTATCAATCATTTATAACATAATGCGCCCTTGTTGTTATCATATAGTATACATTATCAGATTACCTACACATATTCCAATTGTAGATCTGCGGAGGGGATGGCACCAATCTTTTTACTGGGCTTAAAAATGTAATTTTCACTTTCAAAAATAATGACTTTTGAAAATCTTCCTTTTAAATGTATTTCCAATGTTTCAATAATATTAAGTGTCAAATGTGTCAGTTTTCCACATCAAAAAATCACAGAAATTCGACTAGTTAAGTTGATTATGCGCAATTGGCAAAGTGGCTATGGGAGTGGTATCTCAACTTTTGTTGCTTATAAGGTAATGATCAATATCATTATTTCTTAATATATCTAGATAACACTGGTGTGGCTATTTTATATTATTTAGGAGGAGTCACGTAAAATGAATTTATAATTAGCTTTCAAATTGTTAATGTTTTGTTACAACATATTGAAAATAAGATCAACTGAATAGAAATGCATCTACAGGGACAATACATGTATCTCCGGAGTTATATACCATGTATACTTTATTGTAGATTTTTATGAACTAGCACAGTGTTTGCAATCAACTCAGAAAGCTTTGTTTTAGATTTTAAATGTTATACTGTATCTGAGTAAGAGTAATGATGGATGTGTTACATAGACATATACATTGATTAGATAGTAAAGAGATTTATCAAAATGTTTTTGTCCAAAGTATAAAGTTCATGTATATGTATTTAGTATTGACCAGATGTCTGCATATGACGACGTTAGTAAGTGCAGGCAGTCAGCAATATTCCGAACTTGTAGTTCTAAAAGAACATGGCAAGTCATTTTCCTGCCAATCCTTTTACGAGCGTTCTGCGTATGCACTCATACTGAATATTTAAGCCCTGGACTCAGTGGATTGCGAACTGAATCATTCCTCCAAGGTGTTGTTTCAAACTTTGATAACTGCTAAGATTAGGAAAGAATGCCTATGTGGAATGAATCAGTCTTGGGCTTTAATTATTTTCACTCATTGCAAAATATGTTTTAAGATATCACTTAAAAGATACAAAATCACTAAAAGAACATATTTTTAATGGAACTTTTAGTAAAGTATCAATTTCAATCTGTAGAGTCAATCTGTCACCTTGACAACCATTCAACAGTTGACCTTGAGTGGTTTGTTGGTTATATTATGCAGTGCAGTTATATGAAATACTGTGTACAGATTGGCTGGAATCGACATGCCTTGCCTAGCTATGTGTGAACAATGTTTTAATCACAGGGTGTTACATAAACCAACAGTAAGTAAATAATATATTGATCAATATCATTGAATCAAGATGCTTCAAAATTTGAATCAAATGGTGCTTTCACAGATTGCAACGGTCAGGTAAAAATCTGGGAATTTCACAATTTCCTCAAAAATGACTATAATGGAAAGTTATAAGAAGTGGTTTTGATTTTGGAAAATTCAAAATTCATTATCATCTAATACTCACAATTTTTGACAATGATTTCAACCTTTCTGAATTTAATTTTCTACCCTAAAGTGTTGAACAATGAATAACTTGAATCTCATCCAATCAAATTCCAGACATGAATATTTTAAATAAAGCATTTCATATTCTGAAACAAATCAAAACTCCACATTCAATAATGGCACATACAATTTTGTTAAACAGAGGGTATATCTGTATATCTGTACCAATGCATGGTTAGGAATACAATAGTCCAAATAATTTGAAGCCTCTCTAGTATATTTGGCATATTTTGGCATTTATTATAGGAGTACAGATTGCATGTACACGGCATCATTAACAATAATAGATACAACTAGATGACTACCATCTAACAATACTATACAATGAATCAATAACAACAATCAAGAAGTTTTAATTTGTTGATTGATCACCATAATCTTTTATCTTTTTCGTACTCAAAACAAGTAGTGTAAGACTTGTATAGTGAACGCTGCTGGGATCAGCATTCGGTGTTCACATTTAAGATTACTAACAATAATAGGTTCTTGTAATAACATAGGAATACATGAGACATCAGAAATGGGACTCAAAATGAGTTTGCCTTTTAAATAATGTTCACTTCGGAAAGTTGTTCATAAATGCAGGTTTTATTAATATAGGATTTAGGCTCAGAATTCAATAAATTGTTTATGAATTTAATCTATGTTATGCCAAGGCCGCTGTTTAAGACTAGTATATGAGAAACATTATCACCAACAATTCATCGAGTCCTGAGTTCAAATTTTTATAAACACAGCTAAAGGTTTTGAACAGTATAATTAAAAATTGAAATTCAACCAGAAGGGCATTGTAATAAGGGCATTGAGGCATTAACATTTTGAATTGCATAAAGATATCACCTTTACTTATATTATAGTTTTCACATTTAAGGTAGATGCCTTCCCTTATTACAGTTTTCCTTTATTAACCATGCATCTGTAAAATATAAAATATGGCTATACTGAGTTCTGATTAACCAGAGAGATATACAGGGTGACCCAAAAACACAACTGACAAATCTTTGAATAAAAGTAATGGGTTCTGCTTTTTTGAGTCACCCTGTAAAATGCTTACAATATGTCAATTAGGAATTACCTCTGAATGAAGATGATTACCTCATAATTCATACACATCAACAATTGGTCTATAAAAATAACTCCATTGTAGATCATCAATAAACATCCTTAGAATAAATATTTTATAAACAGTCTCATTCATCTTTCTTTCTTACAAGCTTTAAATGTCACAGCGTCTGTCATCTCTGTACATATTCACCACTATAATCTAACTAGTCGTTCCAAGTAAGACAGAATCAACTTGCATGGCTGCTTGGTTGCTCAATAAAAATGATTGAGGATAAACACTTTGTTCTTTATTCTCACATAATAGCACGCTATATACATCTCCAAAGGTAATGTTAAAATCTGATGTCCTGGCAAAAAAACTTATTTAAATTTCTACCATTAGATCACTATCCTTACTAACTCCATGTTGAAAAACAATATCCATGACTATGTTTAGCCCTCAGAGTTGTCCACCACTGGTGGGGGTCTGTCTGGCATAGCTCCAGATTTACTTGAACCTGCAGTCAGATAGCCAGCAACACCAGGACCTGAAAAACAAATATGTGTACAATCATAACAGTGATATATCCGGACACTGTAAACTGACTCTGTATCACAAAACACGTACACACCTTTGCTGTCAATGCCATTATAACAATGGCATGTTTTAGTGAATCCACAAACACTATTACCCTACAATGTAGTGATAGCCTAATTTATTGACCACTCCTTAGCCAATCAAAATAGAGTTCTGATTAATGTACATTTTGTACAAATATTGACCTTTCCAAAAACTGGGTGTAAATTGTATGTTTTCATTGTTATTCTCACCTGTGAGGTATCCAGCTATGTTTGTATCACTAATGAAGAGATCATGCCTCTGGTCCTTGTATTCCTTCCATACAGGGGACTTCTCTAGTATACCAGAGACCTGCAATAATGTTACATTATGATTTGTTCAATGGGTTTAATTGGAATGATTTTTAATTACCATCTCCTACTCTTACAGTTAGGGATGGGAATATTGTAAAATTGGAATACTTCCTGTGGGGTGATATTTGGCATGGGCATTCAAGAGAATAAAAGCCTCTGTTTTAGGTCACATCCGGTTTATTTAGGAGGGATATTGATCATTTGAGGCATGATTATTTTGGGAAGGTGATTACTTCCAACTGCCTTTCCGGCTGTATGTGCCTTCTGGCTATATGTTCCTTCACTTATTAGGCTATATATGCCTTTACCTATATAGTCCCAGTTTGACATTATGATCAATTCAGAATAATGTACCTGTTCTCCATACTGCAAACTTGTCTGCATGGCCTTGAGGGCCTTGACTATTTGGGCCTTGACTCCTGCTGGATTATCCACAGCTTCTAATCCACCTTCAAGTAATCTCAAGAGAAACTGGATCATCTCTGTCTTGATAGCCTTAAGGGAAAGAGCAAACATAGAACTTATACAATAAGTTCAAAAACTGTTGAACTCATATAAAAGTGTCACAATAAAACATGTCATGATTATATGCACTTCAGTAAGACCCTGAAGAGTAAAATCTTTAATTTGAATATACAGTTAGAAAACAAAAAATTATCTTTGTTTTCCCATTAACAAAATTGTCACCTCCAGTCTTTCTAAATCATTTTTTTCACAATTGTTGATAATCTGATACACAGCCTTACAGTACTTGTATTCTGTTGATACATTTGTAAACTGTTGATAATAGGCTACATTAAAAAGCAATTAATTGGGAGTCCAAGCTACTAATGTTTTCTCAAAGTGTTCACAAATTCTCATCATGCATTGAATTTGAAGATCTACCTGTTGAATGAGCTCATCTTCGCCTGTTGAGAACATTTTGTTGAGACTTTCACAAGCAAGGCCTATCATATCTTTCCTAATCTTCATAGCAATCTTGATCTGGCCTATACACTCAACACCAGCCATACTGCGTATACACACCTAAATTAAAAAATACATTAATTACCATCATGGTTCATTTAGGTGTTAAATATAGCCATTTTTATACAACATGTCAAGTAAAAACCAGAACAACGGCAACGCCAAAGAGTAGCGAATCCCATCGAACAGAAATGGCTGGCATTTTTACATTTGAAATATATAGCAAATATCATAAAATAACACCCATAAGAAAGGCCACCATTTTCAAAATGGTTGATCACAATGGCCGCTTACTACCCAAAATGTCATAAGACAGTATGCAATCCTTACAAGTATTCACATATCAAATATGAACAAAATCGCTCTATTACTTTTTGAGTTGTAATAAAAAATGTAAAATAACATACATAAAAATGGTGGCCATTTTTCAAAATGGCTGACTACTCCCCAAAGTTTTATTAGACAATGTGCCATGCTTAAAGTATTCACATATCAAATATGAACAAAATCGCTCCAATACTTTTCAAGTTAAAAAATGTAAAAATGACAGCCATTTTTTAAAATGGCCACCTACTACGCGAAGTGTCATGAGACAGTGTGCAAGGCTCATGGGTATTCACATATCAAATATAGTAAAAAGTTATAGTAAAAAACGTAAAAATGGTGGCCATTTTGAAAAATGGCCACCTACTACCCGAAGTGTCATTAGACAGTGTGCCATGCTTATAGTATTCACATATTAAATATGAACAAAATCGCTCTACTCCTTTTTGAGTTGTAGTAAAAATTGTAAAAATAACACACGTAAAAATGGCAGCCATTTTTCAAAATGGCCACCTACTACCCAAAATGTCATTAGACATTGTGCCATGCTTAAAGTATTCACATACCAAATATGAACAAAATCGCTCCACTACTTTTCAAGTTACAGCAAAAATCGTAAAATGACGTGCAAAGGCAGCCATTTTTCAAGATGGCTGCCATGTATCTCTTCTATAATTACATTTCTAGCTTAATCAATGTTTTATGTAACCTTTTTACATTTAAAACATATTGCCATTACAGTTTTATATGCAGTACCTAAATTACTGTAAAATCAGCACTAAAATGGCCGCAATTTTCTTTTGAGCGGCCATTTTGAAAATCGGTTTTCGAGCAGATTTTCTACTCCCATTTGGTATATGTGTACAAAATATGAACAAAATCGGGCAAGCGGTATTTGAGTTCCTCCAAACTTCGTTCGATGGGATAATAATTCCTTTTATGAATATATGATTATGGGAAAACTTAGAAGTGGAAATAGAATTTTATGAGAAAAAAATTATGAAACTATATGAAAAAAGTCGAGATTCCTATTTAGAGATTCCACAGAGATTGCTATATATTTCAAGACTACTTGAAATGTCTCTTATTACGGGTAGACTACATTAAAATTGATGTGTCACTACTTACATCACTCTGTACTAATTGATGTGTCACTTGGATAGCAGACTTTGGAATGGCATCATTCTTTGAGTTCATCACTTGGAAGATGCGTGGAATGTGACCAAGAGATGGCACTTGGTCCAGCCAAGCTGGTTGCGCAGAGAAAAATGCAACTATCGCTGTAGTAATTGTTTCTAACATATCACCCTGAAAGACAAAAATTACTATAGTAACATTAAACTTAAAACAAGGCATTAATATTTTAATATTTTTAGATTGTGATGAGTCATATACCCCTTGGGATGTCTTTATCAATATTATGTATATTTTTATATGATTTTGATAAATAAATAAATATAAAAAACATGCAAAATGTCACCACCTGCCATTTGTCATGGATGCCGACCGCCAAAAGCCAAACACTGTCCACAAAAAAGTTGGAGACTATAACAATATGTCACCGCTTTTGGTGATGACACAGTAAATCCAATAATTCAAAAAACAAAATTGCACTGAATCTAATGCTTCTTAATCATAAAGATCATAATACAACAAAACTGACTTACATTTGGAGAACGAGATGAGGTCATCTCTACAAACTTCTCCAGTAGCTCAGTCATGAATTCTTTTGGTTTTCTAAGCACCCAACCAGGATTGGCAATAAAGAGACGGAGAAATACGCCTGAAATTGCAATCTCCCCAGCAGCTTCAGTGTAAACAACATTGAAATCATCTGTGACGTTCCATTTGACATCAGGGTTGTCCATTTGTGACTTGTAATGACTGAAACAGCGCATTAAAATTTAACAGGAGAATTACGCCTCTATAGATAAATAAAATACTGAAAAAATACACACGTAGAGTTTATAATTAAAATAATTTACTTACGTATCTTTCATACGTTTAATGATAGCTGAAACCTTCTCCCTGGCTTCATCATTCCAAATCAACTCTGGGTTCTCATGACTTCCTATATGGAAAAATATGAGAAAATATCAAATACTATTACTTACAAGGTGGCTCATGCACTGTACAGTAAATTAAAAGATTCTTATGACTGAAGAAGATCAAAAGAATGTATTGTATATATACTCTCTCTCTCTGTTTGGTCAACTCTTATTCTATATGTATGTGTAAAACACAATAACACAAAGTTGATATATTACAATTAACTAGCAAAACAGTAACTCCACAAATTAACAAATCCTATTGAAATGATATTGCTAAATAACCAGGTAGTAGTAAGGTTAAAATATTAAGACATACATTAACATAAGGCTTACCTTCAAACATATGTACACTAGCTTCAGGGGAATCCCGCATTGCATCCATGAATATTGGCGGTAAAAACTTTGCAAGTATGAGTCTCACTTTGGGCCCAACAAGTTTATCCGATAATACCTTGGCAAAAAGTTCAGCGGTTTTTTCCCTGACAGTTGGGTTTGTAGCATTACAGAATAAGTCCAAGAGATATATTAATGCTCCTTTGTTCATAGCTTCCTTTAGGATTTTTGTGTTCGATGCTAGGGCATATAATGTCTCTAATGTTAGAACACGGCCTGAAATAGACAGTGGGCAAAGTATAACACATCTTTTAATATTCAAACTTTAATAGAGCTACTAATGTCTGGCCAATAAGGACACATTGTAGCCATGCTTTATTTGACAAAAGATGGAAACTAACTTGAAAACAGCAACTCAACAGGATAGCAATCAGAAGACACCAGAAGAATCAAATCCTATGGGGCTATCTTCTAATTGTAAAATGTACTGTGGTTCAATATGAATTATATATAACAAACAATATGTACTCACATTGCTGCAAACTCTGAATGACCAGCAGTAGTTGAGCTATCACCTCTGATGCTGCTATATCATTGACACATTCCTGGTTGCCTGTTACCAAGTTGATCACCTCAAGGGAGTATTGCTGGACCTAGCAAGAGAATTGTTGAAATGCTATATTGCGGTGATTTTATAGTACTGTATGTTTATGTTAAAATGCTATGAATTCATGCAGCTTGAGTATTCATGCAGCTTGAGTATTACAAGATGAGTATGTGTCTACAAGATGAGTATGTCTCTACAAGGAGTGTGTCTCTACAAGATGAGTATGTCTCTACAAGATGAGTATGTCTCTACAAGATGAGTGTGTCTCTACAAGATGAGTATGTCTCTACAAGATGAGTATGTCTCTACAAGATGAGTGTGTCTCTACAAGATGAGTATGTCTCTACAAGATGAGTATGTCTCTACAAGGAGTGTGTCTCTACAAGATGAGTATGTCTCTACAAGTTGAGTGTGTCTCTACAAGATGAGTATGTGTCTACAAGATGAGTATGTCTCTACAAGGAGTGTGTCTCTACAAGATGAGTATGTCTCTACAAGATGAGTATGTCTCTACAAGATGAGTGTGTCTCTACAAGATGAGTATGTCTCTACAAGATGAGTATGTCTCTACAAGGAGTATGTCTCTACAAGATGAGTATGTCTCTACAGAAGTATGTCTCTACAAGATGAGTATGTCTCTACAAGGAGTGAGTCTCTACAAGATGAGTATGTCTCTACAAGATGAGTATGTCTCTACAAGATGAGTGTGTCTCTACAAGATGAGTATGTCTCTACAAGATGAGTATGTCTCTACAAGATGAGTATGTCTCTACAAGATGAGTATGTCTCTACAAGGAGTATGTCTCTACAAGACGAGTATGTCTCTACAAGATGAGTATGTCTCTACAAGGAGTGTGTCTCTACAAGATGAGTATGTCTCTACAAGATGAGTATGTCTCTAAAAGATGAGTGTGTCTCTACAAGATGAGTGTGTCTCTACAAGATGAGTGTGTCTCTACAAGATGAGTATGTCTCTACAAGATGAGTATGTCTACAAGATGAATGTGTCTCTACAAGATGAGTATGTCTCTACAAGGAGTATGTCTCTACAAGATGAGTATGTCTCTACAAGATGAGTATGTCTCTACAAGGAGTGTGTCTCTACAAGACGAGTATGTCTCTACAAGATGAGTATGTCTCTACAAGGAGTATGTCTCTACAAGGAATGTGTCTCTACAATATGAGTATGTCTCTACAAGATGAGTATGTCTCTAAAAGATGAGTGTGTCTCTACAAGATGAGTGTGTCTCTACAAGATGAGTATGTCTCTACAAGGAGTATGTCTCTACAAGATGAGTATGTCTCTACAAGATGAGTATGTCTCTACAAGGAGTGTGTCTCTACAAGACGAGTATGTCTCTACAAGATGAGTATGTCTCTACAAGGAGTGTGTCTCTACAAGATGAGTATGTCTACAAGATGAGTGTGTCTCTACAAGATGAGTATGTCTCTACAAGATGAGTATGTCTCTACAAGATGAGTATGTCTCTACAAGATGAGTATGTCTCTACAAGGAGTGTGTCTCTACAAGACGAGTATGTCTCTACAAGATGAGTATGTCTCTACAAGGAGTGTGTCTCTACAAGATGAGTATGTCTACAAGATGAGTGTGTCTCTACAAGATGAGTATGTCTCTACAAGGAGTGTGTCTCTACAAGACGAGTATGTCTCTACAAGATGAGTATGTCTCTACAAGGAGTGTGTCTCTACAAGATGAGTATGTCTACAAGATGAGTATGTCTCTACAAGATGAGTATGTCTCTACAAGGAGTATGTCTCTACAAGATGAGTATGTCTCTACAAGATGAGTATGTCTCTACAGGAGTATGTCTCTACAAGATGAGTATGTCTCTACAAGGAGTGTGTCTCTACAAGACGAGTATGTCTCTACAAGATGAGTATGTCTCTACAAGGAGTGTGTCTCTACAAGATGAGTATGTCTACAAGATGAGTATGTCTCTACAAGATGAGTATGTCTCTACAAGGAGTGTGTCTCTACAAGATGAGTATGTCTACAAGATGAGTGTGTCTCTACAAGATGAGTATGTCTACAAGATGAGTGTGTCTCTACAGTGCATATATGTTACCTTTTGACATCCATTTAGCCGGAGCAGAGCAAAGAGTAGCTTGAAGTGTCCAATACATTGTATTTCAACCCCTACAAACAACAATAACAATACTAGACATACAGTTCAATGTTATTACAAGTTATAGTGTGCTCATCATAAATATTATACTGAATGGCTGATATTATGGTTGCTACAGAAACGACAAACTATGAAACCGAGGGACATTTTCCTAGAATGCAACAGACTAGGCTGAACATTATAATGAAATTTTTATAGTTGATATAATTATGGTATGGCAAAGGGTCTGCATCAAACCATTTATTTGACACATCTTGAAGTATTTAAGTAAATGACATGCAAAATGGTGTCTTCACTGCTGGTCACATTTTTTATTCTATCTTGAAAGTATAGATATTTTTTGTTTAAAACATGAATAATACAAATGCAACAGTATATTCCTCTGGAGGAACATACATACATATGGCCAGACAGAGGCATCATATCCAACTGAACTTTATTCGAAGGGATAATAAAAAACACCTATGAATGGATTAGATCTTTATAAACTACATGTATTTACATTTCTAGCTAATTTTCATCCAGCACTATTCACTATTTACCATGGTATCTAACCATTCACCGTTTTACAGGGGTATGTCCATAATTTCTCATAAAATCTATTTGAAATCTTCATATTTAAATTCAATATGTATTATTCAATTTCTTTCAACTTTGGATGACCACCACTTCATTATTATAGTTATGTTATGGTTGCTATGGTAACACAGGTAATGATATCCTGAAGAAGTTCTACATATGCTTATATAAAAATGGATACTGATATTTTCATCTAGGCCCTAGGCTCAACTAGGCCAATTCTCTGCATACACAGGCTGACACTAATGATCTTACTGATCATATAATCCGTAAAAATGATAAAAATAGCGATGAAGAATCATGCGAAGATTCATATAAGTATAGATTTTGATCTTGAGCTCCAGGGTACAATTGTACTTTTATCATAGCAAACATAACTGAACAATAATTTTAAGGTGATTACCAAAATCAAAACTAGAAATAGAATGGTAGTCTACATAATACATGGTGAAAAAGATTTCAGTTTTAATTAAGAGACATATGTGAATTTTGGACATACTTCACCTATGTCTATCAAGAAAACTACAAATGATTGATGCACAATATATTCAATAAGAATTATGAAACAAGACAAAAAGTATGGTATACTGCACCATCCCTTCTCTTAATTTATGGAATAATATATATGAAAATGTAAACTAGAAAAATAGCAACTCCATTGAGTAGCAAATCCCATCAAACAAAACACATTTCAACAAATCAATCGTCATTTAAAATTCATGATAGAAATAACCAGTCAGGTCTGTAGTATTACCTCCTTTAGCAAAATTTATATCGATGATGTGACATATTACACTAAAAAAGAATGTTATCTTCAAGTAAATCAAGTAGGAGTGATTCTATTGCTCATATATGCCCATAAGGCATTAGCCTATATAATAAGATTTTGAGCAAATCTGATAACTGATTTTAGAGTTACCAATTTTTTCCGCTGAAATATGGCCACCATTTCTAAATCAATAGCCATCATTGAACTTCTATATTGAGTGGAGGTCACATGGTCATAAGGCATATCAGCACATAAAATCTGAATCGAATCCATAAACTTTGAGATATCAAAGATTTTACAAAAAATGGTGAAAAATTTGGAAAAGGGTGAACATATTGAAAGTTTGAGTTATCACACAGACAGACGGATGAACAAGTAAATGAGAGAATGGATGGACAGCTTCTCTATATCCCTATTCAAATTTGTTTGTGGGATAATAATAAATAAACAAGCATGATAGTGTAAAAGTCCAAAGTTTTACTTTTTATAGACATAACAATAAATGAAAAAGACACTTTCAACTTTTACATGCAATTAATGTTAGTAATGCCATGCAAGAAGCAATGTTAGTTCTATATAACAACATATAAAGAAAACGTAACGAAAATTGAAGTGTTATATTATAACATACCACAAGATTGAGGAGCACCTGAAATAAGCAGAAAATAATGCCTGAACTAAATACAGTTTCTAGATTAGAATAAATCCATAGCACATGCCTTATTGGTGTCTTAAGCTACTAATGTTATATGGAAGTGTAATGAAATAGAATCAAATATCAACTAAGAGCAATATAGCGAATTGAGTATATAAATAAAACAGAAATATTTTTGCAGAATGAGTATTAACTAGAAAATAGCAACACCAAGGCGAAGCAAATTCTATTTAACATCAAACATTATATCTCAAAAATTAATGAGAATTCCTGATTTGAGAAGTCATTTTGATTTTAGAATGCATCAAAAATTACCTTTAGATTTCAGATTTAAACAGCCTTTTTGTATTTTCCGAGGCACAAACAAGAAAAGGTTAACAATATATGTGATCTACACTAAAATATCTTTGAAGTAGGATAATCATGCCAATGTTCAAACATCTCATATTGACAAAAATATTTTAACTTTAGCTCAATATTAGAGAAAAAACTGATCACAATATAGCCCAAGAAGGGTGCTATAAAGATACCCTTATCCAAAAATATCAAACTTGGCACAATGTGATACTGAGCCAAAATGTGAAATGATTCATTTGGGAACTTCAGCATTATTTCATAATAGGAACACCCGGGACTTTCGTCTGGTCACCTGACATGATCTGACCAATCACAGTTCACAGTTAGTTAGAAGTGTGATAAAGCATGAACATGACAAACTTTCTTGCTACAAAAACATGGATCCAGTAGTAAGTAGTAGGTAGCTGATAGCTCTATTACTATACAGGTACAAGAACCATGCTCCCCTGAGGATCCACAGAGAAACTTTGGCAGAAATTATTCTGCTTTACTTTAGATAATATCATTTTAAACATTACCTGGGTTATTTTTAATGACATTTCTGAGGGCCTCTAATGCCATCTCCACCCTGAGGAGTCTCTCCCCTTGTCCCTGCTGAGGAGCTGCGTTGTTCTGCTTGGAGAGTGCCATAAGGGAGTGCAGGTATTGAGCCTGAGACCCAAGGTAATCCAACAGGTCTATGGTAAACCCTTTAGAGTTCTTTAAAATAAAGCAGTCATAGTAATGGTTTACATATATATGTGTTAACACATGTGATAGGGTTCTTTATGAAACATATTTACCACTTTAACACTCACATCTCATCTTTTCAAATAATAAAGGACCCACGGTCCTGTGCTCACACAGTGTAGAACCTTCAGAGGAATGTATATCCTGATTTTCAAACAACATTATTGATTTTGATTTGTAGTCTAGGACTTAGATAGCACAGTTTGTGACCTAGTTTGAGGACCTTTGACCTTGAACATTTTACTTATTCAGAGCTCAGTAGGTCTTTTGTGATTAAGGTGACCAAAATTTACATCCAAAAAAAGTTGATTTTTCAAATTGATTATTTAGTTACTCAGTACTCAGTCTCTCAAGTCAGATTTGTCTAATCAGTTTCAGTTAGTCAATTGTTCAGTTAGTCAATTAATTTGACTTTTTGACGTCAAAATCGGCAATTTCTCAGAAACCGTCAAACAGGCATTATGGATATGCATAAAATTAATGTGGATATGACTCAATCCAAATAGGAGTTTTAATTTGTGCGGCAAATGTTGATGGACGGACGGACCAACGGAGGGACGGACGCCTGGTCGATCCCAAAGGCTCACTGATTGAGCCAAAAAGTGGTCAATTTGAAGCAAGTTGAAAAAGACCTTTTCCACCTCGAGAAGGTCACTGAAGGTCAAATCTCAAATCTAAAGTCAGATTTGAACTTCTGAGAACTTGAAGATGATTTTGAAAAGAATTGAAATCAGTGTAAACAGTATTTGTAAAGTTATTGGAAGTTTTTAGAATTTGTTACAGATGCTGGTCGCCAACCACCGCCACAAAAAACCATAACAATATGTCACGACTTTTAGTGATGTCATAAAAATCAAAGTTAAAAAATTTCTAGATATAAGGCCAATTGATGAAGATTCTGATAATTAAAAATTATGTTACAATCAAAAAAGTATTTGAGCTGATTTGACATCAACCTCTCTTTTTAACCCTTTGACAACCAATATTTTGAAATGTCAATAGATGAATAATTTAAAAAATTATCAATATCTTTTAATTCCCTTATATTCTTTATAGTCTAGATGAAAACAAAGGATTTATTACTGAACCTTGTTTTGGAGTATATACTTAGAGGTTATGTCACTATCGTGGCATATATGCCCGAGGTCTCAGTGATATCTGGCCCGACCTTGGGAGGGACATTGATCTCTGAGAACCGAGGTATCTCTGAGAACTGTTGTATTTTATAACATACCTATGATGATGTATAGTGCAAAGTGTACACAAGACAGCGGGCCAATATAAGTTTTGAAAAGCCCGCGCCCGCTAACTTTCTGATTGGTCAAGGCGATGATGTCATAACCAATCAATCGAAGATAAAACTGCGCGAGCAATTTTTCTTTACTCATTTCAATCATTTTCAAACCATTTGTTTGTCAATTCTATAAGAAAACGGTACTTTCTGACCAGTCTACATCATCATAGGTATGTTATAAAATGTTTTATTGCATTTTTTGATAGTAAGACATGTCCTGGTCAAAAAGCCACAAATATGCAGTTGTGGAAGGTTGAGCGTTTTTTTCTATTGTCTTTTTAAAATTATGTAATATTTCTGAAAGGGGGCGTGGCACATTTGGTAGTATTCATGTATTTAAATGGAGTTAAAAATCCCTTATCAGTTATTTTTGTTTAATTTATGACTTGCAATATACATATCTACCTGTGAACATTCTCTCTCTGAAAAATACAGTAATTATGCAAATTAAGTCATTAAATCATCACTACCAGAACAATGTAAACTAAGTGCAGTAACGATTGTCTGATTTTTATAACGGGTTCACCTTTGGTAGAACAGAGATTTGGTATCATTGTAAAGCTAAAAATATAAATGTGTTACAAGTGGAGTTAATTTCACTTGAATAACATAACCCTAGATTAGAGTAGAATAAATACGATCTAGTATTTCAATTATGAGTATCGGGGTAAAAGAAGTGTACCACAACTGTGTTTTTATGCATATTTTTTAACATTAACTCAATTTGATTATTTGTGCAATATAATACACTATGATATCAGTCTTAGCTTGTATTCGCGAATGCAACTAACGCGGTTGGCTACCCGATTAACCTAGTATTTTATGGGCAACTCATTTAGATATGAATAGTACCTGCCACTATTCCGCATTCATATTTAAATGAATTGGTCATAAAATAGTAGGTTAATCCGGTAGTCGCTAGCTGTTAGTTGCATTTGCAAATGTAAGCTTATGTTTTACTCTTACTTCAAAAGGTAGTATTATTAATCTATTGTCACCTGCTATAATTGAACCTAAACATATACAAGTATTTCATAACCTCAAAACAATTTCCAAAACAATAACCTTTAACATGTAATAGCAGATAGACTTGAAATTACACATTTAGTATTAAAACAACTTTGCTTATGAAATCTTATATTTTACTTTATTCAACTAAAATTATTTAATGTTCCTTCATTTCTTTTTTTAAATTGTAATATGTTATCCAGTTCATTCTGACACTAATCTTATTTTATTTAAGATTTAAATTTTAAAAATACACTTCATTATAGAATATTGATTCCAAAAGATACCCGTTTCGTCATTGTGAATTCGTATCTTTTCAGAAAAAAACTATCATTCAGACTTGAATTAAATGGCCAATTAGTATTACTGTAGTAATGTTCTAAACATGTTCTAGACACCCTGCTCTTGTTATAGATACGAACAGGACTAATACATACGCTACATATGAACACCGTAAATGATTGAATTCTATCTATTCATTTAATTGCGATAACCTGTGTGGCATTTTGTCTTGTTAATGTTGGAAGATTATCTTTTAATGTAAAGTTGACATTAATTTTTGTCACTAGTTTGTCCATATGAGCCAACACTAATTGATCATAAAAGAGTATAGACGTGTCGCAAAAAGGTGGCGCATTTGTTTTTTAAGGGTATCGCGTGAATGTAACTTTGATTCCCCGGATTATAAGATAATATTCTAATTAAAGTTATATATCTTTTTAAAGCTGTTTCGATGAAGATTTTAGATCAACTACACTCCGTTCACATTTTTTGCGCGTTCGTTTTTAAAAAAGATTTTTTACCAAAACATCTGGCAAATATCCCATGTTGACACGTTACATTTTGAATTATTATTCGTCTTTAAACGCTCATAACTCAAACAATATATGACTATTATACTTATTTTTCGTCTTAATAAAGGTAGATGGAAGTTTTATTTCAAAGGATGAATTTTAGTAAGCGTCCCATATTGTGACGTCATAGAGTCTGAAAAATAGAATCTGTTGACAGCGACCTTTTTTGCTCATTTTTTGGTACCTTCAACTTTTCAGGTGTACATTAAACAAAAAATACGAGATCAATTTTTAATAAATCATACATGATTATTTTGCTCCTAAACTCTAGTTTATTAATAAATAGTTGATTTTGTTCACAAAAGTATGTGTTTTCTGTTGTATGTGGAAAAGTGGAGGACGAAAGGTTTTCAAAATTCATTAAATAAGGGCTAATTTACGCCATTCGCCTATTTTCAAGCACAGCAACACGTATATTTATTTCACCTAAAATATCAATTGATTCGTGTTTTATGATGCTCCTAGCCCATTAACAATATATATATGATATCAGAGTTATTCGTCTAAAATGTTTTGAGATATAGAGGTAAATGTGGCGGACGAAAGGATTTTCATGTGTGTACATTTTTCTCAAAAACGTCACATTCTATCATGTTAAAAGCGAGGATCCTCTGAATTACGCCACAAAATGTGTAACAATGCGTGCGCGAGCTTTTTGCGACATGTCATACCGTTTCTACCTTTCTCATTTATTAAAATCTATTTCATTCTGATACTAATCCTATTTTATTTAAGATTTAAATTCTAAAAATACACTTCGTTATAAAATATTGATTCAAAAGATACATCGTTGCTTCATTTCCAATAAGTAACTTTTCAGAAGAAAAACTATTATCAAGAATCAAATTAAATGGGCAAATACTATGTTTTAATATTCTGATGAAAGGATTTTGCTCCTTGACATCCCGCCCTTGTTTTAGATTTGAATGGGACTACTATGCTACATAGGTCTACATGGACACAGTAAATGGTTAAATCCATTCTGATACTCATCACATATTTCTGCCTTCAACAAGAAATATGAAGGCCATGATTTCTCATGATGGGCTAAATCTTACCTAATTTAATTCATGAACTTTTGAGAATTTTTGTATACTTTCTTCATGGTAGCATAAGTTTTGTGTGGCTGTGAGTCCAAGTGAAGTATGAAATTAGGCCACCAAACGCAAGGCCTTCTGTTATCAGGTGAGAATTGCTGCCATTTTTGCAATTTCTTGACTGTGACTGTATTTTAATTTGTGACTATTGAACTGTAATATTATGACATCACAGTGCTGAATGTCATAATTTGTACTTAGTAAACATCATGCTGAATAAATTTAACAATTTTCCAAACATTTTGATCATTTAAAAGAAAGAAATATTTATAAAATAACACTTTGGAAATTTTCATAAGAGAAATTGGTACCTGCCCCACCCACCCCTACCCACATGTTGCTATAGCAACCATATTAAGACTTAATAATGATGCTGAAAATTCAGGATATAATAGATAAAACTTCAATTGTAATATACACAAAATTTCAGCTGAATTGAAGAATATTAAAGAAAGTTAGAGCATATAGTGCATTACTTCTGGGACAACCCTCATAGACATGAAAAGGAATGACATAAGCCAGAAATATTCGAAAATTGAAACAATTTTTTGTAAGGCTGCTCGCTTCATTGATTCTTTCTTAAAGTAATGATGTTAATTGTTGAGCAAGTGTAATCTTAATTTTTTGAAGGTGGAAAGAGTATTAGAATTAGTAATTTTATGAGGTAAAGTGTTCCACAGGTTTGACCCTGTCTTCTTTATAGGGTATTTTCCCATGTTTGTTCTGAACGTACTAGATCTAAGATTGTATATTTGTCTGGTTTGAACGTGAATTAGTGATTCTCAGTTTATATAATAAGATTTTGTCATAATAAATTAATTACCCTACATACAATTCTGCTGATTTTTTCGTAATACATTTGTTGTATCTCTAGCTCAAGCTACTGAGGAATTGAAGATTCTAACTGATGCCTTTAGAAGGTTTTAGAGAAAACCTTAACTGTGAGGGCCTTTTGTACAACCCCCCCCCCCCCTTAGAGCTTCTAGGGCCAATATCCTATATGCGAGTAGAAATAATCTTGATTTACGTCAATAAAAGTCAATTCAGTCAAACTGATGTCATATTTGGAATCTACATGTAAAATTACATCTAGAAATGTGGTTTTGCAAAGAGTTTATCAATTATGAAAATTTATTTTTCTGAGAAAATGTGACTTCTAGGTCGGGGAGATTCCCAATAGACCCCATATTGTAAAACCACAAAAAGTGAAATATCTTTTCTTGTGTTGGGCAGATAATATTTTCTCTTACTGGACATATTTTAATTTGTATGACTATCACATACATAAGGGTAATGTGAAGAGCGAACCACTAAAACTGATGAATATTCAAGTTTAAAGGAATTTTGTAATACCCTGCCATGTTATTTCCCCCGAATCAGCCACCTGGTGTGAAACTGACTGCTTTACTAATTTGATGAAGTATTTTGCTGACATCAGCATATTATATTTCGAATAAAGTTGACATCTTAGTTAAAAGAGTAACCTTGTTCTTTGAAACATTAAGTTTTGACCATCCAAGTCCAAATATATGGTTGTAAATTGATTAGATATGTAAAATCAATTGAAATGAGAAAAATAACTATTACCGCTGACTCAGCACTTAATCACGGCATTAATTTTTATCAGTTTCTCGGTTCAGTTCAAAGCTAATCATGTAAATATGACATGAAATCACTAGAACCATGTAAAAGCAAGTATATATAAGTACAAGTTCTTAAAACTAGATTCTTAAAATCCCTCCTTATGGAATATTGCCGTCAGAAAAAATTGCTCAAGGTAACATTACTGCATATTTGTCTAATCTTCATCAGAACACATCAGACCAACATATTTTGCAATAAAACATTGTATATACTCCAAAACAACCCCCCCTGGCTTTCTTCTAGACTATTACTGCAAAAAATCATAGATGATGTAGATTCTAAATCATGCCGGTGATCGGTAAAATGGGATTTATTACAGGTTGCGTAGACCATCATTTTTGCATATTTCCCCTGAATTTAAATAAATCATCCTCTTTCTTCCTGTGATAATGGGATTTATTACAGGTTGCATAGACCATCGTTGCTTAATTTATTGCAAAAACATTGAGATTTTCGCAGATTTCCCCTGAATTTAAATAAATCATCCTCTTTTTTCCTGTGATAATGGGATTTATTACAGGTTGCATAGACCATCGTTGCTTAATTTATTGCAAAAACATTGAGATTTTCGCAGATTTCCCCTGAATTTAAATCAACCTCTTTCTTCCTGTGATATCCCTTAACTTTATCTCCTCTCAATCATGTCAATAGTCTACCTTACAGACTACAGTAATTGTCAAATTGTCATTACTCCATAAAAATTTTAAAAATACAATTTAACTTTGTCCTATTGACCATCTTAAACAATCAAATTGTTTGAATTACATCATGTGACTAGGATTGATTATATTATGAGATTTGAATTCATTTTTGTAAAAAAAATAATAAAAAGAGAATTTTGTGTCTATTGAAAATACATAGCAAAATGGACATAGTTCTGAAAAGCGTTGTGTACTAGTAGTTTTGAATAGGGTAAAGAAAAGCAGTGTAAGGACTTATTTGGTTCATTCAAAAGTTCAATAAGTTTATTTATGCCAATTTCTGTGTGTGTGTGTGTATAACAAAACATTAAATAGCTCAATGTTCTATGCAGAAAATTCAAATCAATGACACTTATTATAGTGGAACTTACGGGATAGGTTTTCACAGTGAACCAATAAAATGCATATAACTAAAACAAAATGTGGACTTCTGCTTGGACTGTTAATTGGATGTATGTGTACATATTTTGTTTTGAATGCAAGGTCATCAATACAAATGAACAGCAATTCCTGGATGGCTAACTTAAAAAGATTTACCATACAGCATAAACAAATTGATGAATCAGAAAATGCTAACAAGACAGAAGAATCTGTGAAAGATTCTACAGATAAAATGAAACTCAAAACAAAGCAAGATCCTATCGATATATTGCCATTTACCATATATGAGAAAGCAAATCAGAATATAGTGATATACAACAGAATGCCTAAATGTGGTTCTTCAACAATGATGACCTTCCTGAAGAAACTCAGTTATGGCAAGTTTAAAATGATGCATTCATATATATATGATCAGAAACAACTTAATGACACCAATGACATCCTTAATTTTGTGGAATCTTTTAGGGATTGTGAGTCAAGAAAATGTGTGACGGACCGCCATATTCATTTCGTAAATTTCGAGAACTTTGGATTGAAACAGCCAATTTACTTCAACATTATCAGAGAACCTTTTGAGAATGTGTTATCAGCATATTACTTTGCATATGGAAAAAGAAAGCCAATGATTAAACGAGCTGAATATTACAAAAGCCATAACAATCCAACCTTTGAAGAATGCATTAGAATAAACATAAACATTATTCAAGATGTAGATGATTGGTGTTTTATTGGTCCAATCGCCAAACGATATGTTGTATGGTTCTGTGGCCATGAAGCAATCTGTTCTACCAATATGACATATGGACTTCAAAAGGCCAAACACAACATTGATAAGTATCACATGCTAGTTGGACTTACTGAGGAATATGCATTTACACTGAAGGCAATGGAGCGAATACTACCATCCTTCTTTGAAGGAATTGGACATTTCAATGCTTCAACAAGAGTGAACCAAATAGCCGAGTCAAAAAAGAAAAGGCCATCATCAAAGATGATAATTGAATATGTGAAGATGAGGTTAAAAGAAAATTATGAAATATACTACTATGTGAAGCAAAAGTTTCATGCAACTTTGAAAAAGTTAAATGTGAGCTGAATATGAGAAAGCCGAGTCATACTATCCATAAATTAGTAGTATCATTAATAGTTACACCACAAATAGTTTATCATGAACACCTATGCCATTTATTACTAGAAATTGGCAACTCTAAGGAGTAGTAAATCCCAACGAACGTTATGAATCTGTATATACCATCTACTCTACCATTGATTTGCAGACAACTAGATAACGGCAAATTCCGCGGAGTAGCAAATCCCAACGAACAAAATATCAATTACTGAATTCCAATCAATTATACTCATTACTTTGGTTAAAATTGAAAAAATTAGATTTTAGAATTGCGAATTCCTGCAAAGCAGCCATTTTGAATTTTCTGAGGTACAAATCTGAAAAATAATACCATAATTGTGATCTACTCCAAAATTCCTTCAATATGAGTATAATATAGCCATACTTTGAAGGGATCGAAAAATTATTGCATAATCATACATTAGACGGCCATTTTGAATTTTACGAGGCTCGAATCAGAAAAAAGATACAATATTTGCAATCTACTCTTAATTGCCTTTCATTTGAGTATAATAAAGCTATACTTCAGAAAGATCTAAAAGTTAGCGAAAATCTCTGTTTTCCTGACCCCCAATACAGGGCCCCTGGGGGTCAGGATGAAAAACACGGAAAATATGTGAAATAGATAAATGTTGTGAATATACTACCAAAATTTCAAACAATAATATTAATTACTTTGGTTTAGAATGAAAAATTTATGATTTTTGCGAAAAAGTCCCGTCATTTTTAAAGTGGCGGCCATCTTGAAAAAGATTTTTTTGCGTAAAACTATTCACCAATACACATCTTTCCACTAAATATGAAGAAAATCCGTCTACTAGTATTTGAGTTATCTTCCGGACGGACAGACGGACGGACGGACGGACGGACGGACTGACGGACGGACTGACTGACGGAGGGCTTCACTATATCCCTACCGAACTTCGTTCGTTGGGATAATAAGACATAAACTGGAGATATTTCAGAATTTCCACCAATTTTGGGTGATCATTTCCTTCACCGAGGATGACTTGTCTGATGAGGAAGAAACTACAACAGAGGAATTCAAAAGGATGTGCAAAGCTGCTTTAGAAAGATTGCTTGTTTTACAACATGTTTAACCTTAATACCAAAGATGTCTTTCTAAACAATTAATCACCCTTTGGAATTAAACAAACAACAAATTGTACTTGTTATCTTTATCTCATATTATAGTATGCGCCAAATCGCTTCCAAAGTGGCTTAGTTAGTCTAAACCGATGTTGAGGTAGATTACTAAGAAGCGGCCCAAAGGCATTATAGTTTGGTTCATCGACTATTCGTTTTCACTTGTCTGCAGTCAAAAAGGTGACACGAAAGGGCTAAACGGCTTGCCCCAAGGTGCAACCGTCAAAAAGATGAGTTTGAAAAAAATCATTTTTTTCAAATAATAGCAGCGAGGATATAAAATAGGAGGCAAATTTGATATTGATATGTATGATAGTCCATTTAGGTGTGGTCTTTTTTATTAAAAACAATAACGGTGAAGAATTATATATTTCTGACCTTAAAACGCCATTTTAATGCAAAAGTCACCTTTGTTAATAATAATATTCCTATTTTACCTATTCAATGTTTTATAAGTATTACATTTACTATTATATTAGTTTTTGGCAAAGTAAATAATTATAGGGCTCACACAAGGATCAACTTTATTTACAACTTTTCATATCTAGTGATGTTTTGTAAAAATACTACGTTTAACACAATTCTATGTGTTAAATATTAAACAAAATAATGATAATGTATTTGTTTTGTTCTTTCAACTGAAAAATCACAATTCATTGCTCTTGCTCTTAGAGCGGCAGGGCATATACCAGTATGAAAAATCATCAATACAGTTGATTCTTGTGTGACCCCTACAATAATTTACTTTGCCTAAAACTAATATAACGATTATTCGGATATATAAAAATCATTTCATAGGTAAGATAGTAATAAAATGATTGACTTTTGAATAAAAAGGCATTATAGTTGTTGCAGTAAAATTACCACACCAAAGTGGACTATCTTTACATATTAATATCAAATGGGCCTTCTATTTGCATGTTTTACTGTACTTATTTGTAACAAAAGTTTATTGTGATAAAGCAAGCAGTGAATTTGATATTTTTAGCTAGCAGACAGTGATCTAGACGAGGCAACGTCTTGTTGTAATAGGTGTAACAGTGATGAGGCAGGAATTACTTTATAAATGCAATGACAAATGACAATTCCAGTGTTGATGGTTTATCTAACAATTAGCCATTTTGTCCAACATTCTGCTTGGACGTCAAATTAAAAGATGCCGATTTGCATCACATCAAGTTTGATTTGTTCACGGATGTATGTCAGAGTGATACCTGTAGCAGCTCCTGCACTCATACCTACATTTTGAAACATATGCAGCAATTTTATTTCCAAAAGGTCAGTTTTCAACTTTGTATGTTTCATTTTTGTTCATAAAATGTGAATTCTAGAAATGTCAAGGTCATTTCTAGGAAAAATATCAATATTTAGTTAGTTGGCTTTTTAAAACACTTGCCCGATGAGTTGACCCTTCATAACCAATGATAAGGTGACCTGAGGTCAAGATCTGAATGGATCAAGGTAATTTAAAGGTCAAAGGTCAATATCTAGCAATTTGACGTTTTGAGGCAATTGAGAACAATTGTGACATTTGGCGACCAATGATGAGGAGACCTGATTTCAAGGTAATTTCTCGGTAGTTGGCTACTGTGGGTCTACAGTATACAATTGTTGACCTCTCCAGAGGTCAACCGGCAAAATTGTATACAGAGACTGTAAACCGAGAAACTACTGTTGACAGAGACCGAAGGTCGAGGTCAACAGTAGTTTCAAGGTTTACAGTCGAGGTATATGATTTTTACGGTTGACCGAATGGAGAGGTCTACAATTGTTTTGTTAGTCCGAAGAAACTTATAATACACATATGGACGACAATCATCAATCGACATGGCTTCATTTCACAATTTTTTCTTCGAACCACACCAGCAATGCGTACTCATTAGTAAATTAATGTTAATTTTACGTTTCTATTTGTATTTTTGCTATACTTGTCGTCTAGTAAAGTCAAAATATCACGTCATCAACGTTTACAATTAAAATGTCCGCCTACCATGTTTTTCTGTTAACATTATGACGTAATATTCCCCATAATTCACAAGTGTAGTACAGTAACATACGCGGTCAATAATATGATATCCCATGATGCACAGGTGGGGTACAGGCAAAAATGTTGACCGCTAATTGACCAATCAGATGCGAGTATATACACTAAGGTACTAACAATAGCATTTGATCACCAATGATAAAGTGACCTACGGTCAATGTCATTGTTTGGGGTCAAGGTCATCTCAAGGTCATAGATCTAAATCTATCTAAATATTTGGTGTTTTGGGGATGCTGCTTCACGTGAGGACCCATGAATATGTGTCCTGAGGTCAAGGTCATTCCTACAAGGTCAATATCTCAGTATTTGGAGTTTTGAGCCCCTGGGGGCTGCTGTGGCCCTTTGCAACTCATGTTAAGGTGACATGGAGTTAAAGTCAATACCTATGGTTCAAAAACATTATAAGGTATATCTAGGTATTTGGCCTTTAAAGGCACTCAGGGGACGAAGTAGCCCTTGGTGACCCATTATTAGGCGACTTGAGGTCAAAGTTATTACTGATGGGTTAATGTCAATTCAAGGTCAAAAGTCAATATCTAGGTATTTGGATTTATTTTTACGGCCATGTTGGGCTGCTGTGACCCACTCGAACAATAGATTGCTAGTATTATTAAAGATAAACAAGAATATAGCGGGAGGATGGGAAAATTGTCTAACCAAACCTGGGACCTTCTAGTCTAAATTCTGATGCTCTACCACCTGAACTAAACAACCAAGCTTAAAAGATACAATTCCTTAAAAGAAATCATGGACCGATATTGTTTTGTTTAGATTAATATGTCAAATCAATTTTCCATTGAAATTCACGTAGTGCAATACACTTTATCAATTGACATTTTAAAAATAACAGTCGATCATTTCTGTTTTTATGATGGTTTGAATAAAATTTGCTGATTTGAAATACAATTTTAACAGAGGAGATCGAGAGGTTATCCAAATATGAGGTCATATTGATGACTGCACTCAGTAATCTTCAGTCAAGTTGACGAAGTTTTCCATGAAAGAGTTACCTTCTATTGTAGTTCTGAATTGAATCGGTATAATTTAAAGCAAATTTCGCAGAATTTAGTTATCAATATGTAGAGATAGTCCATTAGGGTATGGTTAAAACCAATAATGGTCAAATGGTACATCTGACTGTAAAATGCTTTTTTATTCAAAAGTCAATGATATTATTCTTATTTTACCTATCAAATGATTTTCATATATCCGAATAACCATTATATTAGTTTTTGGCAAAGTAAATTATTGTAGGGGTCACACAAGGATCAACTGTATTGACGATTTTTCATACTGATATATGCCCTGCCGCTCTAAGAGCAAGAGCAATGAATTGTGATTTTTCAGTTGAAACAACAAAACAAACACATTATCATTATTTTGTTTAGTATTTAACACATAGAATAGTGTTAAACGTAGTATTTTTTCAAAACATCACTAGAGATGAAAAAGTTGTAAATAAAGTTGATCCTTGTGTGAGCCCTATAATTATTTACTTTGCCAAAAACTAATATAATGGTAATTGTAATACTTAAAAAACATTGAACAGGTAAAATATGAATATTATTGTTAACAATGGTGACTTTTGCATTAAAATGGCGTTTTAAGGTAAGAAATATATAATTCTTCACCATTATTGTTTTTAATAAAAATGACCACACACAAATAGAGTATCAACCATATCAATATTAAAGTTTCCTCCTATTTCGTATACTCGCTGCTATTATTTGAAAAAAATGATTTCTTCAAACTCATCTTTTTGATGGGCGATCCTTGGGGCAAGCCGTTTAGCCCTTTCGTGTCACCTTTTTACTGCAGACAAGTAAAAATGAATAGTCAATGAACCAATCTATAATGACTATGGGTCACTTGATAGTAACCTACCTCAACATCAGTTTATGGGATTTTCTGGAGTTTTGGCGCACACTATTATGCTCTACTTTGAGCATCTGCGGACATTTCTTATGCACACAGTAGAACAGTGCCAAACACAAATAATGGATACTAATAATGACACATTTATCAAAGACTACAATTATAGACAATACATGTTCTTATTTGTTTGAACAAGATTTTGATTTTAAAGGGGCTTAAATTAATGAAATTCATATTAACACAGTTGTTGGAATTACACCAGAAAAAACGCTAAAAGCGCTTTTAGCGGAAAGCGCTTTACAAAATCGCCATCTTAATTACATCAACAATTCTAAAGCGCCTTGAGAATTTTATTTTGGAATTACACCTGTCGTTTCTAAAACGCCTTTCGTGCACTTTTAACATAGATATGGAGAATATCCAGCAGATGTGTTCAATGTTCATCTACAATAATATGCATTCTAAGAGAAAACGTAACTGAGACTTTTGCCAGTGATGTAAACTTACTTTCAAATTTTGCGATAAGATTTGATGACCTATTGCATTTTTTGGCTCCCATCCATCATTTTCTGTATTTTTGCGGTGGCCCATCCTAAATGTTTACCATTCGAAAAACGTCTTACTTCGTTTAGGGCAAATGGTAAAAATCAGGGTAAGGCATTTTACAAAAACCAATCGGTATTACACTACACTCCAAAAGCGCCTAATGATTTAAGGCGTTTTTAGTGACTAGGGTTCTAGGAGTTTTGGAAAAGCGCTTTTGTAAAACCGCAATCGTGATTACACCCATTTTTCAAACCGGGTTAAAACCTTAGGTGCCTTTCTAAAACGCATGGTGTAATTCCAGCAAGTGTATTCTTGAAGAATAGTACATGTTAATTTCTGCACGTTATATTAGTGAATTCTGCAGCTTCAAGTGGCTGATGAGTGTACTATCCTTACTCGGTTTTTTATTTCAAGGTATGAGGAAAGTAGTTCTATTAAAAACCTGTTTGGGGACTTCAATGGTATACTACAGCACCGTCTTTGGATAGAATACTCTAATTTGCAGGCATAATGCCCAAAATATCTGGGAAACATGTGATCATAACAGTGAACGGTAAAATCTTTGGGATTATTTTCTGCGGATGGATGACCTTGGTAGTGGTGAATTGGTCAATGTACATAAATATGATGACGTTTTGGTACTCCAATTATGTAAGAGAGTAGAACTTTTGATTTTTGTGAGATATTTTTGTTGAAATTTTTTTTGACATGAAGGGGAGATGTTTTGCTGTATTTCTCTGAAATTCTTTGAAAATTAATGGCCTGCGATTTGAGAAATTCTAATTCGAACTTTGTCAATTTAACATGCATCTCAATGGTACAAAAAGTAAGGAGAGTTCTACCGATAATGCCTTTTGTAAACATTTAGAACAGCCACTATAAGTGTACAATGTATATGTATTTGTAAAATGAATTTTATGAATAAAAAAGTTTAAAAAATGCCATTATTAGTTTTATCAATAATCACAATGCCATTAACAGTTTTGCAATTCATAGTGATACCATCAATTTGTCCTACAGGTACTTACAGATATGATATATTATTGATGGAATAAATGTCACAACTGAAGTACATTGTGACAAGACTATTTGTCCATTCAAAGATTATGTTCAATGTTTCTGCCCTCTCAGTTTAATAAAATAATATTTAATTAACATAATTTTAAAAAACACATCAAGTAATACATTGTTGTCATTTAAATGTGGAATACTGAAAATATAAACACAATAATCCTTTTTCCATATAGCTTTGAAATCTTGTTAAAGTCTCGTTTTATTGAGATTTTAAGAGATCTTCATTTTTAACCATTAAAGACTAATATTTTCTTCTATTTGATGGCATATTTGAATTCTGTGTGTAATTTTCTACCAAAACAATTTTGATTTGCATCATTATTTACCTTTATTCAAATTCTAATGATTTTATGTTGTCTAAAAAAGTTTGGGCTAAACCCCATTGACAAAATGCTGAAAAACTTATTAAAGTTCATTTACTCTCACAAGGATCACAATTTTAATGTGAAATCACAATCCACATGTCAATAAGATTATATAGTTATATTCCAAATGGTGATTGAAGTTGATCCAAATGGAATTACTTCTTAAATCAAGAAATTTAAAAACATAAGCAGACTAAATATAGATCTAATTCTCGATATTTCAATATTTGGGTTTTTTAGAATATAATGTGCAAAGAACAAAGATGATATTTACCTCAAGGGGGAAGGTTGACTGTTCATTGTAAATGCGCACAAATACTTCTCCAACAATGAGTTCCTTGGCATGAACAGAAAACTTGAATTCAGCACCAAACTGAGAATCACATTCCCCCTGAAAAGGGAAGAGTTAGAGAATACACTTTGCTTTTTATGTAACACTAATTATTAACCATTAATTGTCCAGTCTTGTGCTTAAATCCTTTATTTGATTTATGTTTCTATTGAGCATTATCAATATATTTATTCCAACATTTCACTACCTCTTCAAGAAATGGAGAACTCACTAAAGATCTTACACAGTGTTGCTAGATTGTATGAAAACAGTAATACAACTGTACATGATTCTGACTTACAGTTTTCACCATCTGTTGCTGCTGATCTGCTAAAAATTCAGTCAACTCTGCTCTTGTTGCATTGTCCCAAATCAAATATGGATTCTCTGTGTTACTGTTTAGGATCTTTAGAACCTTAAACAAGAATAATGGGTTGAAAATAGTAAATATATTTCTTAATAAAGTACAGGAGCGAATAATTGCATGTTGAAATGGGTAACTTGAAAATATATAATGTATCACTTACCTCTGCAGGGTTCTCATCCTTTAGTTTGCGTGCAAGATAAGGTGTAAGCATGGCACTAAGTGAGTTCTTTACTGCAGGGTTGTCAGGGGTTGCTAGATCTCCCGCTAGATAGCCTCCTAGACGTGAACAGGCATTAACGCAGAGTCTTGCCAGGTTATTAGATATTTCCTACAATAATAGAGGTGTAGGGTATTAGAGGTGTCAATATGAACCAGACAAGGCTTTCTGTATAGGAAACAAATATAGGGCTGGCATTTTTAAGGATATCACGGTTTCCCAATATTGTCACATTACTTATATCTTTGGTCTTTTCACACCATATTAAATTCCCTTTGGGGTTTGTCTTCCAACTTCAATGAAATTGATCAATCACAAAATCATCTATAGGAATTCATCAGCAATAAACAATTTAGGGACACCTTATTCATGTTGTGGTGAAAATGCTCATTCCTTATTGCATGAATTAGAAAAATTAAAAAATTTCTACACTGAAATAGTAAAATCTTTATAAAAATGCTGCATCCCTAAACTACAACTATAACATGATACTGCTACACTGCAACAATTGACAGATGTATCCAAACTTGCCTGTTTGTTAGTTTCTCCACTCTTTTCTACACCCCCTTCCTCCAAAGTGTAGTCATAATTGAATAAATAGAGCAGTAAGTGCCACAATGCCCCCGCCTGGTAGAGGTTTGTTTGCAGCCAAAAGTCAACACAGAAGGCACTTATACAATCTGACACCACAGAACACAGTCTGGCCAGGTTCTAAAACAGAGAAATCATTTCACATAAAAACTACACAAATTCAATTCAATTTAATATACAAAGTACAGGTTCATATAATAGGGTTAACAGGTGACATCATTTCTGATGTTTATGGCCGTACATGTTAAAGCATAATATTATTAAAAACTACACAAATCCAAGTTAAAACCACGAATCTTAGCTAAATAGCAATAATAAAAGTTAATTTCTTAACCTTGTACTCATAGCTTACCTTGAAATAGAGAATTCTAGTGATGTCTTTTATAATAGCAGGGATCTCTTGTATTTTTTCCCTACAGCCTTCAAACTCAGAGGCAACTGTGTAGCAACGTGATATATGAGTGCACACCTGGAAACAATAGAGAGCAATATTATTCCAATTTAAGTGACTGCATCGATAATTTCTCCCTTTGACCAGGAGTATTTTCTGACCATAAATACAACATTTTATAAACAATGTTTCCCTCCAAGTAGGACCCCAAGGGTGATAAAAATACACATCAATCTAATTCTCTGATATAAATCTAAGGATTGGGACCACCATGACATATTGTTCAAGATATTGGACAACTTTTCTACAAATCATAATATAATCAATCTTTTCGTCCCAAAATCAGCAATATCTCAACAATGTGGAAAACTTGAGAAACTGCAATTATGAGACAAATAAAATAACTGTATTGGATAAATATGAAGTGAATACAAATACAGGGTGGAGCAGATGTATAGATATCATTAAAGATTATACAAAGTCATGGTGGGGGTCCTCAATACTCCTCATCCATTTTTTCAGAAGGTCGTGTCAATATTTCATTATCAAAGGGGCATAACTTGCATGAAAATAAAGTATTTTAATTTGTTGTATTTATGTTGAGAAAGTTTGGTACTTTGCTGGAATTGTTTTTCGCCATATCTAACCTTATTTCCTTAACCTGATAAATGTAATAATAAATATCAATGATTTATCCTTTTTTAGAAAATGAGTGAAACATCAGAAGTATAATCTTACCTGTACAGACATATCTTCCTCCTTGGATGAATGACTCAAGACTGAGACACAGCGGGCAAATGCTTCATTAAGTGTCTATATAACATATAAAAAGAACCATTAATCACAGAGTTCTCACACTTATCAAAATTCTGCATATCAATCCAGTTATTATAATCATACAATTTTGATAATGAATCTAAGGTGCCTAACCACTATGGGCATAAATGTTGTATATAATTATTAAGATGAATAAGCAAGATTTTCACAAATTTCTCAGCATACATACCTCAATACCACTCTCCCTTCTGAGCTCTTCTGCATTGAGAGCTGAACAGTTGACTGTGTGGTAGGCTAACTCACTGGCTGCTGTGAGAAGTGGGGCTGCCTTTGAGAATAATGCATCATCATGGCTCTCTAGTTGAATAGTCTTTATCAACATAGGGTAGCCTGAATACTTGTATGGTTTTAACACTGCAAAATACACCAGCAAGAGGACATTAACAGTATTATATGTAATATACTGTAGCCTGAAGACAATGGTTCTATCAAATGGAGCTATATACATGTATGCAGTTCTGAGCTATCAATAGCCAGAAGGGTGAATAGTCTGTTTGGTACAAACATTGATATTCCCCAATTTCCCTGATATAGGCTGCTTAAATTACCTTGTTTTGATATTATATTTCTTGAATAACCATGACAATATCATGACGTCATGTTTCATTTCGATCGGATTCTACTCGCACCCAGACTTGCCCAAATATAGAGCCTCCCAAAGTCGGCCTATATTGGGAGAACTCAGGCATATTTAACGTCATAGTGACATAACATCTAAACATAATAGTATATTATCTAGAAATATGAAAAATAAAGACTTGAACAGAAATAAAAATCCATTAAAAAAGAGAGAAAAAGACTAACCTTCCTGGTATCTGCTGAAAAGTATACTCTGTGCATGTAGAATTAGCACAAGGTTTTTTGGGTCTGGTCCTTCAACCTCCTTTGATTTACTGCAGAGGAACTCATATGCCTTGTTCACTTTCTCAAACATATCCTGCGAAATATGATTTTGTGGTGAGGATATGTATCAAGTATGTTGTGCACAAGGAGCTAGAATAACTAATAATCACAAATGATTAATCTGATCAAAGATGTGATTCAAAGCTACATCTCACCACATAAACCCGGATATAGCAGTAAAACTGAACTCAAAGCAAATAGAAAGATGAAAATACAAATTGATAGAATAAATGCAGACCTGTTAATAGTTAAGGATTTAAGTAGCTCTGTGATACATCCCCTTAGGTTACATATTTTATAATGTACCTCAGATACATCATTTTTGGACCAGTATCAGTCTAAATCTTCTACTTACCCTTCCATCTGGGTTTTTGTCTGGATGGTATTTCTGGGCAAGTCTGAAATAAGCCTTCCTTATCTTGCCCTCCTCGTGTCCCCCTGATCCTGTCTTAAGGTTGAGCACCTCATATGCCTCCTCTAGTGACATGGATGGAGGTTTCTTCTCAACCTCCCTCTTCCAAGCATCTAAGATCTCCTTCAACAGTTTCACCTACAGGAATCGAAATAACATATAAATTGTCATAAGACAGAGTATCATGCCTCAAGTATATATACCAGCAGTTATTTTCAGATTCAGTTGAAAAGAAGAACTCACATAGGGCGTATGTGTTTAAAATATTATTTAAATAAAATCAGGTGAAAAGATTTCAGTTATTGATGGACTGAATTGATGCAATCTTTATATCACCATGCCCTGAACACAACAGAGTCTCCAAGGGTGCAATAACAATCTTTCACATGGTAAAACAAGTTTGTTTTTAAAAATATGCCATTGCTGATTATTTTATCACAATCTTACCGGGTCCTTTATCTCCCAATCTGGGAACTTTGTAGTATCACATAGATGGCGTAGGTAGTATATATGGCAAAATAGTTCATTTTCTAGTTGTGGGAAAATGATCATTGGTATTGGACAATACTGATAGAGGGCTCTGGTGTTGCTCATCAGTCTTGGGCTGAAGTCTGCTAAATGTGACGCTAGCTTCTCAATCATCATTCGCCTAAAAGAAGAAAAGACGTTTAGATGTTTTGAGTCTGTTTTTGGTTAGTATTTGTTTAAAGGTTGAATTTTGGAACAACATGTACTTTGAACTGAGACTGGATTTATCAGTAATACAATCCAACCAAATGAAATTCTCTGACAAGGTCCAGTCAGAACTATATCTGTCTGTACCTCATTTCATTGCTCCATATTGCTTCTGGCGTGTCAAATTCTCCTAGGAAGATCTGAGCAAACTTCTCTGGTGAATAATTCTCAAGGTAGCACACCATTGCTTCAGGTATAATATGTCCAACAACACTTTGCATCATGATATCTGAGGTTTTATTCTGAAAAAAATATGAAGAGAAATGAATAGATAATACATGGATAGCTGGGGTAGCAAAAAACAAAAGTTATGCATGTAAAATATCTTATTCATTAATGTCAAGTACATAGGTTATAATGACTACTAGTATCCTCTTTTTAACTCCTGGTTGTAACCTCTTTAACCAGTGAATAAATGAGAATAAGATGTTACCACGGTGGTTACTGTGCTCTCATGAAGTGATGTTTGTTAACTGACAGTAATACTGAATTACAGTTCCAAAGATGTTGTATGAGATCATTTGGATTTTTTGTTGATAATTCAAAATCTTAGTTGTATTACATATGAAAACACAATGATGTGGCTTAATGGCTCAAAAAGTGACATTTTGTCAGGATACATTTTGATGAAATTATTTTATGACAATGTTTACCTCATCAGAGCGGAAGGCTTGTTTGAGATGTGTGTACTTGAGGAATCTAGCCACTGGAAGTACATTCGACCCAGTGTACATCATGATGAAGAAGAAAACACCAGTCAGGTAGAGTCTGGGTAGAACAGGGTTGTCTTGTACAACATGGTAAAGCAGCGTTGCAACCTTCTCAACCAGTACAGGGTCAAACGTAAGAAGTAACTGTAATATGGAAATAATAAAACAGGTTATTTCATGAACTATGAAACTCAGATATCTCGAAGTGGTTACCAATATGACAGTATGAGTTACAAATTGTTACATTATTTTTAAATATTTTTTCCTCTTATCATTCCATGTTATGTCTATTTTCTTGATATGTCATGTCCATATTTGATCATTCATTTCAATTAGGATTAGGCTCTTTTAAAAAAACTAAATATGAAAATAGATAGCTGTATTATTATTATATTTCAGTGTAATGTTCACATTTTACCTGCACTATGTGTGGGAGACATGTGGCCTCTGATAGAAGCCTCTTCACCCGGGGTAAGGGCCGGATTATTGCACCATCACTGTCTCTAAAAACAACAAGAATTTCATTTGATTTTGCTATTTAACTTGGATACAAACTTGAGTACCCAATTTTAACCTGGCACAAAGTTTCTTCTTTTCGAATTAACGAGATTTTCATACCAAGAAATATTCCTGAAAACTTTCAAACAATGAGTCTGAGTGGCAAAATTGTGAGCCAAAAATGGAGAACAATAAAGCAATGATAATATCATTTATGAATCTCAGAGTCACAATATAATATTTGAAAACTATGACTGCATTTGGACTTCGGTAAAATCTTTTGAGAAATTAGTCAGCAAACAGATGACCAGTTGATGAAGTTCCTATACTATGGTACCCAAGACATAAAGATCTTACCGACTTGGGTAATACTCAGTCATTCTGATGAGCATATTGAGTATCATTGTAGCAAGGTCACTCTCATTCATGACTGCAGTGTTTGAAGCTAATAGGCACCACTTAAGTTGGGGCACTGTGTGTAGAGGTCGCCACCCATCCATACCCTGTGCCCAACATCTTGTCTTAGAGTGAACTATGCCCTGGTCATAAAACTCCTTCACCTGTGCAGAAGTAGCAAAATATTTCCATTGTACATTAAGTAACTAGATAACGGCAACTCCACGGAGTAGCAAATCCCAACGAACAAAATATCAATTACCGAATTCCAATCAATTATACTCATTACTTTGGTTGAAAATGAAAAAATTAGATTTTAGAATTGTGAATTCCTGCAAAGCAGCCATTTTGAATTTTCTGAGGTACAAATCTGAAAAATAATACCATAATTGTGATCTACTCCAAAATTCATTCAATTTGAGTATAATATAGCCATACTTTGAAGGGATCAAAAAATTATTGCGAAATCGTACATTAGACGGCCATTTTGAATTTTACGCGGCTCGAATCAGAAAAAAGATACAATATTTGCAATCTACTCTTAATTGCCTTTCATTTGAGTATAATAAAGCTATACATTAGAAAGATCTAAAAATTAGCGAAAATTTCTGTTTTCCTGTCCCCCCATACATGGCCCCTGGGGGTCAGGATGAAAAACGCGGAATATATGTGAAATAGATAAATGTTGTGAATACACTACCAAAATTTCAAACAATAATATTAATTACTTTGGTTTAGAATGAAAAATTTATGATTTTTACGAAAAAGTCCCGTCATTTTTTAAGCGGCGGCCATCTTGAGAAAAATTTTTTTGCGTAAAACTATTCACCAATATACATCTTTCCACTAAATATGAAGAAAATCTGTCAACTAGTATTTGAGTTATCTTCCGGACAGACGGACGGACTGACGGACAGACGGACGGACGGAGGGCTTCACTATATCCCTAACGAACTTCGTTCGTTGGGATAATTAAGATAAAATTACTATTGGCTCTATAATGTCATGATATGTAAATAACATTAAGATAAGAACACAGTGTTATGTGGAAAAATGTATTCATATATTCATGAGAGAAATGGGGCTTTTTTAGCCAACCTCAAACATAATCATATGATATTACGAACAAAGCTTGACATATTGACATGTTGCTATTTGACCTTGGACTATATGTTGCACATACCTCTTCATAACTGTAAGGACCAAGTCTTTCTTTGTCAGCGTTGCCATAGTACCACTCCTTCTCACTGTCTCTACGCATGTCATTACCTGCCTCTATTACATTGCTCTGAACAGAAAACAATCAACATGAATAACATACTATTACAATAAAGAGTAAACACTTTTTTAATTGGCGATCAGAAATAGATAGATGGGACACATTTCTGCATCATCCTGTACATTTCCAAATATTTAAACATATTGCACATAAGAGAAAGCGGCATTTTTCTATCATTTTAAATTCAATCTTGTTTTGAATGAGACATGGAAATTGGAATTATTTTGGCAAAATATGAAGTGATAGTAACCTGCAGTGGTACAGTGGCCCTGGTGGTGTGGAGATGTGCAATTGTCAACAGATCAACAAGTATCTTCACCCCATTTGCATCCATGATTTCTTTTACATTTTTCTGAAAGAAAGCGCTTTGTCAAAATAATCTACATAACAGAAAATCCAAATACACTGTCTGTCATTATAGATAAATATTATTATAATCATTATAAGCATTTTTCCAAAGATTCCTCATCTTGAATATTTAAGAAATGTATTTGACAATGATCAATTCCCTGACCCTATTACACTGTAAACTAAACTGTCCACTGATATTCCAAGTATTGCTTAGATGGACAGACTGATGGATAGATTCTGTTATAATCCATGATATTTGCTACTTTTGTTTAAAATGTGAAGGAACTATTGTACACGTGGAATACCCTGTCCCTCATCAATTATAAAACACAACCTTCTCCCCCTATACAGTGTGCCATTTAATTATATGTTATCCTACCTTGTTGAGAATGAGTTTGTTGAGGAACAATATCAACCTATCACGCTCCAGCTTGTCTGTTGACTGAAAGTCAAACAAAATTAACCTCATTTAAAATAGTCCATGGTAACTGGTATTTCATGGAAATTATTTTTCCAAATTGAAAAGTGACATCTTTTCAACTTAGTTGTATATTCATAATGTCAAATGCAACATTTGAGATAAAAAAATCTGACGTTTAATTCACCTCGATATCAAAGTCTTTAATTATAGTACAACCTATTTGACGATATGCGGAATTTAAGTTTAAGTATGAATTTATGGACTACTTGATAAAGTAGTAAAAAGTAATAGAGTAATTGATAAAACACTTGATTGAAATGTAACTGATTTCTCTCACCCTCTCTAGCATGCCAACAATATATTTAGTGTCATTGAATGCTCCAATATCCTCGTAACATCTACCATATACTATGGTCATAGCTTGCAAGCACATACACTTCATGTTAATCTTGGGGGTCAAGAGAAACCTATGGTACAGGTCATTGAAGAATTCATACCTGAAATTGTCATACTGCAAATGTACTAAGCTCATCATCTCCATATCAGGATTTAACATATACATGTACTGTATTTAAAGCATTATAGTTGACAGATTGAATGCTTGAGAAACCTAAATCTTGCCATGGTGAAGTGATTAGTTATTACAAATAAAAGAATATTAGAAATGAATAAACTTTGAATTTCTAAAAGATGCAAATTATCATTATTTACTTACGAGCGTTTAATAGCACTGGATTCCTCATCTTCATCCTCTTCGAGTAAGAGCCGAAGATAATAGTCACCTGAAGTAGAAATATCATAGAAGACATATTTATTATATGCACATGTGATGAGAGAGTGAGAAAGATGCATATCCACACAATTGTACAAAATTTGAAATTGACAATTTAAAGACACTTTTTAAAGATTGTTATTTCAATGAGTCTGGCTGACCAGGGCAACAATTTAAGTTATTTGAACACAGATCATTATATCCATCAGATATACAAATAGGTGAGCCATGTCACAATAAAAGTGGAGATTTATTGGAAATACATCCAGGTATTTACAACATAGTTAATACCATAAGTGATAATGTTTGGCAGCACCTGTTTTCAAATAATGACTATATACCAATTGAACAGTTTCTAACTTAAGCCAATATGACTTACCAATTTTAATTTCCTCATCCAGACAATGATAACGAACTTCAAACTCTTGGTGGTTCCATGAGATCATATAACTACTGCTTAAATCTTTGTCTACATTGAATGCTCGTATTTCATCTTCTAGTGCATTCCTCAATTCTTCCCTAGTCTATAAACAATAATACCATATAAGCTGGATTTGCAATCATATTACATGTCCATAGTAGTCACAGACTCGTACACTTGATAAAGTAGGTAAACGCCTTGAAATGCATCATAATCTAATGACGGCGGTTAAAACTACAAGTTGATCCAACATTTTTGATAACAGACGAGCATGACATATGAGATATTGTTATTAAGAAAATCAAGAAACAGCATTAACAAAACAAAATAGTGTCAGTATTTAGTAATCTTATTCAAATATATATCTGATACCTAGAGAGCCCTCTAAATAAAGGTGGCCTGGAGTTACAGAAATGTAGGCTTTCTAGCTCAGGAGACATTTCTTTACCTTGTAATTCCATATAAGGTTAGACTTGGCATGATCGATAGCAAACATGTAGTAAAACATTTTCCAGTTTGCTTCACTTTTGATTCTTTGTCTCCTCTTTCTCAGTACTATTGGCTTTTGTTCAGTCTGAAAGTAGACAAGAGAATACACATTGATGTAAATAAAGCATCCCTTGGCTTAACATCTCAAATGAGTCACTCTGGGCCAGTTCATTGTTAAATCTTAAAGATATAATTTTACAAGATATATAATTTCCCTCAATTCTATACAGTTTCAATAACATACAGTATGTTTATAATTCCCATCCCCCTAATTCTGTTTTCCATTTTTCTTTAAAATACACTATCAAAATACTTGTATATGATTTTCAAGTTACAAATGGTTATGCTCTTTTTATGCAGAAGCACTCAATGGATACCAATGGTACAACATTTCAATCCCACTTTAAACACAGGGTTGGGTTATTATGAAAATGAACACACTGCATTTTGTAAGTGTGCTTTGCATAAAGCTACCAATCAATGTTTTTCAATACCTGTTTCTTCTGTATGCCTATTCTAGCTCTCCAATGGGTCAGTACCAAATCTATTTGCTTCTCTAGTTGTTTCTCTATGATCCTCCACTGCGGGTTCCTTTTAGATTTGTTCTGGTCAGCCTAAAGAGAAGATTCAATACAGATGCATAGGATTTAACTGAAAGAGTATTTGAACATAGTGAAATGCAGAACATCTGTTTCAATTAAAATATGACAACCATGCAACTTCAAGGAATAGCAATTCGTTATAGCAAATACCACTTCTAGATCATAACAAATCAACTGATATTTTTACATCTCTAATCAAACTTTGTTCGGTCAGTTTATCAACTATTAAAGTTTCAGTAATACTAATAACTTGGTTTAGTAAGAAAAAATTCAATTTTATCACAACTGATCACTTACCAGTGCAAGTTTTAGGTTATCTCGTACATGCATTCTGTCAACATCATCATCTGGTGGTTCATCTGTGCTGTCTAGATACTGCAGCAGACCACTAGGCTAGTAACAAGAGCACAAAATATATTAGTCATATGTCCATATAGCTAGTACAAGCATTCACTGTACTAAAAGGCACTGATGAATCGTCTGGTACTATGACACTTAATTAAGATATTCATGGCCAGAATTTGAGGAATGACTGGATGACTTAGTTCTGAATGGGTCAGTTACATAGATATATGGAACAAAGCATCCAGTGGGTGTGAGCCATCTACAATGGGAAGTGCTTAGGAAATATGTATGCAATCACCTAGTAAGTGCATAACTGATGAACACAAGATATTGTGTTGAGGCTAATGGGAATTATTGTTATACTGAAATGCTGGAATGGTATCTAGAATAACAGGTATGTCTTACCATGATTCTTTTGAGCAAAGCCATTGCAGTAGGGTGGCCAGTGACCCATAAACCAACTAGGTGACGACTCAGCTGCCTGGAATAATCATTCTAAAGTTATATCTCTCTCTGAACCCCATCGGGACAAACCAAGTGTTCAGATAAGCAGGTGTTCACATTTCAGGTTTTTTAACATGAAGGTCTATGGCAAATTAAACAAAGCATTAACATGCAAAATGTCACCACCTGCCATTTGTTATAGATGCCATTTGTTACAGACGCCGAACATCATCCACAAAAATGGACTGTAACAATAAGTCACAACTTGTGGTGACAAAAAAATGGGATCGAAAAACATGTTCACATTGAGAGATGTTCAGATTAGATAAGTGTTTGGATATACAGGTTTTTGCAAAATGTCATATTATACAACTAGAACAATACTTCAAACGGAATTCTAAACCTCAACAGATTAATGCATTTACATGAAGTTTTGTGCTGATATCTTTGTATTACATAACAGTTTAAGGAGAGTGCTAATTACCTGAGAGTAAGTTGTCGCCCATCAGTACTTTGTGTGTACATTGCTGTGTGTAGGTGCCTTGGTAGAGCTCCTTCTGCAAGAGCCAACTCCTGCATCTTCGCCGCAATTTCTGGATCACCTTCCTATCAATATCAAACTATATGCATGTACAGGATGTCCCGAAAGTATGGCCCCCCTAGGCAGACATATACCATAGTACGTGACACATTGACTAGTAATGTAGTGTAAAATTGAACTTTATTTTAGCCAAACACTAAATTTTAAAATGACTGCAACTTTTTCCCATTTGAGAGTCGGACCATGATACTTGGCAAATCAATGTAACTTTGGATAAGCTTTAAAACGATATATGACACATACTATGACAACACTGGTATATGTCTGCCTAGGGGGGGCAAACTTTTGGGACACCCTGTATATTTACACTGAACCTCTCTGTAAAGCAGTGTCAGTCTGTCAGAATTTCTCTTCCTTAACCGTGTTCAGCCTTATTGAAAACTATAGAGAATTCATTTTTACAATTATCTAAGCTCAGCAAGGAATTTTCGTACATATTTTTACTGTGATCTAAAATTTCCATTTTCACTCAATAAGGAATAGCAAAGATTTTGCAAACCTCTATAATAGCTTTCATCACCATTCCAGCGCCTTTCACAATCGCCATAGATGGATGCTGAAAATATAAAGTGTGTGTTTACATGCTTGGAGAGATGATTGTACAACAAGGTAGACACATGCAAGACATCATCATATATGGAAGGGGCATATAGCCCTGAGGCAGGAAAGAAAAGGAGAAAAATATTCAAACATTGAAAAGACACTGTTGAAATGAAGTTCTTTGGTAAAATTTCATTCCCTTTACACTGAACTTGATTCTAAATGTGAGGCAGCCATTTTGAATTTTCTGAGGCCCAAATCAAATTGTCAACTATATGTCTCATCTCCTTTAAAATACATTTGATAATGTAATTTTACCACAGAACTGAGTATAAAAACATATATTCATTCAATCATATATTCATACTCTCATTTCCACAAGCTGGGCAATAAGATTTTACAAAACCAATGGCATTGAGCGAAAGAATATTCAATATTTTGATACCTGGAAAAGTTTGAATACTGCACGGCCTTCATCAGCAACCATCTGTAGCAATGTATCAAACTGCTGGCCATCTGTTGTCTCACTGTATGGAGCACATAATGAAAAGGTAAGGAAGTCCAGCATTCCAGATATCACTAATGCACCTGTGTTGTGTACCTGAAACAAGAAAAAACAAGGTATTAGCATGACAAAAAGTCACCTCCTAGTTGCTCATAATATTATGAATCTTTTTGACCTTGAGAAGGTCATTAAAGGTCAACATCTCAAATCTATAGTCAGCTTTGAACTTTTGAGAACTTGTTGATGATTTTGAAAAACAAATTTGGTCAATTTGATGCAAATAAAATCATTTTTGATATAGTTTATGGAGCTAAAATCTGCAAAATAATAATTTAAGGCTAAGGATGAAATTACTGGATTACTTACAACATTTTGTTTGAAGAGTTCAAGTAGATTCTCCAGGAACTTCTTGGATGACATAAGAGAAGCTTTGTTCAGTTGTTCTTGTCTGATGTCATAATCATCATGCATTGGCTGAAACAAAGGAAATATGATGTCATAATCATCATGCATTGGCTGAAAAAAGGAAATATGATGTCATAATCGTCATGCATTGGCTGAAACAAAGGAAATACGATGTCATAATCATCATGCATTGGCTGAAACAAAGGAAATACGATGTCATAATCATCATGCATTGGCTGAAACAAAGGAAATACGATGTCATAATCATCATGCATTGGCTGAAACAAAGGAAATACGATGTCATAATCATCATGCATTGGCTAAAATAAAATACTGTATGTATGATGTCACCATCATCATAAATTGGCTAAAACAAAATACGAATGATGTCACTATCATCATAAATTGACTGAAACAATTTGATAGTTGGTGTCACTATCATTATGCATTGCCTGAAACAAAGTAAATATGATGTCATAACCATCGTGCATTGGCTGAAAAATATGATGTCATAATCACCATAAATTGGCTGAAACACTGGTTTTTGTCTTGAGTACAGTTCTCTACATTATTATTTTTACACACCAAAACAAAGCAGAAGTGAAGAAATGAATATGAAGTAATGGTACACATACAATCTTACCTGCATGAGAGCATTGAGCATATCTATTGCACCATGGGTTACTCCATCATTCTTACGACTTAGCGAACGCACCACCTTCAGCCCAACCTTCTCCCGCATTCTGAAAGAATCATACAGCCACACAAAATGAGCTTGCTATGATCATGGCATTGAACTTCTGCTTACTAGAGTGTTGTTTACCAAAAATGAAGCCATTTTGGTATGGTTTACATAATTTCTCTGCACAGATGTTGTTCAAATGATAATTTCAAATTGACATTCGGCAAGGATGCAAGCATTACTTGGCATTACTTTCGAAGCATTTACAGAAAAGACCATTTGTTTCAAACGCCATTAAAGATGCAAATCACAAGCTGTTATGAGCATATGGAGAACCCATTTAAGAAGTTAGACAAGATGGCTCTATGCTAAGAACACTTGAGTTGATGACAGTTTAGTTTAAGACCATACATGTATGTATCAGTTTTTGACAGATACTCTTTTTAGTTTACAACATAAATACTTATGGATGGATTTCATGAGTTATACCCAGTAATTGTATTTTCAACAAAATATTTAACAAAAACATAGAAAATGTTCATGCTTTTACTTTGGCCTCTTTGGCCTATACAAATTGCTCCTTAAAACCTTTAAGTTTCCGAGTCACAATTTATACCAGAAAGGTTGGTTAAGATTGAATATTGTTTTTCTACACCCATGTCATTACTGTAAACACATACACCAATGGACTGAGAGTGGTGTAATAATAAAGCATAAGCTGTGCTCTGGGAGAATGCAGAAGCGTGAATTAGGTACAAAACTCTCAACCAACCCTCTACCTCCCTCAATGCCCAGGATATAAATAAGCCTTTTTAGAATGTGCCACTGTCATCATAATAGGGATTTAGGATTATTGATGTTTTGTGTCAAATGTCGCACCCATAACCACCTCCAAACCCATAATGTCATATAAGTTATTCAAGAATCTTACCCCATAGGTCCATATCTAAAACCAAAATATTCTACATACTAAAACCTTAAGAAATAGAAAAATAGAATGAAAAGGCAAATAAAACTAGAATTACTGCAATTTCCCATATTAGCAAATCCACCAAACAAAAAATATTTTTCTGAAAATTATTTCCTAGTAGAATTCCATTGTAGAAATGTGGCGACAAAGGGTTTAAGATTTAACGGTTTCATTCGGTGATAGTATTTTCAGTTCGCTTCAGTTGTTATTGTAGTTATTCACAGGCTACGCGAAAATGAGCAGACAGATATGAAGTTGATCCAAAAGTCAGAAAACATAACATGTCATAGTGCTTTTATTGTTTGTTTGCATCATACACGAAAAAATGGACTAATATGGCACAAAAATGGTAAAGCATTGTTAACCTCTTTACAATTAAAAATACATCTAAATGTAAGATGAATTTATATTCAATAATATAAGTTCTTCATGACATGTGATGATGTAGGTTTATTGAAAAACATAAAATAATTCCCCTAGCTTCTTGTGATGTATTTAGCATCCATTAGTCACTACTTACTTCCGGGTCAATATGGTGAGTATTAATTTTGTGATTTGGCATCTAATATTGTCTTAAATATCAGGTCTGCATAATTCTATGATGATTAACAATTGTTTGATTGGTGGTATTTTAATTTGAAAGTTTGAAATGGGGTTTAATTATGAGTTCAAATTTTTTTTTTTCTGAAAAATTTCACGATTCTCAAGAACCGTGGGGGTAAGAACTGCATGGCCATGGCTAACCGTTTGACTCTTGAATAAAATCAGTGTATATTGAATCAAGGTATCTACACCAGCTATGCAGTATTGCAGCTAATCTGAATAAATATGCCAACATAATGCACATACTTTGGGAGGTTTGTGAAGGCCATGAAGCCTGCTTTTGATGCAACAAGACGGCGAAGCGCATGGAACTGAGCCTCAAGCTCTTCTGCGGAGATTGCATTCTGGTCTCCCTCCTTCTCTAGCAGTGCTATCAGACTAGCATTTATCAACTTCTCTTTGTTCTCAGCAAATAAACCCTGAAGCAAAAATATGCATGTCCATATTCAGTTTTCAACGTAAAATATATCATGGATAGGTAATAAAACTGACATAAATTACAAGGGGAAATGTTGGTAAATTAGTTAGAGTTTATCTATATTTTAATTTAGAAAATACATCAAACAGTCGTTTTGAGAAAAATCTATTACTTCTGGAAAAAGATGGCAGTTTTCTAAGATGCAATATCAAAAATGACATCATATTTCTCTTCTACTTGTAAATACCTTAATCATAATTAACTTTAAGATGATCTAAAAATTTATGCAGATTCTTGATTTTTTGAGCCCACCTTACACAGCTGACTATGGGTTAGGTAGAAAACGCCAGATATAGGATATTAATGAACAGATTTGCTACATCTATTTTCAGCTAAAATGCACATAGTTTTTGTACTACTGTATATGTACTTGTTCCCCCTGTGTTATTTCATATAATAGATCATGCATTAACAAAAACAAATTTGGAAATAACTGAAAGGTTCTCACATCAGCAGTGACAGCATGAAGGAGACCACTATATGATACATTGGAATTGAAACGTGACACTGCCTCAGCAAATGTCATCCCTACTGGCGGGCTTTGCAGGAATCTCATGTGTTGACTTTCTACTTCTTCATCAACTGGAACTGTGAAGGGACCTAAAATGGAGATATTATTATAAGCACATAATCAAATGTATTTCTTAGCACCATAGTGAGCACAAAATGGGAACTTCAAAATATATTTGATCTGGACACTTAACCAAATTTCAATTTCTTGGAATAGGACTACAAGTATTTTAGTCACTGATAATGTTTGATTAGAAAATTAGATGATGGCAGCCCCCCCCCCCCCCATAAACTCATTCATGTAGCATTGCCACCCTATCATTATTCCTCATAGAAATTTACATAAGATTGCAAAGTTTCAGAATCCAGTGTTGCCCCTGAAAAAGATACAATGTATCAAAGTATGTGGGTACAGGTCATTTTGAGGGGAATTTCTGGTCATTTCGAGGGCAATTTAAAGGAAAAATTTAGTTTCTGTATTGCACATTTCTAGCAGCTGTCATCACGGCAGAGTGCAGTGCACATAAGTGTGATAGTTATACAGAAAGACAAATAGATAGATTTCATGCAGTGGCTTATAGGAAGGTTAGGGACCCTGGTGTGACCTCTATCACTAAAATGGGTATGAGACAAAGTGAACAGATCACCGGATTGAGTCCAAAAATGACCAGAAGTTACCCTCTAAATGACCACGTACCTGGAATCTTTGATACAATGCATCTTTTTTCAGGGAAAACCCTGGGTTCTGAAACTTTGCAATCCTATGGAACTTTCCATGAAGAACAAAATGATATATAACATGAATCATGGGGATGCAAACATATGCAACACCCTGTATATAACCATTTAACTGTTCAAATAAGTAAACGAAAAATGGCCTTCAGAATTGGCAAATGATGGTGAGGAATTTAGTGGGTTTAACTTAAAAGATATGGTTTAAATAAGGAGTAAAACAGCAATATTGACAAACAAACCATGGGAAAGGCTTGAAGTACAGCCTACTAGCAACAATTAGTAAACTGTCACCCATAGGAATCCTTAAGGCCATTGCAATAAATTATGCTGAATTATACTGATTTCATATAATCATATAAAATTATCAATGTTCAATCAAATATGCAAATGATCAGTAATTGCTTAAATTAAATTTAGAATTGGAATAAATCTTGAGGCAATGCAATACCAATTATAGCAACCCTTACAAATAATTCAGTGTTCAAAAATTCCCATTTTCCCTATACAACTCATAATCAATTAATTTCATTCATGGCACATATGATGATCAAAGTAATGTCCATAAAAAATCTATAATGGGAGTATACAACTACGAAGTACATGTTAGTTATAAACATGAATGAAACAGTTGAGGAAGCAGTTTACGTGCGGAAATATTTTATATATAAGCATGTTAAAAAAATCAAGAATTTTTGTCATTCTATTTGTGACAATATTGATTTTGCCAGTGCATGCACGACCAATCACTGAAATACACCCATATATGGATGAAGGTTTAATAGAATACGGGAATCCTTTGAATGAGCATGTACCTCAATCAAATGAAGGCAAAGCAGTATATACACAAGAGGGGGTGAATTTGTACCAAATGATTATTTACAATCTATATGGACAGACCAACTTCCAGGGCTACACAAGCCCACTTCTTTCACCACCAGAGAATGGAAAATATGAAAGTTATCTCATAGACAATCAGGAGGATTATCAAAGAAAATATCCGAAAGGCATTGTACACAAAAATGATGAAGATCTCTATGAAAATGATTTTGATCCTCGGCAAAAATATGTTGACCAACATGGAAATGATCTACAACAGGAAAATAATGACCATCCACACGAAGATGATGAACATGAATTTTCAAAAGATGATCATATTAATGGATTTAACTCTGCTGTTACTGGTGACAAGAATGTTGCAACCAATGGCTACACACATGAAGAAGGAACCAAGAAAATGAAACAAGTCACCCAACATGAGACTGATCAACTCCCATCAATTGAATACAGTGAAACGGACCATCACTTCAACCCAGGGCAGTATGATTTTGACCATTTAACAGACAGGATTTGGCAAGAGGGAAAAGAAGTGTATGACATGGATGATGTTTATGAAGATATTATGGACTTTAACAGTCCTTTTATTTATGATTTCATTTACAGTTAGACTCTGTTAAAATAATCATCGAAATTGTTGTTCCAATTTAAAATAGAGTTATTATCTATTATATTTATCTTAGTGTTTTCTAGAAGTTGTTTTTGGTAAGAGGATATGGAAAACATCAATTTTCAAATTACTTCTAAAAAGGAAAATTAAAAAAAACAATCAGAATTTAAACCATGATCTCCCAGTCAATTTTAGCTTTTGATGAATGTACAAAGATGATTTATTCCATAATACTACTGTTTTCCCAGGGAAATATGAAGGAATAAAAATCGTATTGAATCGTATTACATGAAAAAATCGTATTGTCCCCGGGAAAAAATCGTATTGGAGCGTATTACATGAAAAAATCGTATTGTCCCCGGGAAAAAAAATCGTATTGGAACGTATTAACCTATTTTTGGTTTTCCTGTTATTTTTAACCTTAGCTAATTGATAAAAGCATTTTCAAAATGTAACATTTTAGAGGAATGTATTATGGAATAAATAGGTTATTTCTGGTCGGGATTGAATATGGGTTTCATTCCTCGGAAAATATGATATTGACCTTGGGAAATATCATATTGACACTCGGTCGCTGCGCTCCCTCGGTCAATATCATATTACCCTTCGGTCAATATCATATTGTCCCTTGGAATAAAACCCATATTCAATCCCTCCCAGTAAATAACCTATATATAGCATATAAGATAATCAGATCAACCCATATTCAGTTCACAATATTGGGATTATCATTTGGAAAAAATAATATCTAATAGGTATATTGGCCGCACGATAATACCAACATCCTGAACCTCACAAGTATTTACTGAAAATATTTTGTTGGCCATTATCATAATCAAACTGAAAAATGTCAGATCAGAGTTTATTACCTAAATCTTATTTATATTCAAGTTAAGGGGAACTATGTGCATGTTAAGTATGTTAAGTGTATGTTAAAGTTAGCAACCTGGTGGTGAAACTGGTAGTTAAACTAGGTACTGGTAACTGGGTGATTTGCTTTGATGAATTAGAGTTAAGAGTAACATATAATGAATAATGTGTTTTAAAATGTTATGTTTGTGTAAAATTAGTTACAGGTATGGAATATCATGAAAATAAATAAACAAAAACAACTTTGGTTTCTTAAAAGTCTTGTAATCATTCAAGTGTAGACAACCAGGCCTTAAGCCTTCAGCAATGGAAAAATACCTTTAGTACATACCCTTAGTAAATTTAGCTCAGACTGTATTTGTTAAGACACTTTATGGACACCATGTACAAATGTATATTATTAAAACAAATAAACATATGATATCTTACCTAATCGCTTTCCTCTGTCTGTTACACTCATTCGGACACACACATCTCTGTTACCAGAAGCCCTTACACCATCCAGCATTGACGCTATCAGAGCATCTCTGAAATACAATATACATGTACCAATTAGTTACATTAGAAAACATGATATTTATTTTAGACATATATGTACATGTTTCATCACAAAGTAATGCAAACTGGAAAAACAACCAATACATAGATTAGATTTAGATTTATGAACTTTATTACACATTCATACCCATAAAAGGTTAAGTGTACACAAAGTAAACACTAATTTTACAATATATCAATACAACAGAAAACAGTATATATAACAACACACAAAATTAACACTTCATAATAAATAAATAAGTAAATAAATGAACAAATAAATATGCATCATGGATAAGCACATGAATGGTGATTGTGATACGCGTCCATTGTTTATGTCATATATCACACCCTTCTATGTTATATTACATTTATGAATAAATTCTGCTACAATTTCAATTTCTTTATTTTCACAAGACATACAATATTGGAAAAAAAGTGAATCGTCCTCCATGTTGAAAAGGTGTTTAATTGGGTTGCCGTGTGATACAAGTTTATCGAGCATTTTCTTTCTATATATACTGTATTTTTTACATGAACGCATTATGTGTTTTTCGTTTTCTATTAAATTGCAAACCTCGCAAATTCTTTCATCGATCTTTAATTTTGGGCGTTCGTATCTACCCGTTTCTATTTTTAATTTGTGGTTACTGATACGAAACTTTGTTAGACTTCGTCGTAAATGCCCATTTGAAATTGAATCTAAATATGGTTCGAACCTGAAATTGCTTTTAAATATTTTGTATGTATTCAGTTTGCGACATTGGTCGGAATTCAATTGATTTCGCCAATAATCTTCAAAACTAATTTTTGATTTACAAACAACTTCGGATGCGTCAATAGTATATTCTTTTACATCTAAAGTATTATTGATATTGCTGGGAGTATTTCCTGAAAATGATACTACCTCTAATTTATCCATTACACTTTTAAAATTCAGCATCCACGATGACTTGTTGATCTTTGATAAGTCATTTGATGTAGTAAGTGCTTCTGATAATAAGATGTATGACGTATTTAACATGTGATTATAGAAATTAGTAGCTTGTTTGAATATATTTATATATAGTGGGTATTTCCCAAGCTCTCCATAAATTGCTAAATTTGTTGATTTTTTATTTACTTTAAGAATATATTTACAAAAAGATAACAGAAGTTTCTCAGATGGAAATCGTCTGCCATTTGTAAACCATTCATTCAAATCTTTTGTAGAAAAGTAATTCGACATGCCCCATATTTCAGATCCATATAAGATTATTGGAACTACCAATTGTTCAAAAATCTTTATTCCTATTGAAGGTTTTAAACTTGTATCGCCTAGTGACCTTTTTATTTTATAAATTGCCTTTAATCCTCGGTCATACAGATAGTCCTTGGATTTACTAAACGTACCTGAACTACTTATGGTCAAACCCAAGTATTTATATGATTTTACCGTCTCGATCTCATCCCCATCAAAATAAAAATTTTCTGTACATTTTCTACCATTTCCAATAAATTTCATTATTTTTGTTTTCGATAAATTAATTGACAAATGCCAGTCTTTACAATATTTTGAAAGATTATCTATAGACTTTTGAAGTCCATTTCTGCTCAAAGACAAAAGTAGAACATCATCAGCATACATCAAACAGTTTACTTTTGAACTTTGTAAAATTGGTGCGTCATTGTAACCTATAACCGCTGGCAGATCATTTAAAAACAAATTGAATAGTGTGGGAGACATTGGATCCCCTTGTTTAACACCAGCATTCACTTTTCTAAATTCAGTCCTCTTATTTGAAATACTGTTTTTTATACATATTTTGGTATCTTGATACATTTTTCTAACGATTTCAAAAAACTTTCCTTTTATAGTTTAGTTTAGTTTAGTTTATTATTTATTAAAGTGTCACAGGCATATTATTTTACATGATTATACGTACAATTATTCAAGAGCCCCAAGCCAACAATGGCTTATGAGACACTGTCCATCTCAGAACTATTGCTAATAAAATGATTGATTTTGAATGAAAAAAATATTCAAGACACACAATCAGTCAGTTACTAGTACGTCGAATAATCCACTGATGCTGAGAAGGCTTATTTATGATACATGAAGGCAATGAGAGCCCAACATATTAATTGTAATATCCATGACATTTTACTCAAAGTATATCAACTCAGCCGGCTATTGTTTGTTGAATCTCAATCACATCATTTTCCTTAAATTCCAATCAAGCGTGTGAGCCTTGACCTAAATTAGGTTACCAGATTATATCATAAGTCCACCGCAATGCTTGTTTTATAATGTCCAAAGCTTGAATGTAGGATGGCCCATGAAACCAAATAAATTCATGTAATTCTGGACCCCCTGGCCTTAATGTTATTGCTCTGTTGTGGCCAGAGTTTACCGAATCTCTGCATATTCCTCAAAGTATATTCCAATTCTAGCTGTTTCCTGGTCTTTTGCTGCTCCACATATACGTTGTTGTATTCCTTAGAGTATTTTAATTTCGATTTTGACTTTAATATACGTGCTTTGTCCTCAGGAGATTTCAATGTAACCAATACAATACCAGCACTATCATGTCTTTTTGGTAGTCGTTTGACATCAATGGGGCACACATCTATCGGGTCATCATCACATACAATTTCGGATAGTACATTAATCACCATGGTAGAATCCAATATTGATGAAGATTCCGGCAGATTCTTTATGACAATTACTAGTTCATTTACAGAACTTTCATTCGGTTTATAACGAAGTTTCTCAAATCCATCAATACGGTCTTTCAATACCTTGATTTCAGCAGATACTGCATTTACATGTTGTAGTATTTCAAAGTTTTGTTGTTCCAATTTAGTCTCAAAATAACTCACCAACTCAGCTCGTTGAAGATCAATCTGTTTGAGGACTCCAATATTCTGATCCATGATTCTGTTCATTTGCTGTTGTAATGTTTGGATCGTAGCACCCAATGCCATAATTGATGCTGAAGTGTTTGAATCCATTTTAGGTCCATCTGTATTAAATCCAAATCGCTTTCCAATGTCAGCCATGTTTGATGTTTTCTTTTGTACAAGCTGAACTTTCTGAACTCTGTTTTTGACTGTCCTGTTTACACTTTTGCGATTTCTTGAGCTTACCCATTCTCTATGTATATTCCAATTGAACGTTGATACAGTTATAAATCCATAAAGTTTACAAAAACATCAAAATTGCACAAAATAGTAGCAGAGAATTATACACGTGTCAAGTTGGTACGGTGGCCTAAATCATAATTATACCAACTGACAAAAGTTTATACATAAGACCTTCCCTCCAAACGCTGTCAAAAGCCTTTCTAAAGTCAATGAATATTCCATAAATAGGAGATTTTAAATGTTTAACATATTTATCATGAAGCGTTCTGATAATAAAGATATGATCCACTGTTCGTGCTTTCTTCTGAAATCCTATTTGAGCTTTATTCATAATATTATTATGATTTATGAAAACCTGCAATCGTGCATCCAATACTGAACTAAATATTTTTCCAAACACATTGTTAATTGTTATACCTCTATAATTTGATAATTTTCTAGGATCTCCGCTTTTAAAAATTGAAGTGATATATCCCTCTCCCCAACTTGCCGGATATTTTCCTGAATTTAATATTGTATTAAATATTATTTTCAAATATGGCAGTATTAATGATTTGGTACTTTTGACCATTTCATTCGAAATCATATCCAAACCAGATGCTTTATTATTTTTTAAGCCTTTAATTGCTGTCTCGATTTCTGATTGTTTAATCTCAAAATCTAACTCTGAAAAGAATGGTTCTTTTCGCATCTCCTCGATCCGAGAAGAAATCTCAACATTTGATATGTCGGTCGTGTTAAGTAATTTATAATAGTATTCTAACCATTCGTTAATTTCAACGCGGTCTTGAGTGACTCTCGAACCAGGCTCTTTTAGTTTGTCTATTAAATTCCAATATTCAGTTGGATTTGTAGAACTAGCGTTTTCAAGCTTTTCAATTAATTCCGCTTTATATTGATATTTAGCTTGTTTACATCGTTTTTTATAAACCTTTTTCACTTTAAAGAACATACCTCTTTTATAAGGATTTGTGGGATCATTTTGTAAACATTTGCCTAATTTTCGAACTTCAGAATGCAGTTGCTTGCACGATAAATTATACCACTTTTTACATCGTTTTTGTTTATTTCCTTTCTTATGTCTGTCGAACCTCTTTTCAAGCGTATTGGACGCAGCATTGTGCATACACTTAGTTAAGTTATTTAACATATCATCTACATTACTATTATGATCCATATCGTACAGGCTGCGTTTATTTGTAATCTCGATTTTCAATTGGTCGTGAAAATCTTTGCTTTTTTCTGAAGACCAGATATATCTCGGAGGTAATGGAGTTTGAGTATAGACTTTACTTTTCCTCGTTTTATGTTTGCAAATTCTGCTAAATTCAGAATTATATAACAAAGAAATGGCACAATGATCAGAAAGGTTTCCTTGAAAATCATGCACTTTAAATGTACATATGTTATGCATGATTTCCGATTGCGCCAGCGCTATATCAACCGTGCTACTTCCATTATATTTATGACATGTAAGACTACCTTCTAAATCACCAATTTTCCGCCCATTCACAATTCTCATTTGACAAGATTTACATAGTTCAAGCAGCTGTCGTCCTTGTGTGTTAATGATTTTGTCTTTATTAAAGCGATTAAGTAGATTTGAATCACAATCATTGTTATATTCCGGATAGACGGGGACGTATTTTTCATCATCTTCGACTATGAAATCATTTCCAATTCCAAATCTACTATTTAAATCTCCTAAAATAAGAACGTTCCCACATTTTGAATATTTTGCTATTTGTTCAGTAAGAATGTCAAATTTGTCAACAACCTGTCCCATAGACAATGATGAATTACTCGGATTGATATATACAACTGCTAAAAATAAATCATTTTCAAATCCAAAGAAATTTTTATCTAATCTTAACCATGCTATATCATCATGAGTTATTGGTTCCTCCTTAACACCATCTAAAACACATTCGCTGATTAAAAACGTAACACCACCTGTATTTTTCGTTGCATTGGCTGATTTTTCCCGAAAATTATTTATCAGCTGTTTGTACCCTGGAACGCATATCGCAGTATCACAATCACCATGAGTTTCTGTTAAGCCGATTATATCAAAGCCGTGTATAAACTTTACAAAATTCTCATCACAGTACTTATACATCTCTCTCTTCCTGTCAAAAAGTCCTTCGACATTCCAATGAGCTAGTCTTAGACTAGAAAGTAACATTTCGCTGATTAGTATCCGTATGAACAAATCTCAATATTTTACATGCGTAATCACAGTGAAATTAGACGCAAGTTAACCATATCCATTACCGCATACTTCAAATGGTTACAATTACATATTTTTGATTTTATGAATAAATGATACAATAATTATACAGCGATACTAAAATCCAATATTTTACGATTACACACTTTCAGTTCAACGAATATTGACTGTATTAATAAAGGCACTTGGTTATAGCATATTTAATATTGTTAAAGAGTCTCCTCTCTCCTTGCTCGGAAAGGTGAACCCTGTCTGCACTGAAGAATCGTGGAATGATACTACCGTCTGAAAACGACAGATTTGTATTATCGATAATTCTAATATCGTGGGATTTGTTATATCTGTTCCAAAAGTACTCATTTATGTACTCTGTTTTGCTGTTACGCTCTTCCGAATCTCCCCTATTTGGTGCTAGCGATATGAGTACTTTCGTTCCTGGAAATAGCTCTTTAGTGAGAGTTGTAAGACCATTCATTCGATTAATACACGCGTCGACGCTCAGAAATTTAAGATCATTCGAAACGACTTGAAAAACTATGCAGCTTGGACTTTCATTTGGGTGACATTTCTCTTTGATACCCAAAACAACATCCGACGCTTCTTCAATCGTATAAGCGGTATACTTATATGAATCAAACCTACTGCTTAGTTTTCCCGGCTGTAGATTTTTAATCAGTGACGAACCAATTATCAAAACACTATCGCGGTATTGACGATTTGAATTCCTATTCTCGACATTTCTGCGTATTCCTCTACGTGGAGTTGACCTACTGGAAACGCGTGGTACAAATGCGTTGGTTAGTTCTTCTTTTTTGCTCGTATCCGCTGATTCATTGGAAATAGGATTTGTTGAAGCATTTGTCCCCATTGTGACATCTGTTTGCAGATCAATCGAATCATTTAAATGGTTCGTAATCAGTTTTTCATTTTTCACGTCTATTTTTATTTGTAGATTTTTTATCTCGGATTTCATTTGTTTAGTCGTCTCCGTGAGTCCCATTAGCGCATCATTATTTTTGGACTCTATAGCCTGCATTCTAGCTTTTAACTCTTTGATTTCTTCATCCTTATTCTGTAATGATTCTTTCATCAACTTTATTTGTGAGTTTTTCTCAAATAGAACCGCCTCTAGCTTGATTTTCTCTTCTTTGTATGACTGTTTAGCCCCGTTATCCCTTTTCGACTCGTTGATTAACCGCTCTAACTCCGATTCCAGACGATCAAATCTACCAACAAATATGGATTTTAATTCTTCAACGACGTTGGTTTGAAGATGGATAGATTGCTTTTGGTTCTGGGAGCTTCTTATTGGAGATATCAAGTCATCTATATTCTGAACTAGGTCCTCTTGTTGATTATCAGACTGAGATAAAAGAATCTCAATATCACTGTCTTTATCGCTGGTACACAAGTCACAGATGAATTTTTTATTCTTCTTTTTGATGTATTGCAGGATCTGATAGGCTGGTAACTTAGAGCACGTATAATGAATGTTCATTTTACAGCAATTACATGTCAACATATTGGATGAGTTGGAGTCCTCACAAATCGTACAAACGGTAGAATCTGTATCACATGTATCAGCTGCAACCAAATCTAACTGTTCTTCTTCAGTTATTCCTTTGTCAACGACATTGGCTATGCAGCCCTTCCTTGCCAGTCGGTCGGCTTCTTCATTGCCATGAATCCCCGCATGTCCTTTGACGAGTGTCCATTTGATTTTAGTTTTGAGTTTGGTCAAGGTGTTAAGTTCTTTCCAAAGATCTTGATTTTTCACAGGGTTGTTATTTGAAAGCTTCCATCCCTTTTTTATCCAATTTGGAATCCATTTCGAAATCCCGTTAACCACGTATTCACTATCAGAGAAAATCTGTACATGGGTTATATTTTCGTCCTTGCATATACGCAGAGCTTCTATACAAGCTTTCAGTTCTGCTTTGCCATTTGTAGGAATGGTATCATCCGGCAACGATCCGAATTTATTCAACGGATTTCCGTCTCCCCAGAAAATCCCATAGCCTCCTCTAGAGTCCGTCGATCCATTTTTACTACACGCACCGTCCACATAACAAGCCGTATAATTGATGGTCGGCATACTATTAGTTATTTATTGCATAATAAGAATCACTTGTAACGTCAAATTTCACTGCAAAAACGATGAATTTACACTGATTTTGAATTTGAATTTGAAAAGTCAACCATCTTGGTCCGTGACGTCATAATAATACATATGCAAAATGAATTTGGCAATATGTGAACATATCAACTAGCTAGAATTGAGTTACAATTACACATCAATGGGATGTCATTCAGAGGTACGAAATATGCAATTTTAAATCAATTTTACTGTTAAATACAAATCTTGTATTAGATATTCGATTTACCTTTCTGTACTTGTGTAGATTCTTATTGCACCTTTCACATATTCTATCATAAACTTTTGGGGATTACTGTCATCTCTGATAATGGCAAATATCTGAAATTATTAACAATTATAATATATTGGATATTGAATAAGTACTATACAGGGTGGGCCAATGAAAATTGGAATATTTTTCTATTTATCCAATTTTTATTGGCCCACCCCGTACTGTGGAAGTAATTTAGTAATGTTTGAAATAATTTATCAAAATGATTGCCATTTCTTACAGTTGATATCTTTAACATATTTTTTTCTTGTGTAACTTTAATTTTTTCATCCTAAACATGAAACACCTAAACCCGAGTGAGTATTTTAGTTGTACAAAAGTTTATACCGAATCGTATGCAAGTGAAATGTATCATATGCTCCCATATCAATTTCAAGTACATGCTTTAAGGTCTTTAATCACTTAATACTTTTCTTCAATTATTCTTCTAAGCGTCTAAGCTGATGGCTTTTAATATAGTTGATATTTTCTAACTGTGTAGACAAATATTTTAAATTTGGCAAGAGTCATTCTGCGGAGATTACTGATTGGGAGATCACTTATGGGGAGATCATTAATGGGGAGATCAGTTATGGGGAGATCACTGATGAGGAGATCACTTGTGGGGAGATCACTAGTGGGGAGATCACTTATGGGGAGATCACTAATGGGGAGATAACTTATGGGGAGATCACTAATGGGGAGATAACTTATGGGGAGATCACTTATGGGGAGATCACTAAAGGAGAGATCACTAAAGGAGAGATCACTTTTATTCTACTCTGCTATTCTTGGCTCTTTTGCAATGTGTGAAAATGATATTCACTGAACCTTATAGATATTAGATTCCATTTTTATGGGGAATATACCATGAATATGATGAATTTATATTGCAATAAATATGGCCATTTATCAACCTGTTACATACTAGAATAGTACTTACATCACATAATGGTTTACATGTACATATATTGTAAGTCGCTGGATCCCTCTCGACAATGCAAGTTTCAGTGAGACACAAAGTGCGTCTTGTTGGATCGTCATGTCTATGAGTGATTTTTTGTACTGTGAATTCTGCATATGAAGTCAAAGCTTCATCAGTGCTAAAAATAGAATTTGAAAATAATGAAAATTTAAAACAGGGCAGCTATTGCTGTTCAATTTCAATTCTTTCTCCATGTAGTATTACATCTAAATGAACAAACTACATGCTATCTCATTTCAACTTTTGAATATATCGCCTCATATACCTATATTTTCCAAGCCTATGGACAGTAAATTGGTCAAATGTTATAGGGTCCTTTCGCAATCTTAATGCTACTCCTGTGTAATATCCAGATGTCTCAATCACAGATTTAATAAGTTCATCCCTGGACTCAAGGGCAAAAAGGTGCTGCAGAAAAAATGAAATACATTTGTAAGTCAAGCAGTTTTTATTGGCAGTTTTTATGAACAGAACAAAGGGTGAACAAAACTATATCTAAAATACAGCTGTTCAAATTTTGAGGAGAGTATTTCTCTATTAAACATTCTCTGATTTTGTTTGATTTATAATCTTATTTACTTCATTGCTTGCTCTTGGCATTATTTTGGATTAAAACGTTGCTGTTGTGTCTACATACCAGTCTATTGAATCCACCATGTATAACTGCAATCCCCCCACTGTAGTCAGACACCTGGAGTCAGATATGTTAAAATTTAAACAAATGATAAATTTCATACCAGCCTTATATTTAAGGAATAAAGACCGAGATTTTATGATTTATGGCATGATATATGACCAAAAATTTTATTCTGTTCATAGTTAAAAGACCAGAATCGTGTAGGTCTTTGGCAATAGCTAGAATAAAATTTGAGGTCATATATTTGACATAAATCATAAAATCGAGCTCTTTGTTTCGATTCTAATATGATAAACAGACAAAAAACACAACTATTTGCATTCATGAATTTTAGCGGTCATACATACTCCAATATAGACCAATAAATCAATTGTTCTAGCATTTGTGACGTTACGTATCATATTTAAATCTCTACTAAATGTTAAGTATATCAGACCTATTCTCCTATCAAAAGTAAACAAGTTCAAAGCATAAAAACTGTAACACTCATTATTGAAACAGCTCAAATGGAATGGTGATAGAAAGTGAATTAATCATTGACCAGTCCTAATCTAACCTGTGTGAGCCCTTCCATGTCTTTGTAATCATATGAACAGAGGAGTCTATTGGTGACAGCATCCCTTTGGTCCAGAGACCCAGCATTCACCTCCAGCACAACTGGGATCCTCTTATCTGACCAATGATATTTGAATGCATTAAAGCGTCGAGATGTTGGTCCCTTATCTGCAAATCTGGCTCTGAATCGCTGGAATCAAGATCTTCAAATATATATTTCATCTCACCACCAGCAATGTCCCTGGCTGGTTCCATTGCTATTTATTAATCTGAATCTAAAGAGACAAGTGATAATTGACACCCTTTGGTTAGATTAGATAATCTTATAGTTTTAGAGCTGGTAATAGATCTTGACAAGACATCGCAAATATCACCACCAACCATTTCTTACAGACGTCGAATGCTGAACACTAATGCCGAATGCTGAACAACAACAGCTGGACACCACCCACAACATATTTGGAGACTATAATAATAAGTTAACACCTCCTGGTGGTGACATAATGATCCTAAACGTAGCTGTCTGTGTCCTCTTGGAGCAAATAAGTGCATAACTGTTTTGATCAACCTAACCAGATCCATAATGAAATTGTAAACTATTGAAAAGATATCCCATTTCAAACAAATGCTGTTTGTTCAACATATGAATTGATAAAATCTTCCATTCTGATGTTCATAGCATCTCTCTCACTTTGCATTGCAGATGAGATGTCCAGAAGGATAGAGGTTGAGAAGGTGTGGCTTGCCATGAAGAAAATGTTGTCATTAAGTAATAATCTTACCAGTGCTTCTGTCATTAGATCAGCCCTATGATCAGTGGAGAACTTCATTGTGTCAGTCTTCTTGCCCTTGGTGACTGTGATAACAAACTCATTGTTAGTTTGTGCCTTAGTGTTGGGCAGTATAGAGTGAAACTCACTATACATCCACTAGAAAATAGAACACATTATATGTCAACCTATACTGTAAAATAACATGGATATTTCTCATATGTCAGAGTACAATTGAGATACCAAACCAAAGATTTAATATAAAATAACCAGAACAACGGCAACGCCAAAGCGTAGCGAATCCCATCGAACAGAAATGGCTGGCATTTTTACAAACGAATAGCAAATATCATAAAACAACACACCAGAAAGGCCACCATTTTCAAAATGGTTGCTCACTAGCCAAGTTGTCATCAGAAGAAATAATATGCTTTTCAGTAGCCACCTCTAAATTTTTTGAAAAATCGCACACGTACTTGTAAAATAACACACATAAAAATGGTTGCCATTTTTCAAAATGGCCGACTACTCCCCAAAGTTTTATTAGACAATGTGCCATGCTTAAAGTATTCACATATCAAATATGAACAAAATTGCTCCACTACTTTTCGAGTTATAGTAAAATACGTTAAAATGGCGGCCATTTTTTTTTTCAAAATGGCCGCCTTCAAAATGGCCGCCTTCTACCAAAAGTGTCATAGGAGAGTGTGCCATGCTTATAGTATTCACATACCAAATATGAACAAAATCGCTCCACTACTTTTCGAGTTATAGTAAAATACGTTAAAATGCCGGCCATTTTTTTTTTCAAAATGGCCGCCTTCTACCAAAAGTGTCTTTAGACAGTGTACAATGCTTATAGTATTCACATACCAAATATGAACAAAATCGCTCCACTATTTTTTGAGTTATAGCAAAAATCGTAAAATGACGAGTAAAGGCCGCCATTTTTCAAGATGGCTGCCATGTGCTTCTTTAATATCTACATTTGTAGCATTATTAATGTCCTTTATAATTTTTTTACATTTAAAACATATTGATATAACAGTTTTACATATTGCACCTAAATTACTGTAAAATCGGCACTAAAATGGCAGCCATTTTGAAATGAGCGGCCATTTTGAAAATCGGCTTTTGAGCAGAACTTCTACCCCCATAAGGTATATGTGTACAAAATATGAATAGAATCGGGCTAACGGTATTTGAGTTATTGCCCGGACGGACGGACGGACGGACGTACGGACGGACGGACGGACGTACGGACGGACGGACGGACGGACGGACGGACGGAGGCGTTCCCTATATCCCTCCGAACTTCGTTCGATGGGATAATAAAAATATGCCGATGTTCTTTATATTTTGAGTCTCCTACATAGTGTAATTTCCTTAAAGTCCCCGTCTAAAGTTTGAAAATATTTTTTTATCATTCATTTACTATTTGTCAGGACTTAAAAAGTGATTTTAGAGATTTTTGAAAAAAATAAATTTTGGAAAAAAAGTTGTGAGCATTTCATTTCTCAAATATTCAAATTTCCCGCCATTTTTCAAAAAAAGTTGAAATTTCTTAATCATCAAATATTTTTTAATGCACTTCAAAAAAGAGTATCTTTTTAACACCAATGCAAAGATTGAACAAAGGACACACTATTTCAAATATAAAATGCCATATTTAATGGGCCACTTCAATGTTTTAGCATATGAAAAATATTTTGAAACATTAGTGATGTCACTAAGGTAGCAAAAACTTTTTGAAAAAAATTGAAATGTTTTTTTTCGATGTCAATCTTTTCTAAATATGCTAGACTTTCATAAAAAACCAATGTTGATTGTCTAACCAGGTTAAAAGAAAGAATAAATTATGTTTTAGATATCATTGTACCATTGGTTTCTATGAGAACTAAAATTTTGAAATGCATTTTTCTCAGAACCATTTTCATGCACTGATAAGTTCATTTCTCGCTTATTTATGAACCGATTTTCTTAATTTTTTTGGCAAAAAACATGGGAGAATGAATGCTATGCATTGGTATGATTTGTGGCTAATTAGAAGATATAAGTACAAATTTTGGAACAAAAAGTCTATCAAAAACCACTTTTTGAAATTTAAAAAAAAAGTTTCACATATCATTGATTCTTTGATAACATTGGGTAAGACTACAATATATAAGCCAAAGTGGTTTAAACTTTATATGGGGCCTTTAATTGTGAGTCAAATGGGACAGGAATTAACAGTCTCACATCAAATCAAGCAGAATTATGATCTGAAATGTGGCTGATTATAGAGACACAATGAACATTCTAGTTACACATAGAAACTTACTTGCTTGGTTAAATATAAAGAAACTTACTTGATATGTGACACTAAGTAAAAACTTTGTTGATCTGTGACTAAAATGTGGCAAGTTATATAAAGAAACTTACTTGATTTGTGACCTCAAAGGTAGCTGGGTTATAAGTAGTGATGCCATGTGTCCCAACAGAAAAGATCCTCTTGTACCTAAAAATAACATACACAATGTACGTAATTTAAGAATGATGGGAGCTTATATTGCTTGCTATATTGCCTTATTTCGGAAACACTGTAAATGAAAAAGTCTCATCCATTCTACAAAATATGATATTTTGACATAAAAAACAAACAAGGCAAAGGAGCCAGGACAAATGGTGTAAATTATCATCATGGACCACCATAAAATGAATATTGACATGAATTCAGAAAAACAGTTTTCATTTGTATTGTTAACAGATAGACAGAGGGACAGGCAGATTGACACACACAGTGAGGGTGTACAAAAACTACTCTTATCTCAGTTATGAACATTAAACAATTTCATTATCTTTATACTCCATGTACTTATAATATACAAGATGGCTTAAACAATGATCAAAACTAATAAAAATAAGAACTGGCGTTCTTATTCTATGTAAGTGTTTGCTTACTTTCCCTTCCATGAGTGCTTTGTAATGAAGTAGCAGGCGATATCCTTATTTTCTGACATAGACATCTTCTAAAATATAAAAACATAAAAAGATCAACAAATTTATTGAGGGGCAAATGGCAATTGTGTGGCAAAGCAGAGATCTCACACTTTAGAAGTGTAAAAAATGCTATTTTACATTTAAATGTAAATTGGAGAATCAATATCAAATGAATTTATCTGTCAATGTTCCAATTTCAGAGCACATTCTGGATGAGATTTGCATTTTGACCAGTAAATCACATTCATCAAGTATATTTATATCGCTTTCTGATCATTGAAATATTTAAAGAACATTCACATATTCATGAGTGTAATTGCCTAATTTTACAGACAATATTGATTCAACGATTTTCTTAAATGAAATTGGAGATGATTCCAGTACATGTAATTTTTAGAAATTTGAGGCTTTCTGTTTTCTACCAGGACTTAAAGGCATAGTGCAGAGGGGCCATTCAACATTCATGGACCAGTGTCAAAATATATTTAAGTTTGGATATTTCATCAAGACTATCATATAATTTTATTATCTCCAAAGAAAACCCCTGGATGAACATTATTTCAGCTGTCGTGGGACTCCCTTTATAGAAGCCTGGAACTGAATTCTTAATGCTGGAGTTGATAGTTTATCCATACATTTTAAGAAAATAGGTACGTCAAAGAAGATGTTAAGCCAAATGACCCGATAGCTCAGAAAAAGTAAAAATTTTTGAATTTTGTAAATGTTAAATTGAAAATAATCACTATTTACAAACAAACAATATTTTTTGACTGACGACGACGCCTAGCTACCGTGTAAACGCACGCCGCCGACCAAGATTGGCCTAATACCTAATTGTAACGCAATTATAAAAAAGTCACTATATTTTACAAACACTCATTGTTTTGTTGTTGTTGTTGTTTTGGACTGGCGACGCCGCCTAGCTACCGCGTAGACGCACGCCGCAGGCCTAGAAGACCTGTTACCTAACACTCTAGAATTGAGATTAACAAAACAATGACATTATGGAACTGCATTTTCTATAAAATTAAAAAGAAGACATAGCGTATCATCGTACCTTCCCCAAGATCGGCACTGCAGTACGAGGCCAATATGAAAGTATGAGATGCTTTGAATATCTTGTAAGCTAGTAAAAGATATACAATTGTAAATTTTAAAAAATGGTGGTGTTGCCATATGGTGTAATTCTAAATTAATGTGTACAGTAAATGGACATAAATATAAATACAAGCATGCGAGTTTAACTAAAATGTATAGGCTGCTTTTCGAGATATAATTGTTTGTTGCAAAAACGTCAGGCTGCCGCGTTGACGTTGCAACTACCAATCAACAAAATGAACCAGAAGGCATGTGTTACTAAAAAATCGCAGTGTAATATCATTTTGAAGAACACATTAAAATTAATCAATTACAATTTTCAAGGTACAATAAACAGCTATAAACCTTTGGCCTCTTGTTTCAGCAATGTTATTATTCTGAAAATTACACATCAGTTAGAGCCCGGAGTTAGAGTAGCATCAAAATACGAGAGGACTCACATTTTATTAGCCACACCAAGATAAACAAAATTAATATGAGGTGATGTTGATTTTAAACATTTTAATGCACAATCACATGACAATTATAAATACACTGCACACGAGCACACAAATAAAGAAATATCCAAGAGGAGTCTGAACTGTATTAGAAGAAGAATGTGTTTTTTCAAATTGGACTGTATCTTTTGATAGCTTATTTTGTCACAAAAACTTGTATCAACATCTGACATCTACAGTGCTGATACAAATTAATTGATAAGTCATATAGTTGGCATATTTTCTTGAATTTAAACATTTAATGTCCCAAAGTCCCCCAAACTGCAGAAAAGTATATACCGTAAATCATATCTACCAAAAATGATTGTCTCCAAGGCTTCATACCAGCGTATGCATAATGCATTTGTCACGGGTTTGAGCTGATATTTCGCTAAAATGAAGTAAGGGCTTGTTTATTGTGGTTAGCTTTTAATGGTAAGTGCTCAGGAGCAAATAATTCATGTGCGCAAAATAATCAAATAATTTGATTGGTTTTAACTTAAGTGCGCATGCGCACGCCACACGATCGTTTCATCATTAATCAATTTCATCAATTACTTTTCGTTTCATGGAGCAAAACTTTTGTTTTATTTGTTCATTCTATCTATCAGATAAGAGTCTCAGGGGTATATAGGCAATTCAAACATGACTGTATTCACACCTTCTATAAACTTCTATAAACTGTAAACAAAGTCAACATTTCACCCAAAGTATATTCGCGCACAATGCCCCTGTTATTACATGTAATGTGTGACGTCATAACAGCGGACCATAGTAATGGCTAGTGGTGTAATGAGTGACTCGGGTAATCGACTAGAACTCGAATGAGCCTAGAAAAAATGATCAATCGATTGAAAATTTGAAAATCGTGATTCTGAAAATTGCTGAGAAAAATCGCGATTTACCCTCCATACTCACGATTTAAGCAAGGATTGTAGCTGCCTTTACATTTTTCTAATAAATTACATACTTCTGACTATATTCTGCAGATCGTTTTGTTGATTTAATTGTCAGCTGATGAGAAATAGTATGAGAATCGTATTCATTGCTTTTTATGTTTGTTTATATCCGGTATATCGCATGCGCATATGTATTTTGATGGAAGTGGGAATTTAAAAGTCGTAAAATCCATAAAAGGCTTATACCATTGCTAATATATGGTAAATGTGCATCTAAAACATCCAAAACGGAACTCAATCCGTTCAGAACTACATCATTGAGTGGTCATTCAACCAAAAGTCAATGTAAGTAGTGACAAATGCCTTGATTTTCCAGGTTCTAATTTTCTCAAATTTTTAAAAAAATAATCGCCAAAATCATCTACTTGATCATCAAATTCATCATTCTACTCGAGTAGAGATTTTGGTGGCGAGTCCCACCACTAGTAATGGCGGACCATAATGAGTATTTGAAACAATTTGGTGAGTTTTCATGTTTGTATTGTAATATAAACCTCAGAGCAGGTGCAATATCATCTAATACACCCCCCAGGGCTAGGCACAAAAGCTTTCGAACACCTAACTCCCTTCGGTCGTTCGGAGTACAGAAAACTTGCCTAGCCCTGCGGGGTGTAATCTACAATACCCTGTTCTGCGGTCTATATTTCTTAAACCCATTTTGGTAGGAGTACTCTGTTTAGTTTGAATACTCACCCTTTATTATTTCGTATCAGCACTAAATTGGCCAACTCAAAAGAACAGTGTCTTTTGCAGTTTATTCTCTTCGAATAAATACAGTTTAGACTCTAGGCTCACTACTTATGGGACTAATTCTCAATTAACCTTCTCAATTTTCTGACAGATAGTTTGAACGAAAGATGAAGCCTGGTTATGTCTATGATCACCTCATTTCTCAATAATTGGAAAATAAAAACTGAAAAAAATGCATGTGTGAAAATTTGTATTTCTGCATTCATCTTTAGGCCTACATGTTGTACTTAAATAACGCTTGTGATATATTTACTTACCCTTTTGTTTATGGAGAATATATATAATGGAGACAAGTGTAGCTAGCTACTGTAGAAACAGTTTAAATGTAATAAAGTTTCTTCTTCCGGCAAACTTTTACGTCCGCCATATTGACATTCGACGAGAATTACTCCCACCTCTCGCGAGACTTACAACAGCGGGAAATTCAAAAGTTATTTAGCTTGGCATAGCCCCGCATTTGTATCTCATATCCATTCTGTCTAATCCATATGATGACTCGTGCTTTAACTGTCAAGTTACTTCAAACTGGCATTTGTATCCTTAATGGACTAGATGCGAGCTCAGTATATAAATAATCTTGATTTACTTTATTAAATATTCAAATTCAGTCAAAGTGATAAGGGTATGATATGAAAACTTAACCACTAGCCTAAAACTGATAATATTTAAGTTAAGGGGAACTTTCTACTATACTAGCCATGCTAGTGACCCTGGCGGTGAAATTGGTAACTACCTACTCGCATCTGAGTTATTGTAGAGGCATTCATAAAATCTAGGTCGAAGAAGGAATATTTCATCAGTGGGCGTTTCACAAAACGTAAACTGTATGTTGACTTAACTATAAGAGTTAAAAAGGTTTAATTGTATGCAAGAGCAATTGTTCTAAAATGTCACGCTGAAAATGTAGTTCAGAAAACCTTTATTGTCAAAGAATACGCTCTTTTACGCTTTTTCCTGGGAAATGAAAAATGTTAAAATTAGAAATTAGAAATTTTAGTTTATTTTTTCTGACCGGTCTATAAAAAAATATCTAACATTATTAAAAGTTTGGAGGATAATAAAAACGAGGAGATCAATCATCAGGTAGGCCTAAATTTGAAAACAGATGGAGCAATAAATAAAAGTACAATAGGTCTAGCCTACTAAGTCTACTAAGGCCTACAAGTCTAGGCCAAGCCTACTTAGGGGTTGGATATGTTTGGTACAAGTACCACCGTGGACTGAGTAGGCTTACAGGCTGTTGAGGACTTACGGCGACCCAAGCGAATAATTGTTTGACTTTAGTATACAGCTTTCCAGACTTTGTATAAGCAGTAATGGTGGGACACCGGTCGGTCCTTTATGTAACGTTGACTGATTGACAACAATTTAATGCGAAAAGTATTTATATATATTATAAACTGTTATTCTTTTCTACCAATTTTTGAGAATGAAATTCAATTAGTGGAATTACACCTATTTCATGGCTAAAGGCGTTTTCAAGGCGTTTTGGGTAACGTAGGCTAGAAAACCGCAATCCTGATTACACCAGAATTTTAAAAGCGCCTTGAAGACAACTTTTCGTGATTACACTTGATTTTTCTAAAGCGCTTTTAGACTGATTTAAGACAACAATTTGCCATCAAAAATCTGCTATTTAGATATACACTTTCAACCGTAGCGCCATCTCTGGAGATTCAAAATGATCCGATACTGTATGTTCCTTTTTTTCTTAAATCGTATTCAATCTACCGCTGGCGTTAACAAATATGTGCTAAAGAAAGCATGGAAAACAATGCACAAGCGCGCAAAGAGAGAAGCTCGGTCGTTAGGAGAGATCCAAGAGAGATCCAGTAAAATGAAGATGGTACTTTTGTTGGGGCTGTTTGGCATCCTTGATGGGACAGGAACGAACGATGTGGACAAGACAAAGATCTCGTCATTTTTTTGACTTCATTGTAGAGAGGTAATTTCAACTATTCAATCATCCCCTCCCCTCGCCTTCCCCAATCTACAATTATAGTACCGGAATTTCTCGTATATAAGCCCTGGGCGTATAACTGAAAGAAGGGGTAATTTCGTCCGTTATTTTATCATTTTTTATACGCCCATGGGCGTATAAATATAAGACTTTAGATTTTTGGCCCAGTGAGCGTCAAAGTGATCGAGAAGAGCTATTATCATAATACTATGGTGCTCAAAATATTAGCTACTTTCTTCTGTTCGGGATGCTGAATCATCAATATCCGTCGTCAATAGTATTATATTATTTATTTAATTTACGGTTATTCTATTTACAAATTGCGTTGTTTTTTGTAGAACGTGGAATAATGATGATTTTCGACACTTTGGTGATTTGATTGAGTTTTGCACAATATTTGAATTTTGTTTTTTGAAGTTTCCTCCACACCGGAAATCAATAACATGCTTGATGCTCATGCGCAAATATAGTTTTCGTTCAGTGTAAAATCGAGTTAAAGCGCCTTGAAAACCAATCGGTATTACACCTACACGTTAAACCGCCTTTGGGTGTGAAAGCGGTTTTTAATGACTAGGGGTCTGGGAGGATTACAAAAGCGCTTTTCTAAATCCGCGATCGTGATTACACCTGACTCTAAAGGCGGGTCGAAACCCGATAGGATTTTAAAAAGCGCTTTTACATCGTAGGTGTAATTCCACCTAATGTCTTTCCGAACCTTGTTGGAACAAAACAGCATATAAACAACATTTTCTTAGACCTAGTTATACAAAGGAAATTTTGGTTGATTTAAAAAGTATTCAAAAAATCAAAACAAAACCCCCCAAAATAGAAAAAATTAAGATAAACCTTTATTTCATTAACAAGATACTTTTTTCAAATCAACCAAACTTTCCTTTGTGCAATTACAAAATTGAGAGACCTAAACACGTTGTGTTTACTAGTATGTCGTTTTGTTCAAATGATGTTCGGATATAGATGTTTCATTTCATTTCAAACATATGATACCAAGAACAAAAGAAGTGTCCGACGTGTTTTCTAAAAACAATATAGAGAAAAGCATATATATATTTTTCAAATTATATTCAAAAGATGACCATTGAATTGGCGATGTGTAAAATTTTAAGAATTTTTTGATGACTGGTTTAAGAGAAACGTGTGTTAAAAAGGTTCACCATATCGATACCAGTCCTTTGAGGCTCATTTTTGATAATTTGGCCCAAAAGGTCAAGTTTGCCCTAAAAGGCCTATTTTTGAGGCCCAACTAAATTTTTTTGGAGTCCTTAAAAAAATTTCTGGGCCCACCCGGCAGGGTGCCGGGCCAATGATGCCATTCTCACTTATATAAAGTTTCCAAAACGTAACTTGTAGAAAGGCTTTAGCAAAGAATCAGAATTTTTAAAGGTACAACACCCAAATGCACATGATAGGATAAATTAGTTGTTTGACGCAGCTCGGTTTTGGATATGGGGTTCTTGGCTTAGCCAACTTAAGGCAGAGACATATATTTTATATGTTTCTGACCAAGGGGTGGGGGAGCTTAAGCTAGGGAAAGGGGACGTTTGACGGCTTTTGCAATAAGTACTGAGATGAGAAATTGTGAATTGCGAATAGTGAAAAATTGCATGATTTCAATTTCTGGTTGGAGGGAGGGGGATCATCTTACCTCGTCGGGACATCTGTGCCATCGGTCAGATGGTGTGTAATCCCCGGGTGTAAAAGTTCCCGGGGATTATTCCGTCCCATTCGCGGCCAATTAAGATTCTGAGTCTGGATTCCTGTGCACATTTTAACGCCAGTAAAAACAAAAGAGTGCTTATTACAATCTTAGTATTCCCAGGTTAGACCAATGCATTACCTCCAGGAAGAGCACTCCTAGTGATGATAAAATAATTTCGAATCGAGACAGGGAAGATGCAAACAACCCACCCACATGTTTTTTCTAATATGTTTTCCTGATTTTGAACCCCTTCTATCCCTGCTTTTTTAATTTTTCTTGCATCAATATATTGTGTTCTAACACACAGTTAAACCCCTTAAAGGAATAAGTGATTCATTCGGGGGGTTAAAAGATATACATTATGGGTGACCAAAATTAGCTGAAAGCAATGGCTAGCATGAGTTTTCCCTATGGGAAAATAACATGGGAAATATTGTTTTCCACTTCATCAAAAAGGAATCACTTATTCCTTGATAGGGGTTAACTGTGTGTCAAAACAAAACACATTAGGGGGGTTCACTTTTGACAATTTTGGTCCAAAAATGGCTAAAAAACTGCATGATTTTGAAAGAATTTTTGGCCGGGGGGGGGGGGGGGTTCGAACCAATCGAACACCCCCCCCCCCCCTGGCTACGGGCCTGCTCAAACTATTTAACCCCGGGTATTAAACAAGGGCAGTTCGTTCAGTGTTAATTGTGCCTTGCCTTCTCTCTTGCAGATAATTAATATAGGCGGCACATTTAGAGCCATAGACGTCCTTGTTTACTAAACATTGTCATTTAAAAATGAAATAGCTTGAAGAAATACGTGTGTCAAAAACTTCAACACATTTTAATAATGATTTGAAATCTTGATACCACACTCCCGGGACCACACTGCAATCGAAAGACGTCACTTCAAAGCTAACGTGGGATTCCCGGGAATAATTGAATTCAGGATGTGGACAAAAGCGCACCGAACGAACTGTTACGCAGATATGCAAACAGACTGACAGTTTACAAGACAAACGACGAAAGGTAGGAAATTCAGTTTATTGCGTATCTTCTGTTGTATTTGCATGATTATTTTGGGTTTTAAATTCAAGGAGTATCTTACTAAGTACATGCCCAGTGAAATATGGAAGTCTAAGCCGAAACTGTACAGGCTTTCGTTGAAGTGAAGCTGAAAAAATTTACATCGACCTTGGCCTTTGCCTGAATTGCACTCCCAGTGATCTTTGTACACTTTTTGTGAGTCAATCAAACCTAAAAAAATAGCACTGCCACATAAAAAATGCCTGCAAAACTTGGAATAAATGGAAACTACAGGATTCCTCCAGAACAGGCAGTATTGAGGTCAAAATCTGTAAATTGTAATGACCCTGATTTACTTGAGTCTCTAGCCACTTGGCTAGCACAGGCATAGCACCTGGTACACTGGGTACGCACAGGCATGCCAGATGGTTGCAAATTCGCTCCAAATACAACCAAATTTTAAATTTTCCTGGGTGAAAACCTCCCAGACCCCCTAAACGCTCGTTTTTTGCCGCCTTTGCCCAACTCTTGTTCCCGCGGTGGCGTACTACTTAGAAATATAGCGCTACGTGCATGGCTAGGCTAGAAGTAATTCCATCTGGATTCTGGAACACCCTGAGCTATTGTAAAATTCTAGCCAGACTTCAAATTTCGATTTACGAACTAGGACTGCGTGAAAAGATCAATGAAGGTGAGTCTATCATGTTTACATCAATGAAAATAACCCGGCCAGGCAATTCAAAGGCAAACTCAAAACAACAAAGAGTGTCTTATTTATATTCTATGGCCACACTCAGTGGCCATAGAAGTGGCCTGATAGCAAGTCTACAACCCCATCTATATCCTAGCTTTCATGGGCGTAGCGCTATTTTTATGAGTTGTAATTGCCTCAATGGGAATACCAGTTGAGTGAAGCAAAAAACAAGTTGGAGTGTATCTGGTACGCCGGATGCTACGCCTATGCCCTTATTGAATCAATAGGTAGAGTATCAAACATTGGTTTTGGGTTCTATTCCCTTGCATTGAATTTAGCGCACTCCTTTTATGTGCAGTATCTGGCATGTTACACTACGACTCTCCAGAGGCAGGCCTGTCAACCTGGGAACATCTAAAATGAGTGACTAAAAATGTTTTACACAAACAAACAAGGAAAAAATGGACAGATGCACGGAAAGACAGCCAAAAAACAATGAATGAACAAATGGGTAGATGAACGAACGTAAGAACGAAAGATGGGAGAAAAGAAATTACAAACGGACGAACCTACACACGAATGAACGCAGACACGAATGCACGAATGAACGCCCAAATGAAAGCACGAATTAACGTGAGCACGAACAAACACAGGAAAGAACGCAAATCATTTACGGACAAAATACGAATGAACCCTTGCACGGACGCATGCAAAAAAGAACACACTCACGAATAAATGCACGAGCGAACGAATGAATGGTTGGACGAACGTACCCATGCACGGACAGTCGGACAAATGCAAAAAATACCCACGAATGAACAGAAGGTCGGACGAACTCACGAACGGACAGACAGACGAAGTTGCAAAAGATATATTTGTGATGTTTGTTATTAATACCTCATTGGCACATATGTGTACATTCATAAAAGAAGTTCAATATCTTCATGGAATTTTAATGAAGCTTTCCTCACTATCGAAGTGGGACCTCCTCGTGTTTTCAGCGGGGCCTTCTTGTGTTTTCAGCGGGGCCACTGAAACACCTTTAATGAAGTATTACGACCCCCATGGCAGACATAATTGTACAGTTACTTATCAATACAGACCATATTGATCAATTATGTACAGGGTGTTCAAAAAAATACAACCCAAAGAAATCATTATATCTTGAAAAATACTTGTTCAATTATGTTCATTTTTCAGGAAAGAAAGAAGAGACCGTGTCTTACTAACAACAGGAGCTATACACAGTCTCTTCTTTCTTTTCCTGAAAATATGAACATAATTGAATTAGTATTTTCCAAGATATGTGATTTTTCAATTGCTTTTTTCATATTTTCCTTGTACAACTGCCATTTGAGCAGGTGTATAAGACATCATGTTTTACAACTAACTAACAACAGGAGCTATATATACACAGTCTCTTCTTTCTTTCCTAAAAATATGAACAATTGGATAAGTATTTTCCAAGATATAGCGATTTCTTTGGGTTGTGTTTCTTTTTGAACACCCTTGTATTATGGAGTATTTATTGCCTTTATTTTAATGATAAAATTAATATATGAACAGTAAATTATGCAAACGTGTATGCTGATGCCCTTTTCTTCAGTGAAAGAATAATTTTTAATGTCATTGTTTGTCAAATATATCTGGTTTCAAAGTATTGCTGGATTATCAAAGGACGGTAGTATTTTCATCCTTTTGGTCCATTTTCCAAAGTGATACAATTTTTTTTTTTAAGGTTATTTTATTTCCATAATTAAGACATATATAAACATACAATAATACAATAATACATGAATATGGGTGATACAAATAAACAGGATTATGCTCACAATTTCAGCGGGAACTTGCTCGCGACTTTCAAATCAGTGGAGCTTTGGATACTATCTGTGACTTGTGCTACTGACACAATATAGCATCACACAAATCGCTTCTAAACTGTATTTCGTAGAGCACTTTTGCCTTTTGGCAGGTTTCACTGTATAAGAAAATATCTGTACCGTACATTGAACCCTCTTGACAAATACTTTAATGATGAAATTGTACTGGATTTCAGACCATAAATATTTATGTTCTAAAGTTCTATACACAAAATAATCATCATTCATCATACATCAAAAGTTTCCAATATCTGATAAAATTATACATTCAATCCCAGGTAGTGACGAGGACAGACAATGCCATATTTTTAAAACTTTAATGTATGTTATGAGTTTAATGGTTAGCTTTTAATTCTATAAAAGAGTATACAAAAATATTATCAACTAAAAACAACTTGACTTTTTATGTCCTTTCATTAATAGAACTTTATTCTATCACAATATTCCCACAAAATCATAGAAATGACAATTAATATCATAACATTTTAACTGTGTTGGACATTATTTTGTCAGATTAGATAATTTATCACTTATAAAAAAGGTAATCCATTTTGGTAATATTTTTATGTTTCAGATTAACATTGGTTTGAAGATGTAATTGTCTCAGGTTGAGATCATCGTGACATGGGGCTTAATATACAGGAGTCACTTCTAAAGAAACATGACATTATTATCCCTCCTATGGCTGCAAGAGGGACAGTTGATGCAAGGGGTACAATCGACACCAGATCAACAGGTGAAGCTACAATAACAAAGGAAAGAATTACTCTCTCCAACAAGCATGATAAAAATCACCATGAAGATGAACATAAAATTAATGAAAAGGTATGTGTATAACATTATATGTAATATGATGTATATGTATTGTGCAAGGATATAATGCAAAGGACCATTAGTGTATTAAAGCAGTAGTTCTGTATACAAAGATTTTCCCTGTGTCTATTCATCAGAATACGAAAAGTATTGTGTTTGAATGATATACTTTCTGAAAGATAATTTGATTTTCAATGAATGATACTTGATCAAAACAAATAATTATTTGAGGTATCTCCAAAGTAGAGCTTTTATAAATACTCAAAGAAAAGGTATTTTAGAGTGGATTCAATATATTATGTGGGTATATTCATTGCTCACATTTTGTTTCTTGTCGTCATTTGAATCAAGTAGTAAATTGAAGCTACATTTTCTTCATGTAGGTCCCTCGCCATTGGAAAGTGTTCACATCTCTACTGGCAGGATCTGTAGCTGGAGCAGTGGCCAAGACAACTATAGCACCCTTGGATAGGACCAAAATTAATTTTCAAGGTAACCGTTACATATTTTAAGCTTTCTATCAAATCTAAGATTAAATTCAAGGTAACAATCTTTCTATATCGATGAATAACAACATCTGATTAGTTTTAAGGCATGATGGGTTAAGTAACATGGAGGTAATTTTGTATTTTTGATAAATTGTGTCATCAAATTTCCACAAAACCACACATCCGTTCAACTTATGATTTTTACAGATGCAAAGGCAGACAAATACCAACTTCTGATAAGGTTTTTGCATGCTTGGTAAATTACACAGTGGTCATTTTGAAATTTTTGATAAATCTTGTCATCGAAATTCCACGAAAAAATGGCCATCAGATTTATTTTGAATTTGTATAGCTTTAAGATGGTGTCAAAGTCTAGAGCTAAATATTAATTCTTGTCTCAAGGTGACGAATTGGTGTATCTAGTGTAATTCTACTGGGAGTTTTACTCATCAAGTGCAATACTTATCACTTTGTGTCTTGTCTTTTAATGAATGCAATCAATGATTAGTTGCAAGGATTAGGATATCATTAGTATATAAGGAAAAATGTATTACACAATATTGGCTTCAAAAACTGGTCTAAATTATGATATGGGTGAATTTGTTTCAAAATTGTGCAATGAAAATAAATCATTCTGATCACATGATATGAACTGATAGAACTGATATTTAGTTAGATAAAATGATTTGAAATAAACAAGGTTTGATATGATTTTTTATATTTCAGTGAACAACAAGCCATACTCGTTGCATGCAGCATTCCGGTTCCAATTCCGCACAATCAAGAATGAAGGTCTTCTAAAGTTATGGCGTGGAAACACTGCTACTGTTGCTCGTATAGTGCCATATGCTGCCATACAGTATGCCTCTCACGAACAGTGGAAACAATTGCTCATGGTCAATAATGAAAGGTAGCTCAGTCTCTTACTGTATTTTTGTATGCCTGCTGTGCAAGTGAATTGCGTAATGTTTTAATGAGGTATCTCTCAAGGTATCACTAAAAAGAACAAAACACTGCTCATTACACGCTCATTTAAGTGCACAAACACTCACAAAGCATAACACCATTGAGCAAGGTTTTTTCAGCAGGATACAAAATCCCAATTTACCTGTTGTTTTCTCAATATTTCACCTTTTTGAAGCGTGCAAACAGATTTTGAACAGGGTGCCATGTAATTTTCAGATTATCGCCAGGGTGCAGCACCTAGTTGCTCAATTCAATTCATCAAAAATATTTATATATACAGCAACAAAAAATGTGTACAGTTTTATATCATTCTGATACTCATAGTATCTTTCTGTTTCACCTGAAACATAAAACATCTCAGGGCTGAGAAGAAATGAGATATCATGGTTTATCATGATGGGTTTAGATATTGATAACTGTTTTAAAAATTGGCATTATACTTTAATAGGAAAAGAGAATGAAATGTGATTCACTTTTCTTTTTATGTCAGATAATTTCTACAAAGTGTTATGTTTTAGGAATTCTTGGTTTCAGGGTTCTTCCTCCTGGACGTAGGTTTATAGCAGGATCCCTAGCAGGTGTCACATCTGTCACATTCACTTATCCCTTAGATATGGTACGTGCCAGAATGGCAGTCACTTTAAAAAATAGGTAAGGAATGTATGAATATAACATGTACATATACTTTAAAAAATCCTTGTTCATTTTAATTCTTTTAAAAGTAACAAACAATGTCATAGCTTCTTATTATTAGAAATTAAATTCTCCTTAGAATGATATATATCTGGCAAAATGTCATACGAAACACTAAACATGGAAAGATTTTAAAGGAATTCCACTGAAACCAATGAATTAATAGGAATGGAGGTGATTCCTTTATTAGGAAACATTTTAAACCTCAGGAGACCTCAAGCCTTTTATTTGTTGGTGTAAATGTTGCTTGGAGACATGTGCCACAAAAAGTTTACATCCATGTGGATGTATACAGATGTTTAGTAGGCTTGACGTGATTTGGTAAAATATGTTTTTTTTCAGTGGGAATTTATACATTTCTGTAGCTGTTATTGTAGCTAAAGAGGGTCAGAAAAGGATTGCTTTGAAAAGGGTACAGATAATTAAAAAAAAAAAAATATTATATGTGTCAACTCTCTTGCATTTCCTTACAATTAAGAAATCATCTCCCCCTTTCTCTTTATTGCAAAGAATGCTTTGTGGCCCATGACTCATAATGATTGTACTGTTCTTTTTAGATACACCAATCTGCCAGATGCTTTTGTGAAGATCTATCGTGAAGAAGGTGTCAGGACAATGTACAGGGGATTCTCACCAACAATCTTAGGAATCATACCATATGCTGGGGTCAGCTTCTTCACATATGAAACACTCAAGAAAAGGCATGCAGGTCAGAAAGGTGTTTTCAAATAACGGTTATCTACAACTAATCCACAGCCCTTCTACAGGTTGAGATGAATAATTAAGATAAGAGTTAAGCTTAGTTTAGGGAAAGTTCAGTATCTAACCCATTATTTTATGGCAGAAGCCAGATGATTTTAGAATTTGTCACACAGTTTAACTTTTCAATTTCCTATCACATTCAAATCAATATTTGTGTCATATATGAGTGTCAAAAAGTCAACATCCATTCACAAAGCCACCACCTTATTCCATAAAATCCCCGTTGAGTCAAACAAGCGCCCACACACGCCTTGAACCAAGCAGCCAATCAGATTCATGATAAATAAATTTGACATCCAATCAGGTAACAGGGGGATTTTCCCTGTATATTCAAACTTCAGATTGAATTGATCTCCGCGAAAAGAATTCGATTGGTCAGTACAATCTCAAAATTAACACTGAAAGTGGGAGATTTGGAACTTCTTCGTTTGTAAAAAGATAGGTGAATATGTGGTAAAACTTGATTTGCAAAAAAATCCAGACGGGTTTTGACTGTCCTATCCTATCACGCAGTACTAACTTCGACCGTTAATTTGAATTTTTGACCTACCTGATGTTTGAAAATCAAGGATTACGAGTCTCATACTGCACCGTTTTTGTTCAAACTTGTTCCATTCAAAGCATAACAAATATCTCTTTCTGTTGGTACATTATTCTCTTAAATAGAGTCCCTACTTCCAGCGGCATTTTGGTCCCCAGCTGTAAGAAGGCCTTCTAACAGCTGGGGACCAAAACGCTGCTAGAACGAGAGACTCTTTACAATAAAGTAATGCACCGACAGAAAGGCAATTTTGTTTTGCTTTTAATGGTATAAGTTTGAAGAAAAACGGTGCAGTATGAGACTCGCAATCCTTGATTTTCGAGCATCTGGTAGGTCAAAAATTCAAATTAACGGTCGAAGTTAGCACCGCGTGCCTATGGTATAGAGTCTCTTTAATGCCATTACCAAGATTTATCCAAAAGGTGCTATGTAAAAATGAATACCAATCAATCGTATAAAAGTCTGAAATCAAAACTTCAAAATTTATTACTTATATTTAACTGTTTTAGGGGTTCATTTTAATGGGTTCCTTAGTTCTAATCACCTCCCAAAGGCACTAGGTAAATACTGCTGCAATTTGGTTTCCTTGAAAATATTTTTGTAAATGTAAACCTAAAATATGGATTCACTTAAGAAATGTTTCTTGGCAGCTAAATCTAGGACTGATGAAAGTTTTGGGTAAGGAAGATGAGATTGTTGCCATATTGAATATTTATCCTCTCATTTTGCTCCTGGAAAAAATTATTCCAGTTAATAGCATTGACTAACAAAATATTGGTAAATTATGACTATTTACTTTTCATAATGTGAGGCCACTGAATGGTTTCATTTTCAGTGGATTTTGGTTGCAAATTTGCATTCCTTTTTAATATCATCTATTTTAATGTTTGATTTGGTTTCAGCTGAGTCAGGTAACAGATCTCCGTCCCCCCTAGAGAGGCTGTGTTATGGTGCAATTGCAGGCCTCCTGGGTCAGACATCTTCCTACCCCCTGGACATTGCCAGACGCAGGATGCAAACTGCCGGTATATTCTTCAATTTTTGGGATAACTCTCACATCATCTATCTATGATTTACTTTCACAAGACATATTACAATGCAGATCTACCAACCTACATAGCATATAGCATTTTAAATGTCTGAGATAAAAGTATTGGCAGGTTATGGCATTTTGCATGTTAATGCCTTGTTGTCTTTGATGTCATGACAATCTAAACTAAAACCTTTCAAATTTTTTGCATATGACATTCCTGATAAATGTATTTTAATAGACACAGATCACAGATCAGTTATTAAGCCTCTCCATTTATATTTCAGGTGTGACGGGTCGTAGTGCTGATTACACAAGTATTGCAAAGACAATAATGCTAGTCTATAAACATGAAGGAATAAAAGGGGGTCTTTACAAAGGGCTCAGCATGAACTGGATCAAAGGACCAATCGCTGTAGGAACTAGTTTCGCTACATTCGATATTGTGCAAACATACCTCCGGAAAATACCAATTTTCCACCTGAACGATTGAGATTTGGAAAAGTTAGAATTAATATGTGATTATTTGTACAAATGTTCCAACGTGTCAAAGGATGAAATGTAAATGCATGTATAGCTCTTAGGGGTCCCATGATTACTCAGTATACCATTGGTCAATTGCGTGAACAAATATCATCAGTATTCACCTAGAATATTGGGAAATGTATGTTACATTTCTATTGACTGAAAACAATGAAATCATGTTAAAAGCTTCTTGGAATATCATCTCATTTTAATCACTTCAACGAGCATTTCCTTGTAATTCTGTTTCATAATTTCCTCTTTCAAAAACGGAAAATGATCTTTTTCAGTATATTTATAGCTATTGATAAAATATCATTATTTTCTAAAATACAATGTATTATGAAATATAGCTACATGTTACTTGTTATTATTTCTTGTGTTGTTTGTATTATTGCATGAGGTAAATGATATTGCTGCTTGTATCAGATTTAAAAATTGTGTATCATTAGACCCCTAAGAGAGTCCACTTTTCACTTTGTGAATACAATGATCTTGTGTTCATAGTGGTCACTGTGAATACATCTCTTTTAATCGCACCTTTGGGTGCTATATTGTGTCGTGATCAGTTTTAATTACTATTTCCATCTGAAGGAACCCTGAATAATGGTCAGTTGGATGTTGTTTGGTGGTCAGTGGTCGGCATCTGTAGCAAATGGCAGTTGGTGACATTTTGCATGCTAATGCCTTTTTTATTTTATTATGTGTGTGATTAACTCAAAGGTGCTATTTGAGAAACAGGGTGTCAAGAAACAATGTTTTACTGTATATACAGTGCTGATATCATCTTAAAGATTAATTGTTTCCCTGAAATCAGCAAGCAACAGCCTATTGGAGATAGTTTATATGGTCTCCTTTTATTGTACTAATGGCAGCATATTGGGCTGTCTGGACCACTATAACTTCCATTGAGAGTCAGTGTTTTTTTATTTTATTTATTTTTTTATTTATTAAAATCAATGTAACATATTTACAGGTTTCATGTAAAGAGTCAGTGTTTCATGTAGAGGTTTGCATACAGGGAGGGTTGAAAATTTGATAAATTGTTTTGTCCAAAGGGGTGTGATTTTGACATACTTTATCGCAGAAGTATGGTTTTTAAAGTGTATTCCCTGTGATTGGAATCGAACTATATATGACCAGTTATTATTGCTTCCAGGGTGGGGCAATTGGCTTACTAGATTACTCCTATAGTAGGGAATCTGACAGCCCAATTTTTTTCAAAATCCCCACCTCTTTTTTCTGGAGTTGTATTGTATTGTGGAAGTCTAATGCAAACCTTTGAACGATGCATAATGTGTTGTCATCAAAGTCATCAATGATTCATCATTAATTTACTTCTGGTGCAGAGGGGATGTGCCGTTATTTCTTGTCACCCTGTACTGTCTACTACTGTATCTTTCTATCAGTTTGACCCAGGACAATTACTTGAAAAGGGTGGCACATTCTAATGGCCCAGAGGTCTATAGGTGTTCTCATAAAAGTGCTCTCAAGAAAGGTGGCCCGTGGTTGGTAAAGCAGTGGAGAGGGATTCATTGGATCTGCCCATGTTACACAAAAATAGCAAGATAATAAATGTAATGATGATACATGGTATCTGTTGTTATAATAAAGATAATGAGACACTAACATAAAATTGTTATTATATTGTGTTCAACAAATGCATTTTCATTAGTGCTTGGACTTTTTATTTTTATTTATTTTTATTCTATAAATAAATGCCTGCCCTACAGCCCTACTAATGAAACCAATATTCACCTGTTTAGAAATGCTCAGAATTTTCAAAAAAACAAATCCATACAAAAGTTGTGTCCAGTATGCTCATCTCAACCCTATTAGACGTCCAAACCATTTATAAGCATGCTCCTGCTACCTCTACTAGACATACAAATCATTTAAATTTAAGCGTACTTCAACTCTTACCATATCAGCATACCCATCACAACCCATATTAGACAACCATTTGTACAATTTACAAACATGCTTGGTCCACCGAATATAGCAGAATATTTTCCAAGTAAGCTTAGATCAATAATGTAGATAACAACTTTATTGATAAATTGATTTATTCTAAAGAATGCACAGTAACAAGAGAAAGGTAAAAACCTGGTAAAAACAATAGAATAAGAATGTACTTTCTTTTTGATAAAACCGTACATTTTCTAAAATAAACAACAGCTCAATTCTATTGTGTTGCAACCTAAGTGAGGTAACTTAATGCAGTTAATGACTCAAAGGGGCATGTGGCGCATTGCAAGTGATTTTAGACGGTCATACACAATATGTTTTCTTTCAAGTGAAGTCCGATTATAGTATAAAATATCAATCCAACTCTGGAAAAGTAGTACTTCACCTTTGCACTGTTTTAAAAATATGAGGCTTATTTTATTAAAAGAGGATACTGTTTTTTTCAATTCAAACATATCAAACGTTAACAATTCCTGAAAACGGGGTGGCGTTCGAAATCCGCTTGAGTTAAAAACAACATATCCCATGTTATTTTCCCATAGGGAAAACTCATGCTATCCATTGTTTTCAGAATAATTTTGGTCATCGAAAATTGATATCTTCAAAAACACCCTATGCAGACAGAGCCTGTGGGAAATATTGGGTGCGGAGCAAATGAGCGGAGGGTGCGGAGCTAACGGTTATTTTTGAATTTAAATTTGGGATATTTCTGAAACTAAGCCGTTTTGGGACTTCAAATATACCAAGATATGTGTATTTGACACCAAATATCAATACAATTGTGAAAATAGTAGCGCAATTCATTCTATAGCGACGCAGTGTGCCTTAAACCTTTCTCAGCCCTATATATTTTGAAATTATCCTTTTAATACTGAGTCCCCAGCATTCATAAAAAATGGTGTTCAAGGTGCACTATCTATACAAATTATTTTTGCATCTTGGAAGCCAGGCAGTATCTGTGTGATTTTATAAAAATTCGGAAATTTTTTCAGATATGAGCCCCCTCTAAATATTGGGTGCGGAGCAGCTCCATAAACGTAGCTCCGCACCCAATATTTAGAGGGGCTCATATCTGAAGAACATTTCCGAATTTTTATAAAATCACACAGATACTGCCTGGCTTCCAAGATGCAAAAATAATTTGCATGGGTAGTTATCTTGAACACCATTTTTTATGAATGCTGGGGACGCAGTATTAAAAGGATAGTCTCAAAATATATAGGTCTGGGAAATGTTTAAGGCATACTGCGTCGCTATAAAATGAATTGCACTACTATTTTCACAATTTTATTGATATTTGGTGTCAAATACACATATCTTGGTATATTTGAAGTCCCAAAACGGCTTAGTTTCAGAAATATCCCAATTTTAAATTCAAAAATGACCGTTAGCTCCGCACCCTCCGCTCATTTGCGCCGCACCCAATATTTCCCACAGGCTCTGTCTGCATAGGGTGAAAAATAGACTTTCAAACCATTCTACTTTTGAAGGAGTTCCAGACCCCTTGTTGAAAAATCAGAAAAGGAAAATCCTCTTTTGAGTAAATAGGTTCAACATTTTGGAAAAATCGTTGACATGGTGTCCCTATTCATGATTTTTCGAATTGTTCGATTTATATTTTTACCATCACGGGGACTTCACTTGAAAGAAAACATTTTGTTTTAAATAAAGCTACAGTATTTATGCCCAGAAAGTACTCGTGGAAAAAGATGTGACTGTCTAAAATCACTTTCAATACCACTAACAGACCAAGACGGGGACGTGGGAGGCGCACGCCCGCCCCCGCCTAAATAGTCAGAATTTTAACTGGAAATCAAAATAGATGGTTATGGATTGTCAATAACGCATTGCATACGCTGAAATCAGACCCGGAATTGGACACTTGCTCTGAAATTAGTCAGAATGCAACATATGATCTTCAATTTTCGAAAATTTCTGGGGGGAGAACCCCTCAGACCCCCCCCCTATTTTAAGGGTTTGTTCGCTGGTCTCATTCATGCAGTTCGCTTCGCTCAAAGTTATTATCATACACCCCCCCCCCCCTTAACACAGAATCCTGTCACATGGCCCTCTGTAGAAATATGAAAGAGATCAGTTTATTAGTTATATATTATGTGACAATTGCCAAATTCGAATTCGAAATCCATGTCATAAAATCTTATCCCGTTCCCGGAACGGTCCCGGGAACGGGATAAATAAAATCCATTAGGACTGTGCAGGAGACCTTCGTAGTGTTTGTACCAGGTGATGGAATCTGTCAATCAGTTTTAGTGTCAAAAACAGCTTGTCTGCGTCAGGTTTATTGATTTTTTCATTGTTCTCTGTTTCCAAAGAAAGTTTTGTCCAAACTTTCTGTTTTGAGTAATAAACATAATACCTTAAAGTGATAAGCGATAAGCTTGCTATTCTGTTTCAAGATGAAATGTTTGGGTGGAAGGTCAAATCGTATAGGAACTAAGGGCAAGAGTCATGCTACAGTAAATGGACTTACGAACAAAATGCACTACATCCAACATGCATTAAAGGATGGGATTACAATATAGTTCGAGCAATGAATTATCAATTTATAACTAGGCAAATTGGGCAAATTGAAATTGGTTTCTATGAGAACTAAACTTTGAAATGGATTTTTCTCTGAACCATTTTCATGCATTGATGAGTTCATTTCTTGCTTATTCCGGAACCGATTTCCTTAATTTTTTCGGCAAAAAACATGTGATGATGAATGGTTTGCATTGGTCTGAAAAAATTTCACACATCACACTTTGATAGCATTGGGTAAGACTACCAAATAAGCAAAAGTGGTTTAAACTTTATACAAGGCCTTTAAACAGAAGCAGAGGCCTTAAAATGATTAACTCTCTAAGATTAAATCATTCACTGGTTATACGGCAAAAAACGCAAAACCAAACCTTGGTTGAAGTGAACACCTACCAATAGTGAACAGTGTTTTCTTGGCAAAAAAAAGTTCACAATGCACAGGTTTCACTGTATATTGAAAGAAACATACTTTATTTCACCTTTTGCATTTGCAAAGAACTCTAGATCTAAGATGATGCAAACAACTAGAATGCACAAGAGGTGTATACTCCACAGACGTTTTTTTCACTCGAACTACCTGAGTGAAGGATAAGCTTATAAACATAGGCACAATGCCAACAAGCCTTCTAATAAAGTATGCTGCCATCTTTCTATCGGCCTTATCCCTATGACTTTACCATACCCTTTGCACTAGTGTGATTTTAAAGGCAGAATCATAACTACGGGGAATGACAAAATTGCAAACAGTATGTCAATTGACCTACCAATATATTCCTTACAAGCTCAAATTCAATATCTCCCAAAAGATGCACGGATATGTTATAAATTCGAAGAAGTGCAAACATGAGGGGGGGGGGTGTTTCAGCTCTCCCGAATAGTATATATGGAGAACATAATTATAGAAAAGTAATACGTTATTGTAAAAAAATTTAGTTTTCCTGAAATAAAGTTTTCACTTTGGGGATAAAATAGACATGACAAGGAATGAAATGAGCCGATGGGTGCAATCGGAACCCCCTCCCCCAGAAACCAATAAAAATAGAACCATGAGAAAGAAGAAGAAAAGAGCTTTAAATGCCTTTTATTTGAAGCTTCTGGGAAATTCGAATTTTTGGGGGAATCGCATCCCCCCCCGACTGAAAACTGGCTACGCTCCTGCTAGCCTCTGTATTCCTGGATAGGTTTACCAACGCCTTACTTACTAATAGAATTGAAGAACTAAATGCTAATATCACACATGAGATGAGCCAAATACCATTACACATAATTCAATGTGCGTGTCCATTGTCCAAGCCATTAAATGCTTAGTGTGGTCAGCTGGTGAATGGATCGAGCAAGTAGGCTTATGCATTAAAAAGACGCAGTTAATCGATATGCAGCTGCTCGAAAGTGAAGAGTTTTCTTAAACCATGGAATAGAGGTCCATAAAAAACAAATAACATGTGATCACATCTACATAAGTTCCTTGTCAAAATTTGAGAACAATCTATTAGCAATAACAAAATAATTAATTAAAGTAATTAAATAAAGTAATTATACTTACAATTATTGTAAACGTTTTTATATTTAATTTTAAACCGACGAAATTAAGGCCTCGCACATTGAATGACATATTAAACTCAAAAAATGAGAGAGAAACTGAGCGTAATTAATATTTAGTATATCTAGCATTTACTTAGTGTCTTTAAATGCTTGAAGTAATAACGTGATCTCGTAGGCATACATGGTAGGCCATAAACGTCCACACCTTAACTGGCGATAACTTTTTAAATTATGCATAAATCAAAAATATTTTTGTTCGAAATGCATGGATCGTTTTTGCAATTGTTCCTAGAATAGCATGGGAAAATTAAACCCATCCAGCAACAAGAACATTAACAGATACGGGATGTGAATGAAAATATACAGTTGTCAGAACATGTTTGTCAGGATAATATTTGAACCAACGATTTAAAGCTGTTATTTGCTTTAAATTATAGTTCATACCAAATTGACAGTGCAGTCTTGAACGTAGTTTCATTTCCTTTGCTTTATTACTGTAATTACGGTAAAATTGTAATATCTTTTTGTTGTATGTAAAGGCCCTAGGGCATCAGTACAAATAAATCCTATTATTAATCGATTACCGCCAGTCCAAAATATAATTAAAATTCATGCATTATAAAAAAGTAAGCAACAATATGGATGTTTTTGGCTCACTCTGTATATTGTTTACAGTATGTGAATCGTTTTTCAAGAATTATTGGTGATGGTGTACTTGGGCTGTCTTTCATTACAGGTTAAAGCCTACAAATTGAATAAAAATCACTTCTTATTATGGAAAGGGTTAATTTCACGCAAAAACTACACTACGTAATGTATCATATTAAAATCCGTATCCTTAAATACATCTTAAAGGCATTAAAACTGAAATCAATTGAGGTACTAAAGGGTTTAAAGTGCAAGTAATTGGTAGTGTTTGTGGGTTTCAGGGTAATTACGGAATGACTTATGATAAGATGTATACATGTGTACAGGGGGTATATACATTATGATGAAATGCTTACGGTATAATCATAAGCACATCTGTTAAATATATAGAAAACCCGTAATTAAGTTTATTCTGGTAGTTATACCTAGGGTTTATCATAATAAATAATTCGGGCCATTGTGTCCAAATCTAAATGGGGGCTATTTGGCATTAATTGCTAAAAATGTGCAATCAAACCACTATTTCTCATTTCAATAAGGTAAACGCTCCGAACTAAGTCACCTTTTAGTTCTGAAAAGTCAAACTTTTGCAACGAAAGAATATCCTTAGTTCCATTACAATCAAATATTGCAATCCCACTTCAGAGCCCGTGTTATTGGATTTATAACATTACGGAGGGAGTGAATGGAATAGCCAGCAAGATCTGCAATGCAGAGAGAAATGGATGTTGAATAACCGAGCTTCGTAATATTCCTGCGAAATGCCTGTTCGAAGGGGACATGTGGCCCCTCAGAATACATTTATTGATACAATTATAAGGAAGTTCGACGGACAAAGTAAGTGCTTTTTTTGTGTGTGTGTTTTTATGTTTCCATTCAATGAATTAGCCCTGTACGTGTTCGTAGATTAGCCTTGGTAAATAAGAGTCTGCATTCTTCGTGCTTGATCACTTCTCCATAATAATGCTTATCTCTCTTTCTTTGTGTGAATATTGTAGACCAAGTCATGCTGTCATGATTTATTATTCAGCTCATTACTTATACTTGGTTGTCACATTGAGGAATGATGTCTGAAATTGCTGGTACATTACATCCTGAAGGGGAAAGGAGTAATGGGGAGGGGGGGGGGGGGGGGTAGCGCTGGATGGAAAGGATAAAACAGATAACTCACGAAATTCTTAGCTGGAATCTTCTGTTGGTTAATGATACATGTTCTAACTGAATATAAAAATGATAATATTCAGCTGGATAATTAGTGTTACAGTTATATGATAAACAGAAACACATATTCAGGCTATTCACACTGGATCCAGAAGCAAACAAGGGGAGGGGGCATTTCAAATCAGAAAATAAATTCCAAAAAAAATTGTGGGCCCCAAAATCCAATATTTTTTGGGCCCAAAGTTTTTTTCTGGGCCCAACTAAGGGGGGGGGGGATGGTGAAGGCTCGGGCCCCCTGGATCCGCCAGTGATTCAAAGTGAAATATTTGTTTAACTTTAAAGGGGCAACAAGGCCTGTAGGGAGAAAATAGGAAAATCAAAAAAAATTCTGAGCTATCAAGGCAACATTTGGCTTAACATCTTCTTTGACATACCTATTTTCTTAAAATGTATGGATAAACTATCAATTTCAGCCTTAAGAAGTGTAAATTCAGTTCAAAGCTTGAAAAAGGGGAAATCCACTTTTATATTTTTAAGATCCACCATGTTTCAAGAGGAATATCAGCTGAAATAATGTTTATCTAGGGGGTTTCTTTGTAGATAATAAAAATAGATGTTAGTCTTGATGAAATATCCAAACTTAAATAAATTTTGGCACTGGTCCATGATCTGCACTAATTGTTGCACCTTTAATAGGGATTTTGATGTGAGACAACCAATATTGTCAAGGTATGAGGATTCAAAAAGACTGTATCTTAAATATAAGGTATACAAACATGCTCAAACCACATAGGCCATACTCAAACCACACAGGCCATTCTCAAACCACATAGGCCATGCTCAAACCATATAGGCCATGCTCGAACCACATAGGCCATGCTTAAACAACAAAGGCCATGCTTTAACCATAAATCCTGCATATGGATCCCTCTTAGAGAATCAGAATTGACCAAGCAATTTATTCCTTATGATCTCCAGGACTCGTACAATATCTACCAAAAGATCTGCAATATGTTATACAGTAGTGAAGCTATTCAAGATTCAAACTGTGCAAAGATGGGGGAAAAATGTTTAAATTCTCAAAAATGGTAACCATATCAGGCACATAGCCAGGATTTGCCAAGGGGGGGGGGTCAGTTTTCAAAAATTTCCAGGGGGGGTTCATATTTGACAATTTTTGCCCAAATATGGCTAAAATTACTTGCATGATTTTGAAAGAATTTTTGGCCAGTGGGGGGGGGGGGTTCGCCTGAACCCTGCAAATCCCCCTGGCTACAGGCCTGCATATTAATTAAAAAATTATACATTATTGTAAAAATCTTTAGATTTCCTGATATTAAATATGCACTTTGGTGATTTTTAGAAAATAGACATGACAAGGAGTGATATGAGCCAAAAAGCCTTACAGTCCCCTCAACCCCACTCACTATATCTGATTTCCCTCTAAGGCTATCCTTTTTATGTGACACTTTACTGCTTTATAATGAGAGTTTTAATTTACATTTTAAATATAAATATGTTCACATAAAGTGTCTTAAATCTGATGATAATTTTCCTGATAAAGAAACTACCACTTTGATTTTAAGATGGTAATTTTGAATTTCTCTATAATATAATTGTCACTAATTTATATCAGAGGCTTTAGCCAAGGCTATACAGCTGGCTACATTGGGTTTACTTTGGATATTTGAATTTTTGACATTATTCATAACATTATATTGAAATTCAAGCAAAATTTAAACAAACAAATGTAGATCAGTATATTTAAATGCACATTCTATGAAGAGACACAAAAATAATGTTGTTCAGAAATAGCAAGTGAGTGAAAGCGTATATTAGATTTTATACAACGCCTAAATACCTTGGGAGAAGGTAAGTCATCAGGATTCCAATAAAACTGTTCATCAGTTTTACGTTCACATTTGTACAGCTGTTAGTTAGTATCAAATTCTAGAGCAAAGCAGATGAACTAGCCATTGGAGAAAACCATTTAAATGATTCATTTCAAAAGCTCAGGAGTACATCCTGCTATGTAAATCTAGACCTAATTACCTCTGTTTTTTGGTTAGGCTAAAAATATAGCAAGGAGAGTGATTGGAATAGCCAACCTTGAAATGAAACTGACAACATAATCAATTTGATTATCTTAAAATGGGTCATTAAATCGTTTATTAGGAGTTCAGGTAACCCTTTGCTTTATTGCATTTGAATTGGTGAGGAATGGATGTACATGCCTAGCAATGTGTGAAGATTATGAATCTCAAAGAAATTGTGAATCATGATTAAGTAGACCTTCACAATACTCTGGTGTATGATTGATATGATATGCAGGGGCGTAACCTGCAAATATCAAGGGGGTGTGTTTGAATTTGTGTGTTTGCATCACTGCGAGTGCCATAAAGGGGGGTACGGGGTTTCACCTCTAAATTTTTTTAAAATTTACATTGTATAAGGTGCATTCTAAGCATTTCAAACTATAATTTGTTATTTGGGTTTTCAAAAGATTTTACATTTTTTGTTGAGGTGGGGGGAGGGGGGGAGGGGATGCGATTGCTCCCTTCATACCCCCCCCTCTGGCTACGCCCATGATGGTAAATGTTCTTTTAAACCATGCTCCTATGCTTTTGTATGGTCTCTGATGTTTGATGGATGATCTGTGACCAATTTTATAAAAGCGTAAGCTTTCAGAATAAATACCCTACCTTATTTATACAAAATTGTTATAGCAAAAGAAATGTACGTTTGAACAAAACAATCACTAACATTTAGTAAAACAGTCCAAAAAGGCAGTTTTCAAAAATAATGTGTCCTTTCACCATGTATGGTGCCATGTTTATGGTTGGTACTCTAGAAAGTTACAAGAGGTGACAGCCTATACTATATTTAATTTGACTAGTAAGGTCTTTAAAATATGAATGGTCCTTTCCACGTAAAATTACACTGTGGCCCATTGATTGCATTTTTTTAGCAAAAGTAAATCTATACTAACCATGTAACTTTGACTGTGATGATAAATAACTTGTTAATAAGAGTCTGGGTACAGAACAAGGTTAAGGCGACATTACTCCAACTTGTTAGACTTTTGACATTTCTCATACAAATAATTATACCAAATAAAATATAATTTTTTATACTTAAATGTTATACCTAGATTGAATGCCATCACATTACTTTTCATCGATTTCACCATTTTATGCTCATTATCGAATTCTTGGTTCAATAAAAAACCTAATAAACATTCAAAAATTCAAATATTTACTCAAACTGAACAGGTGCTCTATAAAGTGGTTGCATAAAACATTGACCTCTTCTTAATAGGCACATAATGCTTAAAGCTATATTCTAGCTGTCAATCAGGTAATGCTAGCTTTTATTAATCAAACAATACTTAGCACTCAATTGAAAAATACTATCTGTCAGATCTGATTAGATAGCATGTGAATAAGGTTTGCAGACATTTTTATAAAAAAATGTCCAGAACAGGAGAATATACTTTATTTTTTTAATGGTTTGATTTTGACACAAAATTCAAAAGCCTGGAAGAGGCCTAAAAGAACAAGAGGTACCCTTTTTAAATCAGATATGTATAATATTTCAAAAATGGTCAAATTCTCTATAATCTCTATATAAAGCTAATGAGTTAATGAAATAGAATTCAATTATTCATGATGATGTCTCCATTGTTCTTATTAGTATTCAGTCAGTTAAAAAACACAAGGAGAAACATTTGAATTGCAATATAATACAAGCCGTATATCCATCAAATTAGAGTTTGACATACAAACTCACTGACACTAATATATTAGTAGGATATTCTAAGTTAATAGCTATTTTTTATGAGTGAGGAATGTACAGTGTTTCTGATAGGTTCACTAGTTAAAATGATATCTGGTTGATAGACATTCATTTTCTGTTATGTCATGACAGCTTCTTTTGGGATAATATAGAGCTTATCATCATCAAAAATTATACATTTGTTTCTCTTATTCGGATCCTGATGCATTAGGCACTGACAGCAGTGTAATGGTTCTTTTTATGAATGATAATTCTATCATTTTCAATCAACTATATTTTCCGACACACCAGTGCACCATTTTATGTATGAGATGGCATAGTTTATTGGTTGCAGTATTAAATCCAGTGGCGTAGCTACGTGTACGCCAAGTACGCCCAGGCGTACTCTCAAATTCTAAGGAAAAATAAAAATTACCTGATTAATTGTGATGAAAAATAGATATTTTACCAAGAGATAGAAATCGATAGGAGATCTATGAAGACTCGTGTTAATAAATAAAAAAGTTCTCGATTATTTCATTTTCTTTGTTTTGAATCAGTTAGCTGTACTGATAATTAGAGAATTTTATTTCGTTTTTGTTGAGTTGACATTTCTTCCTTGGCCATCATACATATCCATAGGGAACAGGATATAAACATTGATACTGTTATTGACATGTTCGCAAATGCAAAAAACAGAAAGATAGAATTCATTCTATAGAATCACGTACAGATTGTTAAGATCCGAAATGGAGTTGAGACGGTCGTGTAACTGTTCTTTTATTCTTAATCATCTTGTGAGCTAGATAAAAACAAACACAGAAAAAAAAAATATTTCATGGAGAATGACCACAAAAGCTTAAAACAATGAGCCTCATACATACAGTTTTAGGTAGCCTAAA